TATCATACACATCAGATTTGGTTCGAAAAATATATCTCAAACCATCCAAAACTTTATTGCAATACAGCTTCTTGTCATTCCCCCTTTAATGAACCCACTTATCTATGGTTTTAAACTGAAGAAGATTAGAAACAGAGTTCTGGGATTTGTTAGAGCCAAATAATTTTACCAATGCTTGATTGAGTACAGTCAGGAGGCTGACCGTATGACTTTGTATGTATATCATATTTTTATATTGTCAAAATGGCTTATATGTAAAAGAAAAACAATCATATCAATATAGTAGGTAATAACAAACTGCTGCTTCATGCTTACATCTCTCTTTTTATCCGTCTTAACACACAGGGATCAGATGTTGTCTGTTTGGCACAGTCAGTAAAGTAAGAAAAAAACTGTTGGTGCTTGAATTGAATATGCTTGAATTTTATCTCATCCCAATTTCTGCTTTAAATTAAAAGCAGAAATGTCATACAGATTTAAATTATAAGGTCAGTGCTTTAAATTAATATAAACACCAGGGTCATATGAGGAAATATGTTTTTTCATGGAATACAAAAATTCACTTCTGAGTTGGCATCTTTATTGATATTTCAAAATACTCTGTATATCTTTTGTTTTACAGACGACACTCAGTTATACTTATCTATGAAGCCAGAAGAAACAAATCAAGTAACCAAACTAGTGGCTTGCCTTAAAGATATAAAGTCTTGGATGACCAATAACTTTCTGATGCTCAACTCAGACATAACCAAAGTTCTTGTTCTGGTTTCTAATAATTAGACAGGCATTTTCCAATGAAAAAGATGTATGCCACCTTCATGGCTCTGGTGATTTTAAACTCCTCTGTCAGGCCTGTGAAGGGGATTTGCAGCTTGTTGGACTGCCCATAAAGGGCGATGCTGCTTAAACTCCTTGGCAGGCCCAGCCATCTGCGCAGGGTAGTAGCTACTGCCGCCTTGTCCTTCAGCGTAGCATCAAAGACCTTCCCCAGGCTCTTCGCGGGCTTCTCTGACACTGATGGAATCTGGACTTCATCCAAGTAGAAACGGTACTTGTCCTCCACGTTCCCCTTCCTCAGCACTAGGGACCTGGATTTAGCTGGCTTGAACACCATTCTCGCCCATGCCATAAGCCTCTCTAGTCTTCTGAGGAGCCAGTGGCATCCTGCCACTGATGTTGATGTGACAGTCAAATCGTCCATGAAGGCTCGAATTGGTGGTTGACGCATGCCTGATCTGGACAGGGGACCCTGACATTCCACTTTCGCTGCTTTGACAAGCATGTTCATCGCAAGGGCAAACAGTACCACGGATATGGTACAACCCGTGATGTTGCCCTTGTCCAGGCGATGCCACGCCGATGTTATTGTGCCAGAGGTAAATCTCAGACTAAAACTGCTGTAGTAATCCTGCATCAGTTCTTTGATCTTCTCTGGGACGTGGTATGTCGTCAAAGCCGGAATGGATCCATAGGCATTGGCAAGGTCAAGCCAAATGACTGACAGGTCTCCTCGGTTGTCCCTTGCCTCCCGGATCAACTGGGTAACCACTCAGGTGTGCTCTAAGCAGCCTGGCATGCCTGGAACCCTGCCGTTCTGCACTGTGGTGTCAATATTGGAGTTCTGCAGAAGGAACTCAGTCAGCCTGTTAGCAAGAACCTTAAAAAAGCTTTTTCCTTCCACACTGAGTAAGGAGATGGTGCAGAACTGCCTCATGTCACTTGCATCCTCCTCCTTTGGAATCCAGACACCTTCAGCATGTCTCCACTGCTTGGGTACCTTCCCCCTCCACCATACTGCTCTGATGAGTCTCCACAGCCTCCTGGCACCCCTCCACCCACCCTGCCTTGGTTTTTTGACTTGTTGGGACATCTGGGATCCGTCCTTTAAGGGGAGGGTTATGACATGATGTGTTCTGTTGATTTAGTTTTTTTCCCTGGTTTTGTGATTTGAGTCTATTTTCTTTGTGTTTTCCCTAGTATTTCTTTTCCCTATTGTTCCCCCTGTAGTCCTCTCTTGTGAGTTTTCAGATGGTGTCTGACCCCGTTCACCTCATGTTCTCAGTGTTTTATTCCTTATATCAGTTTTCAGTGTTTCCTGTTTTATTTTGTAGTTGTTTATTTTCTGTTTCTAGTCTTGTTTTACTTCCTCAGTTTTCCCTCCTCTGTAATTGTCTGCACCTGTGTCTCAGTGTCTCACCTGCCTCTCGTTGCTCGTTTCCCTGTGTATATAGTCTCTGTCTTCCCCTTTTCTGTGTGTTTGTCAAGGTGTGTGAATGCCAGTGTCCCAAGTGTCTCTTTGCGATTTCTTTCCCCCGGTGCCTCTTGTTGGATTTTTGATTTTTTCTTGGACATTTTTGGAAGTAAATTTAGTTTTTTTTGAATTAAACCTTTTTTGTCTGCTTTTGGGTCCTTTCCCTTTTTGTTTAACTTCAATTCATGACAGCTTGCAAAACGGCATGGGCTTCGCAGGTAACTGGAGGTTATTATAGGGCAAGCTGGTCTGATTACTCTGGACAGCATCCATCCTACTTTTGACAATGCAGCTTGTTTATCCAGAAATCTAGTTGATTGTATTAGTCCTCTTTACTGCGGTACAGAGAGGAGACCAGGGGGCAACAAGCTGCAATGATTGGTCCATCTGAATTCCCTCCTTTGGTCGATGTAATCTGAGAATACATTAATAAATGTGAGAAGAGGTAGCTGGGACTATTTGGGACAGGGTTATCCCCTCCTTTAACAGGGGGGGGGGAATAAGCCCAATGGATAACACTTCAGTGTTTTTTTCTCTCAGGTCTTAATGAGACAAAGAGTTATCACTTTGTTATCTTCTCTCTCACTTTACTTTGTTACTGTTCAATTGTGTTTGGAAATTTAGTTCTCATTGTGACCATCATAGTGGATAAAAACCTGCATGAACCCATGTATATTTTCCTGTGTGCATTTTGCTTTAATGGGCTGTACGGATCAACTGGTTTCTACCCAAAGTTTCTCTGGGATCTGCTGTCTCCAGTCCATGTTATCTCCTATTATGGATGTCTAATTCAGGCTCTAGTTGTGAACACATTTGCCTGTGCTGATCTATCAATTCTTGCTGTAATGGCATATGACAGATATGTGGCTATATGTCGACCGCTTGAGTACCACTCCTTCATGTCCAGGAAGATACTAGTGAAGTTGGTGTGTTTCTCTGTGATCACACCTTTTTTGCTCATATCCACTAACATTTCACTTGCATCAAGGTTAAAGCTGTGCAGTAATCATGTTTCCAGATTGTTTTGCGTCACCTGGTCGATTGTTAAACTTGCTTGTTTTCCGGCTGAAACTGTTCTTGATAACATAGTTGGCTATTTTGCTGTAGTAGTTTACGTTTTTCATGGTGTTTTTATATTTTTGTCCTATGTCTATTTAATCAAAACCTGTGTGAATTCTATAGAAAACAGAGCCAAGTTCATGCAGACATGTGTGCCTCATTTAACCTCCCTGCTCATTTTTCTTATGACTAAAATTTTTGATATAATGTTTAACAGATATGGTTCAAAAAATATATCTCAAACCATCCAAAACTTTATTGCAATACAGTTTTTTGTCATTCCCCCTTTGATGCATCCTCTTATTTATGGTTTTAAACTGACGAAGATTAGAAACAGAATTGTGGGTTTTGTTAGAGCCAAATAATTTGACCAATGCTTGATTGAGTACAGTCAGGAGGCTGACAGTATGACTTTGTGTGTATATCATATTTTTTATATTGTTGAAAATGGCTTATATGTAAAAGAAAAAGAACCATATCAATATAGTAGGTGATAACAAACTCCTGCTTCATGCTTACGTCTCTTTTTTTACCCATCTTAACACACAGGGATCAGATGTTGTCTGTTCTGCATAGTCATAGTTAAGTAAAAAATATTACTGTTGGTGTTTCTTTGAGAAATGTAAGAAATTATGAGGAAAATGATTGAATTTTATCTTATCCAAATTGTGTTTTTAATTTCAGTGTAAATCATTTGGATTTTACTTGTCAACCAAATAAATTTAATGTTAAACTAGAGGATACTGCTCACAGGAAGCTTTGCTTTCTCATTACTTTGTCTTTGGCAGTTTAGTCACTTGGCAAGCTTGAAGCTAGAAGATCAAATTCAAAGCAGAAGTATCATGCAGGTTTATATTATAAGCCCAGTGGTCTGAATTCATATAAACACCAAGGTCATACAAGGAAATACGTTTGTTTTATGGTATACAAACATTTATTTCTGAGTTGTTTAATTAATGCACTGATTTTTCAAATCAATCAAGATGCCCATGTTTGTGTTATAAACCAACTTAAAAAGGTTAAACCTTATTAGTGGACTTGTTAAAGCCAGTCCTCTTAATTTAAAACAGTGTTACTCTGCTACATAAATCCCACATGCAAAAACTGATCATGAGCATTACTCTAGATGGGCTCCCATAGGGTAGAAATTGCAGAGGTTAGAAGGTCACACCACCAAAATGGTAGCCTGGCTGGGCCATCCAGTTGCACGAATCACTTGCCGTTCCTTCCCACAACAGTCTGGACTTCGGCCCATTGGGCGCCCTAAAAGTAGGCGGGAGTACTTTCCTTGATAGACAGACTACTGTAACCAATCACAGTAACCAAACATCTGACGTCATCACAGTGCGCAACTGTGTTCCCTGCTGGGCTCTTAAGCATCAAGTAAATGTTTGGTAATATTTTAATGTGTGCGAGCAAACAATGTCTTTTACGTCTTCTTCTGCGGATATAAACGATTTCTGCCGACTTTGTAAAGTCAAGTGCAGAATTTACGGCATTCTGAATGAACAGCGCTTTGAAAAGTCCCGCCGCATGTGTTAGACGTCACCATCTACACATGGACCAGTCATGGGCTGCCTTTCCCTGTTGTCCGAGGAACAGTGGAAACACAGTCACTGATTGGCCCGGTTATTTTCTGATTTGTAATACACGCTCCCAATTGGCCGAAGTCCAAACTGTTGTGGGAAGGAACGGCAAGTGATTCACACAACTAGATGGCCCAGCCAGGCTACCAAAATGGGTTTAAAGAGGTGGTTCTTAAACTTCTTCTACTGTGTGCCACATGAGGATGAAAACTGTAGCATACAAGATGATGACATAGAGTACCAAGTTGACCACAACAAATTAACACACCAACAAGGCCAGAAAACATCCACTTTACCTGACTTTAAAGCTCCTATGAGGAGTTCATTGACATTTATTAAATAGACCAAAATTTATCATGATGAGTGTTAATGAAATACAAAATCACATTAGACCATCAGCAACAAGACCTGAGATTTTTATATCCTTAATTTTAAAGTCTGAAATTAGTGGGAAGGGGGTAGATCCAAGCCTTACAGCTGAAGATACGACCCTGTTTTGGTCATGTCACCAGCTTGTTTCCAATCCACTGGGGTTGTAAATCAATGGTGGATCAATGCTTTGAACGTCTTTCAAGTTAATTTTTGCTTCTCTTCTTAGTAAATGTATTTTGGATGGTTTGGAAATGCACTAAAGTTTGAATTCACACTGATGTTGACGCTTCTGGTACATGCCTGTCATGTTTTTACTTTTGAAAAGTTTTCAGATAAGAAAGAAAACCTGTAGACAAATGTATGTTGTCAATTTGAGTTAGGTTTGATTATTGGATTAGTCAATAATTACTTTTGAATTCCCAGATTTGTGACCCGAACAACATTTAAAAAATGCTTGAGAATCCAAATTCCTCTAATTTTAATGTTTATTTTGTTTGTATCCAGGTGACAGACATATAAGCTTTCCTGATTGGTCCATCTGAATTCCCTCCTTTAGTTGATGTAATCTGAGAATACATTTATAAATGTGAGAAGAGATAGCTGGGACTATTCGGGGCTGAGTTATCCCCTCCTTTAACAGGGGGGGAGAGAAATTAGCCCAATGGAAAACACTTCAGTGTCCTTCTTTTTGGTCTTAATGAGACAAAGAAATATCGCTTTGTTATCTTCTCTCTCACTTTACTCTGTTACTGTTTAATTTTGTTTGTTAATTTAGTTCTCATTGTGACAATCATCATAGATAAAAACCTGCATGAACCCATGTATATTCTACTGTGTGCGTTTTGCATTAATGGGCTGTACGGATCAACTGGTTTTTTTTCCAAAGTTTCTCTGGGATCTGCTGTCTCCAGTCCATGTTATCTCCTATTATGGATGTCTTGTTCAGTCTCTAGTTGTGAACACATTTGCCTGTGCTGATCTATCAATTCTTGCAGTAATGGCATATGACAGATATGTGGCTATATGTCGACCGCTTGAGTACCACTCCTTCATGTCCAGGAAGATACTAGTGAAGTTGGTGTGTTTCTCTGTGATCACACCTTTTTTGGTTATATCCACTACTATTTTACTTGCATCAAGGTTAAAGCTGTGCAGTAATCATGTTTCCAGATTGTTTTGCGTCACCTGGTCGATTGTTAAACTTGCTTGTTTTCCGGCTGAAACTTTTGTTGATAACATAGTCGGCTATTTTGCTCTAATAGTTTACATTTTTCATGGTGTTTTTATATGTTTGTCCTATGTCTATCTCGTCAAAACCTGTGTGAATTCTACAGAAAACAGGGCCAAGTTCATGCAGACATGTGTGCCACATTTAGCCTCCCTGCTCATTTTTTTTATGACTAAACTTTTTGATGTAATGTTTAGCAGATATGGTTCTAAAAATATATCTCAAACCATCCAAAACTTTATTGCAATACAGTTTTTTGTCATTCCCCCTTTAATGCATCCTCTTATTTATGGTTTTAAACTGACGAAGATTAGAATCAGAATTCTGGGTTTTGTTAGAGCCAAATAATTTGACCAATGCTTGATTGAGTACAGTCAGGAGGCTGACAGTATGACTCTGTATGTATATCGTATTTTTTATATTGTTGAAAATGGCTTATATGTAAAAGAAAAAGAACCATATCAATGTAGGAGGTGATAACAAACTTCTGCTTATTGCTTACATCTCTGTTTTTATCCATCTTAACACACAGGGATCAGATGTTGTCTGTTCTGCACAGTCATAGTTAAGTCAAAAAATATTACTGTTGGTGTTTCTTTGAAGAATGTTAGAAATTATGAGGAAAATGATTGAATTTTATCTTATCCAAATTGTGTTTTTAATTTCAGTGTAAATCATTTGGATTTTATATGTCAACCAAATAAATTTAATGTTAAACTGGAGGATACTGCTCACAGGAAGCTTTGCTTTTTCATTACTTTGTCTTTGGCAGTTTAGTCACTTGGAAAGCTTGAAGCTAGAAGATCAAATTCAAAGCAGAAGTATCATACAGATTTAAATTATAAGCCCAGTAGTCTGAATTAATATAAACACCAAGGTCATACAAGGAATTATATTTGTTTTATAGTATACAAACATTTATTTCTGAGTTGTTTAATTAATGCACTGATTTTTCAAATCAATCAAGATGCCCATGTTTGTGTTATAAACCAGCTTAAAAGGGTTAAACCTTATTAGTGGACTTGTTAAAGCCAGTCCTCTTGATTTAAAACAGTGTTACTCTGCTACATAAATCCCACATGCAAAAACTGATCATGAGCATTACTCTAGATGGGCTCCCAGAGAGTAGAAACTGTAGAGGTCAAAAGGTCGCACCACCAAAATGGGTTCAAAGAGTTGGTTCTTAAACTTCTTCTACTGTGTGCCACATGAGGATGTAAACTGTAGCATAAAGATGATGACATAGACTATAAAGTTGACCACAACAAATTAACACACCAACAAGACCAGAAAACATCCACTTTACCTGACTTTAAAGCTCCTATGAGGAGTTCATTGATATTTATGAAATGGACCAAAATTTATCATGATGAGTGTTAATGAAATACAAAATCACATTAGACCATCAGCAACAAGATCTGAGATTTTTATATCCTTAATTTTAAAGTCTGAAATTAGTGGGAAGGGGGTAGGTCCAAGCCTTACAGCTGAAGATTCGACCCTGTTTTGGTCATGTCACCAGCTTGTTTCCAATCCACTGGGGTTGTAAATTAAATGTGGATCAATGCTTTGAACGTCTTTCAAGTTGATTTTCGCTTCTCTTCTTAGTAAATGTATTTTGGATGGTTTGGAAATGCACTAAAGTTTGAATTCACACTGATGTTGACGCTTCTGGTACATGCCTGTCATGTTTTTACTTTTAGAACAGTTTTCAGATAGGAAAGAAAACCAGTAGACAAATGCATGTAGTCAATCTGAGTTAAGTTTGATTATTGGATTAGTCAATAACGACTCTTAAATTGCCAGATTTGTGACTCAAACAGGATTTTGAAGATGTCCCAAAATCCTAACTCAACAAATTTTAATGTTCATTTTGTTCGTATCCAGGTGACAGACATTCAAACTTTACTGATTGGTCCGTCTGAATTCCCTCCTTTAGTTGATGTAATCTGAGAATACATTTATATATGTGAGGAGAGATAGCTGGGACTATTTGGGGCTGAGTTATCCCCTCCTTTAACAGGGGGGGGAGAGAAATTAGCCCAATGGAAAACACTTCAGTGTTTTTTCTTTTTGGTCTTAATGAGACAAAGAAATATCGCTTTGTTATCTTCTCTCTCACTTTACTCTGTTACTGTTTAATTTTGTTTGTTAATTTAGTTCTCATTGTGACAATCATCATAGATAAAAACCTGCATGAACCCATGTATATTCTGCTGTGCACATTCTGCTTTAATGGGCTGTACGGATCAACTGGTTTCTACCCAAAGCTTCTCTGGGATCTGATGTCTCCTGTCCATTTAACCTTTAAAAGCGGATGTCTAATTCAGGCTCTAGTTTTGAATTCATTCTTCGGTGCTGATTTATCAATCCTTGCAGTCATGGCCTATGACAGGTATGTAGCTATATGTCAACCTCTGAAGTACCACTCCCTCATGTCAAAGCAGAGACTGGTGAAGTTGGTGTGTTTCTCTGTGATCACACCTTTTGCTGTAATATCAACTAACATTTACGTGATATCTAGTGCAAAGCGGTGTGGTAATCATGCTCCCAGACTTATTTGTGCCAGTGTGCCACTTCGGAGACTTGCTTGTTTGTCAAATGAGACTATTGTTATTAACACAGTGTACTATATCCTAGTTATTTTTTATGTTCTTCATGGTGTTTTTATATTTGGCTCCTACGTCTATCTTATCAAAACCTGTGTGAATTCTCTAGAAAACAGAGCAAAGTTCATGCAGACATGTGTGCCACATGTTACCTCCCTGCTCATTTTTTTTGCGACTAAACTTTGTGACATCATGTTTCTCAGATATGGTTCTAAAAATATCCCTAAAACCATCAAAAACTTTATTTCAATACAGTTTTTTGTCATCACCCCGTTAATGAACCCACTTGTTTATGGTTTTAAACTGAAGAAGATTAGAAACAGAATTGTGGGTTTTGTTAGAGCCAAATAATATGACCAGTGCTTGATTGAGTACAGTCAGGAGGCTGACAGTATGACTTTGTGTGTAGATATTTATTTTCAGCTCTAAAGAATTATAAAGATACTCCTTAAAAAGAGCAAACATTTGATTTTTCTTTTGTGTTGTTAAAGTAAAAAGCAGGATTAGTTTTTTATTCAGAGATCAACTGAAATCACTGCTGTTGTTACAGATACATGTCTAAATTATACTGTTTTAAATCATGTTAAAATAACTTTAATGAGGAAAAAAGAATCATTTCAATGTAACAGGTGACGACAAACTTCTGCATCGTGCTTACATCTCTTATTTTATCTGTCTTAACACACAGGAGTCAGATGTTGTCTGTTAGGCACAGTCATAATTAAAAAAAATGTATTCAAATGATTGAATTTTATCTTATCCAAATGTGTGTTAATTATTTTAAATTTTGCTTCTTAATCACAATCATTTTTATGTTAAACCGGAGGATACTGATCATAGGCAGCTTTTCTTTCTCAACACTTTGGCGTTCACAACTTTTGTTTTCAGACATGAAGAGCTGACCTGCTGAAACTGAGTTATAATCAAACAAAATATTAAAGCTACAGTAAATGCATGTGCTGTTTTGTTTTTTTAGCTTAGAAACTAGACACTACGAGTCTGACTTCCGGTCTGAGGGGACGCTGGCGTTTTGTGTCGCCGCTCCTCAACCGTGACAAAAGTCGCCTTTTAAGTGTCTTTTCAGTGCTTTTCGTTCCCCCCCACAACGGGACACAGCTAACGTTTTTCCTTTAGTAAGGATCGTTATTACATCGAGTGGATTCTGGAGTTTTGTGGACTTACCCCCTCCGCTGATGTGCTGTCGCTACTGTCATCTGTCACCGATCAGCTGTTCGTTTGAATGCTGCCCGGCTTCCCTGCCGGGTTCACGGTGACCAATCGATTTGCCCACCCTCTGTGTCTACCTGCCTGTGTGACAAACTTGTCCGCCTCCCACGCGTGGACAGTTGGATTTCTGGGCTGCCGCACACGGTGGCGGCGACGTTAGCCTCCGCTAGCCACTGCTCGCCGACGCGGCGACGTTAGCCTCCGCTAGCCACTGCTCGCCGACGCTAGCTCCCTGCTGCTAACCAGGATGGGGACACGACTGCAGTACTCCTCCGCGAGGCTCCGCGAACTCGTCAGCCACTCCATTCCCCACTCCATCACGGTGATCAAATCCCTCTGTCTCTTGCGTCACCCACGATATGTCCATAGAGGCTCCCGACGCATGTTTATTTATTCAGACTCAGCCATTCCCTCCATAACGTCCGTGTTCCGGCCAGCTGCTCTACCACGTCATCACAACAAAATCCATGTGCGCACCCGTTACCTCCGCCCACTGGTCTGTGTTGACAGTCAAGCCCCTCCTACCCAGCCCATGTCAGCAGCTTCATTCATGCTGTTGAATGCCCAATCCATTAACAATAAACCTGGACTCATTCATGACATCATCACTGAACGCCACATTGACATCTGCTGCATTGTTGAGACATGGCAAAAACCACAGGAGTTCATGGCACTGAATAAAGCCACTCCCCCAGGCTATGCCTATATACAGAAGCCTTGCTTAAAGGGTAGTGGCGGTGGGCTGGCTGTGATTTATCGGGCTGACATCCTCACCAAGGAGGTGGCAGTAACCACTGCCACCTCTTTTGAATGCATAGTGTTCACACTGGCTGGTTTCTCCCAACTCCAGTTTGTGTTGGTGTACCGTCCACCTAAAAACACCAGCTCTGACCGGTCTGCCTTCCTGTCAGAACTATCTGAGCTACTCACCCCTGTCTGTGCCATGTCTCCATCCACGTACTTGCTGGGGGACATGAACGTGCACGTGGATTCCACCAGCTGTGCTTTCGCCACCGAGTTCATGTCAGTGTTGGAATGGTTTAATTTCAGTCAACATGTGCATGGCCCCACCCACAACAAGGGCCATACGCTGGACTTGGTGTGCTCCACTGGTACCCCCCCCATCGACCTGCAGTGCCTGGACCTTGCTATCTCTGACCATCATGCTATCGCCTTCTCTGTCCCTGCCTCCCGGCCTGGGCAGCGGCCAAAACGCACCATCACCTACGGGACATTAAGGCTGTGAGTCCTCCAGCCCTATCCACCATGATTGCTGCCCACCTAGCTGGGATCTCCCCTGACCCCTCCGATTGTGACCTGGTCTCTTCCTACAACACTGCTCTCGCCCTTAGCCTGGACTCTCTCTCCCCCATCAAAACACTGACAGTTTCATTCAACCGTCCGGCTCCCTGGTTCACTCCCGAGCTCCGGGCCATGAAGTCCACTGGCCGACGGCTGGAGAGGCTCTACAAAAAATCTGGCCTCACCGTCCACCTTCTGGCCTTCCACGACCACGTAAAAAACTACAAGGACACTCTCTCACAATCCATAACCCAGTACTACTCCACCCTTATCGGGTCTCAGGAGAACCACCCCAGAAAGCTGTTTTCCACAGTAAACAAGCTTCTCAGCCCCCTCCCACCCATTCCAGCTTCTGGTGATTCTGACCTCTGCCATAGATTCCTGAACTTCTTCCAGGACAAGGTGGATACCATCCATCAGCAGCTCCAGACATCCACCACCTGTCTGCATACACCTCAGCTGCAGGACACTGCCCCCTCTGCCACGTGTCCCCCGTTCACCTCCTTCACTCCAGTGGATGAATCCCTTACCACCGAACTGGTCACCAAAGCCAAGGCCTCCAGTTGCTCCCTGGACCCTATGCCCACGACGCTGGTAAAGGCCTGTCTACCGACCCTGGCTCCCATCATTACTAACATCATCAACTCCTCTCTGCTATCCGGCATGGTTCCCACCAGTTTCAAAACTGCATCTGTCACCCCCATACTGAAAAAGCCTGGTCTGGACCCCGACGACCTTACCAACTACCGGCCGATTTCCAATCTCCCGTTCCTCAGCAAGACCCTGGAAAGAGTAGTCGCCGTGCAGCTCCAGCAGCACATGTCCGACCACAAACTCTCCGAACCCTTCCAGTCTGCCTACAGAGCGCACCACAGCACTGAGACCGCCTTGGTTAAAATCATCAATGACCTCCTCATCGCGGCTGACTCCGGCAACATCAGCATCCTCATCCTGTTGGACCTCTCTGCAGCCTTTGACACAGTCTCTCACTCCATCCTCCTCAACCGCCTCTCTACACACCTCAATATCACTGGATCTGCGCTCTCCTGGTTTCACTCCTATCTGTCCAACCGCCTGCAGTTTGTCTCCATGCATGGTTCCAAGTCCCACCCGGCCCCAGTTCCACACGGAGTCCCACAGGATTCCGTACTTGGTCCACTCCTCTTCACCATATACATGCTCCCGCTCGGCCAGATCATCCGTAAGCACGGCCTTGATTTCCACTGTTACGCCGATGATACACAGATATATCTCAGCACCACACCCACCACTCTGCTCCCTCCACTCCCCATTGTCAACTGCCTACAAGAAATAAAAACCACCAACCTACTCCAACTCAACACCAAGAAAACAGAGCTCTTGCTCATGGCTCCCAAGGCACTGCTTCGCAGAATGGGTGATTTCCTCCTCCATATTGACGGCTACTCCATCTCCCCATCCTCCGAGGTGCGCAACCTGGGCGTCATCTTGGACTCTGCCCTCTCATTCCAAACCCACATTAAATCCGTAACTAAGTCAGCCTTTTTCCACCTTAAGACCATCTCCAGACTCCGCTCGTCCCTCTCAGACCCTGTTGCAGAAACCCTCATCCATGCCTTTGTATCCTCCCGCTTAGACTACTGCAACGGTGTCCTGTTCGGACTTCCTAAAAAAGACTTGGACCGTCTGCAGTACGTTCAAAATTCAGCTGCCAGAGTGCTCACCCGGACCAAACCTTGGCAGCACATCACCCCCACCCTCAAACGCCTCCACTGGCTTCCCATCAAATATCGCATCATCTACAAACTCCTCCTGCTCACCTACAAAGCTCTCCATGCCCTAGCCCCATACTATCTCTCTGACCTCCTCAAGGACTACATCCCGGCGCGTACTCTGCGGTCTGCAGACCTTGGGCTCCTCACTGTCCGCTATGGGAAAAGGCGATCCCTTGGTGACAGAGCCTTCAGTGTGGCCGCCCCTCCTCTCTGGAACTCTCTCCCCTCTGAGATTCGCCAAGCACAGACTCTTGACTCTTTCAAGTCTGCTCTGAAGCGACACTTGTTTATCCAGGCTTTTGGTATTTAGTTTTTGTAGTGTGTTGTTAAGCGCCTTGGGTATCCTGAAAGGCGCTATATAAATGTAAGATATTATTATTATTATTATTAAATGAATTGAGAGCCATTTCCAAGTGTCTACATAATTTGCATTTGTGCTTGAGTGTGTTTGAATGAGAGCAGAAGAATCACAAGTTTGTACCTGGAAGCTCAAATTAAAAACAGAAGTATCATACAGATTAAAAATGTAAGGCCAGTGGTCTGAATTAATATAAAAACCAAAGTCATTCAAGGAATTATTTTTGTTCAATGGCACACCAATAAGTACCCCTGCTGTTATATTAATAGACTTATTTTTCAACTCAATCAGGATGCCCATGTTTGTGTTATAAACCAACCTAAAAACATAAGACCTTATTAATGGACACATTAAAGCAATAGAGTCTTATTTATCTAAAAAAGTGTTACTCTGCTACATTAATCCCACATGCAAACACTGACCATGAGCATTACTCTAGATGGGCTCCCATAGGGTAGACACTGCACAAGCTCAGATGATCAAGCCGCTAAAATGGGTTCAAAGAGTTGGTTCTCAAACTTTTTCTACTGTGTGTCACATGAGGATGAAAACTGTAGCATACAAAAAGATGACATAGACTATAAAGTTGACCACAACAGATTAACACACCAACAAGACCAGAAAACATCCACTTTACCTGACTTTAAAGCTCCTATGAGGAGTTCATTGATATTTATGAAATGGACCAAAATTGAGTGTTAATGAAATACAAAATCACATTAGACCATCAGCAACAAGATCTGAGATTTTTATATCCTTAATTTTAAAGTCTGAAATTAGTGGGAAGGGGGTAGGTCCAAGCCTTACAGCTGAAGATTTGGCCCTGTTTTGTTTCCAATCCACTGGGGTTGTAAATTAAATGTGGATCAATGCTTTGAACACCTTTAGAATTGATTTTTGCTTCTCTTTCCAATAAAATGTATTGTAATATGCACACTTCTGGTATGCTTGTCATGTTTTTGCTATAAAAACATTTTTTAGATGGAAAAGAAAACCAGAGGACAAATGTCTGTAGTCATTTTAACTTAGGTTTAATGTTTCCAATAATTAATAATGTCTCTGAAATTTCTGGATTTATGACTCAAACAGGATTTAAAAGATGTCTCAGAATCCAAATTCTACTTATTTTAATGTTCATTTTGTTTGTATCCAGGTGACAGACATGCAAACTGTACTGATTGGTCCATCTGAATTCCCTCCTTTAGTTGATGTAATCTGAGAATATATATGTATAAATGTGAGAAGAGATAGCTGGGACTATTCGGGGCTGGGTTATCCCCTCCCATAAAACAGCTTGTCTTGATGGAAAACACTTCAGTGTTTTTTCTCTCAGGTCTTAATGAGACAAGGAAATATCGCTCTGTCATTTTCTCTCTCACTTTACTTTGTTACTGTTCAATTCTGTTTGGGAATGTAGTTCTCATTGTGACGATTATCATAGATAAAAACCTGCATGAACCCATGTATATTCTACTGTGTACATTCTGCTTTAATGGGCTGTACGGATCAACTGGTTTCTTTCCAAAGTTTCTCTGGGATCTTCTGTCTCCAGTTCATGTTATCTCTTATTATGGATGTCTTGTTCAGTCTCTGGTCGTGAACTCATTCACCTGTGCTGATCTATCATTTCTCACAGTCATGGCCTATGACAGATATGTGGCTATATGTCAACCGCTGAAGTACCACTCCCTCATGTCAAAGCAGAGACTGGTGAAGTTGGTGTGTTTATCTGTGATCACACCTTTTTTTAACATATCGACTAATGTTTCACTTGCATCAAGGTTAAAGCTGTGCAGGAATCATATTTCCAGATTATTTTGTGTTGGCTGGTCGATCGTTACACTTGCTTGTTTTCCAGCTGAAATTGTTCTTATTAACATAGTCGCCTATATTACAATAGTTTTTTATGTTCTTCATTGTGTTCTTATAATTGGCTCTTACGTCTATCTAATCAAAACTTGTGTGAATTCTATAGAAAACAGGGCAAAGTTCATGCAGACATGTGTGCCTCATTTAACCTCCCTTCTCATTTTTTTGTGACTAAACTTTGTGATATGATGTTTAACAGATATGGTTCTAAAAATATATCTCAAACCATCAAAAACTTCATTGCAATAGAGTTTTTTGTCATTCCTCCTTTAATGAATCCTCTTATCTATGGTTTTAAACTGACGAAGATTAGAAACAGAATTGTGGGTTTTGTTAGAGCCAAATAATTTGACCAATGCTTGATTTAGTACAGTCAAAGGGCTAAAAGTACAACATTGTATTTAGGTAATTTTCTTAGCTCTAAAATTATGGAGAGAATAGATACTCCTTAAAAAGAGCAAACATTCAGTTTTTCGTAAGTGTTATCCAAGAAGACGACACTTTGAGTGTTTTATTCAGAGCTCAACTGAAATCAACAGTTACAACAACAACATATCTAAATTATACTGTTTTTAATCATGTTGTAATAGCTATTATGGAGAACAAAGAATCATATCAATGTAGCAGGTGATAACTAACTTCTGCTTCATGCTTATGTCGCTTTTTTTTATCCGTCTTTACACAAAGGATTCAGATGTTGTCTTTTAGGCACAGTCATAGTTAGGTAAAAAGAAACTGTTGGTCTTTCTTCTTTACTTTTTCATTGCTTTGATTGATTGAAGTTTATTTTGAACATATAAAATAAATAAATAAAAACATCAAGAATACAACAACAAATGATAAAAAGTTATCCATGTTTTCAAAGGAGTGTGAAAAAGTCAAATGTACCTAGTCCCACCCCGTGACCTACACTGATGATTTACTTATTATATTACATGACTAGGACAAGTTTTTATTGTTTGTTTGTTTGTTTTTTTATATTTTACAACTTGATCCAACAAAATATTGAAGCTGTAGTAAATTTATTTGCTGTTTTGTGTATTTAGTTGAGAAATGAGTTGAAAGAAAGTGTCTACATAATTTGCATTTGTGCTTGAGTGTGTTTGAATGAGAGCAGAAGAATCACAAGTTTGTACCTGGAAGCTCAAATTAAAAACAGAAGTATCATACAGATTAAAAATATAAGGCCAGTGGTCTGAATTAGACAAGCCCCCACACTGTCCAGTTTTAAAAGTCATCTTAAAACCCATTTTTATTCATTGGCTTTTAACCCTGCATGAGACTCGGCTCCTGTTTTAGTGTTTTATGGTTTGTTTTTAGTTATTTGTTTCTATGTTTTTAAATTAGTTTTTAAAAACATTAAAACTATATTTTACTTTTAATTCTGCTTTTATTTTATCCATTATTTTAATTGTTTCTTGATTGTTTTTTATCTTGTTTTTTTGTCTAGTTATGTACAGCACTTTGTTCAGCTGTGGTTGTTTTAAAGTGCTTAACAAATAAAGTTGAGTTGAGTTGAGTTGAATTCATATAAACACCAAAGTCATACAAGGAACTATGTTTGTTTCACTGAAAACCAATAAGTACCCCTGTTGTTATATTAATAGACTTATTTTTCAAATCAATCAAGATACCCATGTTTGTGTTGTAAACCAACCTAAATACATAAGACCTTATTAGTGGACTTCTTAAAGCAATAGAGTCTTATTCATCTAAAACAGTTTTACTCTGCTACATTAATCCCACGTGCAAGAACTGACCATGAGCATTACTCTAGATGGGCTCCCATAGGCTAGACACTGCACAAGCTCAGATGGTCACGCCGCTAAAATGGGTTCAAAGAGGTGGTTCTGAAACTTTTTCTACTTTGTGTCACATGAGGATGAAAACTGTAGCATAAAGATGATGACATAGAGTAAAAAGTTGACCTGGTAAGTTAGTTTTGAAGTCCAAGCCTTAAAGCTGAAGATTCGACCCTGTTTTGGTCATTACACTTGTTCATAATCCACTGGGGTTGTGAATCAATTGTCAATCAATGCTTTGAACACCTTTAGAATTGATTTTTGCTTCTCTTCCCAATAAAATGTATTGTAATATGCACACTTCTGGTATGCTTGTCATGTTTTTGCTTTTAAAACAGTTTTTAGATGGAAAAGAAAACCAAAAGACAAATGTCTGTGGTCATTTTAACTTAGGTTTGATGTTTCTAATGATCAATAATGTCTCTGAAATTTCTGGATTTGTGACTCAAACAGGATTTAAAAGATGTTCCTCTCATTTTTATGTTCATTTTGTTTGTATCCAGGTGACAGACATGCAAACTTTACTGATTGGTCCATCTGAATTCCCTCCTTTAGTTGATGTAATCTGAGAATATATATGTATAAATGTGAGAAGAGATAGCTGGGACTATTCAGGGCTGGGTTATCCCCTCCCATAAAACAGCTTGTCTTGATGGAAAACACTTCAGTGTTTTTTCTCTCAGGTCTTAATGAGACAAGGAAATATCGCTTTGTTATCTTTACTCTCACTTTACTCTGTTACTGTTCTATTCTGTTTGGGAATGTAGTTCTGATTGTGACAATTATCATAGATAAAAACCTGCATGAACCCATGTATATTCTACTGTGTGTATTCTGCTTTAATGGGCTGTACGGATCAACTGGATTCTACCCAAAGTTTCTCTGGGATCTTCTGTCTCCAGTCCATGTTATCTCTTATGCTGGATGTCTAATTCAGTCTCTGATCGTGAACTCATTCAGCTGTGCTGATCTATCAATTCTCACAGTCATGGCATATGACAGATATGTGGCTATATGTCGACCGCTGAAGTACCACTCCCTCATGTCAAAGCAGAGACTGGTGAAGTTGGTGTGTTTATCTGTGATCACACCTTTTTTGATCATATCGACTAATGTTTCACTTGCATCAAGGTTAAAGCTGTGCAGTAATCATGTTTCCAGATTATTTTGTGTTGGCTGGTCGATTGTTAAACTTGCTTGTTTTCCAGCTGAAACTGTTCTTGATAACATATTCGGCTATATCACAGTGGTAGTTTATGTTCTTCATGCTGTTTTTATATTTTGGTCCTACATCTATCTAATCAAAACCTGTGTGAATTCTACAGAAAACAGGGCAAAGTTCATGCAGACATGTGTGCCTCATTTAACCTCCCTGCTCATTTTTTCTGTGACTAAACTTTGTGATATCATGTTAAACAGATTTGGTTCTAAAAATATATCTCAAACCATCCGAAACTTCATTGCAATACAGTTTTTTGTCATTCCTCCTTTGATGAATCCTCTTATTTATGGTTTTAAACTGACAAAGATTAGAAACAGAATTGTGGGTTTTGTTAGAGACAAATAACTTGACCAATGCTTGATTTAGTACAGTCAAAGGGCTAAAAGTACAACATTGTATTTAGATTATTTTTTAAGCTCTAAAATTATGGAGAGAATAGATACTCCTTAAAAAGAGCATTCAATTTTTAATAAGTGTTATCCAAGAAGAAAACACTTTGAGTGTTTTATTCAGAGCTCAACTGAAATCACTGCTGTTGTTACAACAACAACAACACATCTTAATTATACTGTTTTTAATTATGTTGTAATAGCTATTATAGAGAAAAAAGAATCACCATTATGGCAAAGAATCATGACTAACTTCTGCTTCATGCTTATGTCTCTTTTTTTTTATCTGTCTTAACTCACAGGAATCAGATGTTGTCTGTTCGGCACAGTCATAGTTAAGTAAAAAAAAAAAAAACTATTGATATTTCTATGGAAAATATTACAAATTCTGAGGAAAATGATTGAATTTTATTTAATCTAAATGTGTGTTCACTTTTGGTGTAAATCATGACTTTGCCTGTGGAGTTCAATAAATTCAGTGTTGAACTGGAGATACTGGTCACGAGCAGCTTTACGTTTTCATTGCTTTGATTGATTGATTGATTGATCGAAGTTTATTTTGAACATTCAAAAATAAAAATAATAATAAAAAATTAAGAAAAAAAAACATGACAAAAAGTTGAATATGTTTTAAAAGGAGTGGGAAGGAGTCAAAACTTACTAAGTCTCACTCCTTCTCCTACATTGACGTTTTACATACGTATCATTAAATTATATGCCTATGAGCGTTTTTTTTCATATTTCACATATTGATCTAACAAAATGTCAAAGCTGCAGTAAATACATCCGCTGTTTTGTGTATTTAGTTGAGAAATGAGTTGAGTGTGTCTACATAATTTGCATTTTTGCTTGAATGTGGTGAATTGAAAAAAAGAAGAAACACAAGCTTCAAGCTGGAAGCTCAAATTAAAACAGGAGTATCTTACAAATTGAAAATGTAAGGCTAGTGGTCTGAATTCATATAAACACCAAAGTCATACAAGGAATTATGTTTGTTTCATTGAAAAACAAAAAGAACGCTCTGTAGTTATATTAAAAGACTTATTTTTCAACTCAATCAGGATGCCCATTTTTGTGTTATAAACCAACCTAAAAACATAAGACCTTATTAATAGACTTCTTAAAGCAATGGAGTCTTATTTATCTAAAACAGTGTTACTCTGCTACATTAATCCCACATGCAAAAACTGATCATGAGCATTACTCTAGATGGGCTCTCAGAGGGTAGAAACTGTAGAGGTCAAAAGGTCGCACCACCAAAATGGGTTCAAAGAGGTGGTTCTCAAACTTTTTCTACTGTGTGCCACATGAGGATGTAAACTGTAGCATACAAGATGATGACATAGAGTACCAAGTTGACCACAACAAATTAACACACCAACAAGGCCAGAAAACGTCCACTTTACCTGACTTTAAAGCTCCTATGAGGAGTTCATTGATATTTATTAAATGGACCAAAATTGAGTGTTAATGAAATACAAAATCACATTAGACCATCAGCAACAAGATCTGAGATTTTTATATCCTTAATTTTAAAGTCTGAAATTAGTGGGAAGGGGGTAGGTCTAAGCCTTACAGCTGAAGATTTGACCCTGTTTTGGTCATGTCACCAGCTTGTTTCCAATCCAATTGTCAATTTGAGTTAAGTTTAATTATTTGAATAGTCAATAATTACTTTTGAATTCCCAGATTTATGACATTTAAAAAATGCTTGAGAATCCAAATTCCTCTAATTTTAATGTTCATTTTGTTTGTATCCAGGTGACAGACATTCAAACTTTACTGATTGGTCCATCTGAATTCCCTCCTTTAGTTGATGTAATCTGAGAATACATTAATAAATGTGAGGAGAGATAGCTGGGACTATTTGGGGCTGGGTTATCCCCTCCTCAAAGGGGGGGAGAGAAATTAGCCCAATGGATAACACTTCAGTGTTTTTTCTCTCAGGTCTTAATGAGACAAAGAAATATCGCTCTGTCATTTTCTCTCTCACTTTACTCTGTTACTGTTCTATTGTGTTGGGAAATTTAGTTCTCATTGTGACGATCATAGTGGATAAAAACCTGCATGAACCCATGTATATTCTACTGTGTGCAATTTGCATTCATGAGCTGTACGGATCAACTGGTTTCTACCCAAAGTTTCTCTGGGATCTGCTGTCTTCAGTCCATGTTATCTCCTACTATGGATGTCTTGTTCAGTCTCTGGTAGTGATCTCATTTGCCTGTGGTGATTTATCAATTCTTGCAGTCATGGCATATGACAGATATGTGGCTATATGTCAACCACTGAAGTACCACTCCCTCATGTCAAAGCAGAGACTGGTGAAGTTGGTGTGTTTCTCTGTGATCACACCTTTTGTGATCCTATCTACTAACATTTACATGGCATCTCGGTTAAAGCTGTGCAGTAATCATATTTCCAGGTTATTTTGTGTTGCCTGGTCAGTTGTTAAACTTGCTTGTTTTCCAGATGAGACCTTTCTTAATGACATAGTTGCCTATGTCACAATAGTTTTTTATGTTTTTCATGGTGTTTTTATAGTTTGGTCCTACATCTATCTCATCAAAACTTGTGTGAATTCCCTAGAAAACAGAGCCAAGTTCATGCAGACATGTGTGCCTCATTTAACCTCCTTGCTCATTTTTCTCACGTCTATGCTTTGTGATATCATGTATATCAGATTTGGTTCTAAAAATATACCTCAAACCATCCAAAATTTTATTGCAATTATGCTTTTTGTCATTCCTCCTCTTATAAACCCACTTATCTATGGTTTTAAACTGAAGAAGATTAGAAATAGAATTCTGGGTTTTCTTACAGCCAAATAATTTGACCAATGCTTGATTGAGTACAGTCAGGAGTCTGGCAGTATGACTTTGTGTGTAGATAATATTTCCAGTGTAAAGATGTAGATTGAACCTCACAAAAAAGAGCAAACATTCGATTTTTCTTAAGTGTTATCAAAAAAGAAAACACTGATGCTGTTGCAACTGCAATCCCTGCTGATGTAACAGATATGTCTCTAAATTAGACTGTTTTTAATCATGTTGAAATCGCTTTCATCGAGACAAATGAATCATATCAATGTAGCAGGTGATGACTAACTTCTGCTCCATGCATACGTCTCTCTTTTTTTATCCGTCTCAACACACAGGAATCAGATGTTGTCTGTTAGGCACAGTCATAGTTAAGTAAAAACATGTTGGTGTTTCTATGAGCAATGTCAGAAATTATGAGGAAAATTATTGAATTTTATCTTATCCAAACATGTTTACATTCTTATTGGTAATCGTTCTGATTTTGCTGGTGAATTACAATAAATTTATTGTTAAACTAGAGGATACTGGTCACAGGCAGCTTTGCTTTCTCAGTACTTTGTGTTTGTTGCCCTTTTTTCTTCAGACATGGAGTGTTGACCTGCTGAAACAGAGTTATCAAACAATATATCAATGCTGCACTGAACGCGTATGTTCTGTTTTGTTTGAATTGTTAAGAAGTGAGTCAAAAGACATTTCCACGTGTCTACATAATTTTCATTTGTTTCTTGGTGTGTTTAAATTGAAAGCAGGAGAAACGAAAGCGTGTAGCTGGGAGAACAAATTCAAATCAGAAGTTTAATACAGATTTAAAATGTAAGGCCAGTGGTTTGAATTAATATAAACACCAAGGTCATACAAGGAATTGTGTTATAAATCAATGGTGAATCAATGCTCTGAACGTCTTTCAAGTTGATTTATGCTTCTCTTTCCAATACATGCATTTGGATAGTTCGGACATGCACTGAAGCTTAAATTCATGTTGATATGGACACTTCTGGTATATGCTTGTCATGTTTTTGCATTTAAAACAGTTTTCAGATAGGAAAGACAGCCTGAAGACAAATGTTTTTGGTCATTTTGAGTTTAGTTTGATGTTTTTAATAGTCAAAGATGACTGTTAAATCGACGGATTTGCAATGGTGGACAGCTACAGAGTAGATTTACTTGAGTACGATACTTACGTACATTTTTTTGGTATCTGTACTTTACTTGAGTATTTAGGGCCCGAGCGTAGCTGCTAAGCAGCTGCGAGAGCCCTATTATTCCTGATGGATTCTTCTTTAGGGCCCGAGCGTAGCTGCTAAGCAGCTGCGAGAGCCCTCTTGTTCCTGCATGTTTCCTTCTTTCGTTAGGGCCCGAGCGTAGCTGCTAAGCAGCTGCGAGAGCCCTCTTGTTCCTGATGGATTCTTCTTTTGTTATTAGGGCCCGAGCGTAGCTGCTAAGCAGCTGCGAGAGCCCTATTATTCCTGATGGATTCTTCTTTAGGGCCCGAGCGTAGCTGCTAAGCAGCTGCGAGAGCCCTATTATTCCCCAAGGGGTTTTTCTTTGTTTCTTTCTTTCTTTCTTTCTTCTTTTTCCTCCCCTTTGAACTGGAAAATGGCCCACTTCCCACTGGCGAAAACTCAGGAAATTTGGCAGGACGACCGGGCCTGGTGAAAAATTCGATATTCCGAAGTCGCCCAAACAAGAAAATGCAAAATGGCTCCATAGCGCCCCCTAAGGTGAAAATTCACACTATTGACTGTCACGCCTGTACGCTTTGTCAAAATGACACAAAAATTGACACACACATGTATCTCAATAAGATCTACAAAAAAGTCAGTGCGGGCGTATCTGTCAAATGTACGGTTAAAGGGTTATTTCGCATTTTTTGCCGATCCGCACACATTGGAATTTTGCTAACTCCTCCGAAGGCTTTCGTTCCACCGGCACCACATTTGCTCAGGCCAATCTACACCCCATGGCCATTCAAAGTTATTCAAATCATGACGCTGCACCCCACAGTTTAGGTTCTAGGGGGCGCCAAAGATAACCCTAAAATCCACATTTTTAAAAGTCTTATAACTTTTTATTTTTGCCCTCACTGGCCTCCAAGTTTTCTAGGATGATGCAATGTCCAGCCATCAACACATTTGTGAAGGAATTTTTACTCCCCAAAAGAGCGCCCCCCCATGGCAGGAGAAAAAAGTCCATTTTTTCTTGTCCCCTAAGGTGAAAATACACATTGTTGAGTGTCACGCCTGTACGCTTTGTCAAAATGACACAAAAATTGACACACACATGTATCTCAATAAGATCTACAAAAAAGTCCATGCGCGCGTATCTGTCTAATGTACGGTTAAAGGGTTATTCCGCATTTTTTGCCGATTCGCACACATTGGAATTTCGCTAACTCCTCCGAAGGCTTTCGTTCCACCGGCACCACATTTGCTCAGGCCAAATTACACCCCATGGCCATTAAAAGTTATTCAAATCATGACGCTGCACCCTACGGTTTACGTTCTAGGGGGCGCCAAAGATAACCCAAAAATCCACATTTTTAAAAGTCTTATAACTTTTTATTTTTGTCCTCACTGGCCTCCAAGTTTTCTAGGATGATGCAATGTCCAGCCATCAACACATTTGTGAAGGAATTTTTACTTCCTAAAAGAGCGCCCCCCATGGCAGGAGAAAAAAGTCCATTTTTTCTTGTCCCCTAAGGTGAAAATACACATTGTTGACTGTCACGCCTGTACGCTTTGGCAAAATGACACAAAAATTGACAATCATGTGTATCTCAATTAGATCTACGAAAAAGTCAAAGAGCGCGTATCTGTATAATGTACGGTAAAAGGGCTATTTTGCATTTTTTGCCGATTCGCACACATTGGAATTTCGCTAACTCCTCCTAAGGCTTTCGTCCCACTGACACCAAATTTGCTCAGGCCAATCTACACTCCATGGCCATTCAAAGTTGTAAAAATCATGACGCTGCACCCCACGGTTTACGTTTTAGGGGGCGCCAAAGATGACCCAAATATACATTACAGTAGACAAAGTAGTTTTGCCCACTGAGTGGCGCCAAAGGGACTTGTCTATGGAGTCTGTGAGTCACTATTGGCCGTTTTTGACTACTTTAGATTTTACCTTTATATTTCCTCTTACAAAATTTTTACCTTGCCTTGCCTGGTATCATTTTTTTCAGCACAACCTCACCTGTGTCAATTTACAGTTATTTTATCATTTTGACATACTATATTTACACATTGGACCCAAATTCACACACAAAACATAAAATCCGAGTGGAAAAAAGTAACGTTTTTACTGTGAAAACCACAAATATGTGTGATGAACTGTTTTTAAAACTTAAACTTCAAATAAAAATTGTAAACTTCAGAACATATGCAAATTTTTAACAAAGAACATAGTAATTTACCTCTATTTACATCAAAATGCAGGCAATGGCTCAGGTGTTCTTTGTAAAATTATTTACAAAACACTGTATAGTCTCACAAATGTCACTTTTTATTTATGCCACTACAAAAAAAACATGATGTAAATGATGCATGATGTAAAACATGATGTAAAAAACTTGTGTAGATCCTCCTCTATGTTAGTCCATGTGTAATTTTTCCATAATTCTTTGTTTTTTGCAGCATTTTTGTTAGTGTAACTGCAGATTGTGCTGACAGTGTCTATGGCAAAAAAAAAAAAAAAAACTGAAAATGCCTCAACATGAACCCCTGGTGGTCTCTGAGGGTGAAACCTGCTAACTGCTGCAGCTCTGTCAGCTTCAGTCTCCCATGCAGAGCTCGGAGCGCATGTGTGGCTCTGCACCCTTAGCAGCGTTGCTAACTCCTCAGTAAGGAAAGCCTGCTTCATGTCAGAGTCTCAAAACTCCAGAAGAAGTCGATAAAAGTCCCTTTCTTTCTAAAAAAAAAGTCGTTAGGGGGTCTGAAAAGTCATTGAATCTAACAACAAAGTCGCTAGGTTTGCAACTACGTGTCCCAGACTGCATCCCTGCTGAGAGTCCCTCCCTCCCTTCTCATATTGCAGGAAGAACGTAAGCGCCCGCCCCTTGTCAATCAGTCACCATATAATTTTGAATTGGTTGTTGTGGTGAAGTTTTCCACCAATAGGAGAGATGTTGTGGTGTGTTTTTTTTTTTTCCTTTGGCAAGCCTTTTCCGCCTGTAAGACCTGTCGCTAATGTCTGCATGCTATGTTTTCCTGTCTCATACAGCGCGATCGAGCGCCGAACGTGATCAAAATAAGCAGAAAACAAGTATCGCGGACATAATTTATCATAACTCTGGTTTTATTTGGCCTATCAACACAATTTAAAAACTGGTATATAGGTTGAGGTCCTCACTTTTGAGATAAGTTGAAACGGAGAGTCAACGAGGCTCCGTCTTGCAGCTACATCCGGTTAAATATGTCATGTGACTTGAACGCACACACAGACACACACACACACGCACACACACACACACACACACTCAGAGTCTGGTTTTTAGCACCTGCAAAAACATGCTATTTACATATTTGACAAGAATGCAGAGGCTCCTTTTGCCCCTGAAAAAAATCAAATTTCAAACACAACTTGACTGGTCATTTCTCCAAAAGACAACCATGAAGCTCCATCCAAACCTGAAGCAGGCAGTTGGTGCATGTGCACAGTAACCTGAGGGGAGTGAGGTGACTGCTTCTGAGGAGAACATGAGCAGTGAAGATTCACCTTAGAGCTAGAACAGAGACGTGCACATGATTATACAGGGGCAGGGGCTCAAGTTTTTTCCAGTTGTTTATACAATATGGAAATTAATGTGAAATTAAAAAACAAAGTATTAATAGAAAGGTAATGACTGTCCTGTGTAGGTGACAGTGATATCCAATAGGCTAGGCACTCACGAGGCTGGCTGTGGCAAGTGTAAGTGAAAGCAACACGCACTGGCAGGAAGAACAGCAAACGCCGATGAAGGAAAAGGGTCTTTGCAGTGATGGGCGTTACCAGAGAGGGCGATGGCCAGAGGACACAAATGGGACGGGGAGGCAGCGCGTTGGGGGGGGGACGCGACACAGCTCGGGCCCGCCAGTGCCCCAACGGGGTCCTAGTTCTTCTTCTTCTTATTATTATTTTTCTGCCCCTTTGAACTGGAAAATGGCCCACTTCCCACTGGTGAAAACTCATGAAATTTGGCAGGACGACCGGGCCTGGTGAAAAATTCGATATTCTGAAGTCACCCAAACAATCAAATGCAAAATGGCTCCATAGCGCCCCCTAAGGTGAAAAATTCACATGATTGAGTGTCACGCCTGTACGCTTTGTCAAAATGACACAAAATTTGACACACACGTGTATCTCAATAAGATCTACAAAAAAGTCAGTGCGGGCGTGTCTGTCAAATGTACGTTTAAAGGGCTATTTCGCATTTTTTGCCGATCCGCACACATTGGAATTTCGCTAACTCCTCCGAAGGCTTTCGTTCCACCGGCACCAAATTTGCTCAGGCCAATCTAACCCCCATGGCCATTCAAAGTTGTACAAATCCTGACGCTGCACCCCACGGTTTAGGTTCTAGGGGGCGCCAAAGATAACCCAAAAATCCACATTCTTACAAGTCTTATAACTTTTTATTTCTGTCCTCACTGGCCTCCAAGTTTTCTAGGATGATGCAATGTCCAGCCATCAACACATTTGTGAAGGAATTTTTACTCGCCAAAAGAGCGCCCCCCATGGCAGGAGAAAAAAGTCCATTTTTTCTTGTCTCCTAAGGCGAAAATTCACACTATTGACTGTCACGCCTTTACGCTTTGTCAAAATGACACAAAATTTGACACACACATGTATCTCAATAAGATCTACAAAAAAGTCAGTGCGGGCGTATCTGTCAAATGTACGGTTAAAGGGTTATTCCGCATTTTTTGCCGATCCGCACACATTGGAATTTCGCTAACTCCTCCGAAGGCTTTCGTTCCACCGGCACCAAATTTGCTCAGGCCAATCTAACCCCCATGGCCATTCAAAGTTGTACAAATCATGACGCTGCACCCCACGGTTTAGGTTCTAGGGGGCGCCAAAGATAACCCAAAAATCCACATTCTTACAAGTCTTATAACTTTTTATTTCTGTCCTCACTGGCCTCCAAGTTTTCTAGGATGATGCAATGTCCAGCCATGAACACATTTGTGAAGGAATTTTTACTCGCCAAAAGAGCGCCCCCCATGGCAGGAGAAAAAAGTCCATTTTTTCTTGTCTCCTAAGGCGAAAATTCACACTATTGACTGTCACGCCTTTACGCTTTGTCAAAATGACACAAAATTTGACACACACATGTATCTCAATAAGATCTACAAAAAAGTCAGTGCGGGCGTATCTGTCAAATGTACGGTTAAAGGGTTATTTCGCATTTTTTGCCGATCCGCACACATTGGAATTTCGCTAACTCCTCCGAAGGCTTTCGTTCCACCGGCCCCACATTTGCTCAGGCCAATCTACACCCCATGGCCATTAAAAGTTGTACAAATCATGATGCTGCACCCCACGGTTTACGTTCTAGGGGGCGCCAAAGATAACCCAAATATCCACAGTCTTAAAAGTCTTATAACTTTTTATTTTTGTCCTCACTGGCCTCCAAGTTCTCTAGGATGATGCAATGTCCAGCCATCAACACATTTGTGAAGGAATTTTTACTCGCCAAAAGAGCGCCCCCCCATGGCAGGAGAAAAAAGTCCATTTTTTCTTGTCTCCTAAGGCGAAAATACACATTGTTGACTGTCACGCCTTTACGCTTTGTCAAAATTACACAAAATTTGACACACACATGTATCTCAATAAGATCTACGAAAAAGTCAATGCGAGCGTATCTGTTCAATGTACGGTTAAAGGGCTATTTCGCATTTTTTGCCGATTCGCACACATTGGAATGTGGCTAACTCCTCCTAAAGCTTTTGTCCCATCGGCTTCAAATTTGCTCAGGTCAATCTACACCCCATGGCCATTCAAAGTTGTACAAATCATGACGCTGCACCCCACGGTTTACGTTCTAGGGGGCGCCAAAGATAACCCAAAAATCCACAGTCTTAAAAGTCTTATAACTTTTTATTTTTGTCCTCACTGGCCTCCAAGTTTTCTAGGATGATGCAATGTCTAGCCATCAACACATTTGTGAAGGAATTTTTACTCCCTAAAAGAGCGCCCCCCCATGGCAGGAGAAAAAGTCAAGTTTTTCCTGCCCATCGCTCAATGACTCAAACACATCGCTCTCTCGGCAAAACCGAAAGGAGGAGCAACTTGCCATTTGGATATATCCTAGCTGTGTTTGTGCCCTCACTCATGGTCCAGTCCTTTTCAAATAGGACATGGAGTTTGTCTGCGGCGACGTTTTGGTAGAAACTGCGCCTCCCATTCATTATAATTGTAAATGACCACAGACAAGTGCGCACACCATCTTTGGACCTTGAGTGTGACGCGATCGGTAGGGAGAGGCGGTCGTGTTGGGGGCGGCGCGACACGGCTCGGGCCCGCCAGTGCCCCAACGGGGCCCTAGTGTTATTATTAGGGCCCGAGCCAGCTGCAGAGCAGCCGGGCGTAGGCCCTATTATTCCCCAAGTGGTTTTTCTTTGTTTCTTTCTTTCTTTCTTTCTTTAGGGCCCGAGCGTAGCTGCTAAGCAGCTGCGAGAGCCCTATTGTTCCTGCATGTTTCCTTCTTTTGTTATTATTATTATTATTATTTTTCCTCCCCTTTGAACTGGAAAATGGCCCACTTCCCACTGGCGAAAACTCATGAAATTTGGCAGGACGACCGGGCCTGGTGAAAAATTTGATATTCCGAAGTCGCCCAAACAATAAAATGCAAAATGGCTCCATAGCGCCCCCTAAGGTGAAAATTCACACTATTGACTGTCACGCGTGTACGCTTTGTCAAAATGACACAAAAATTGACACACACATGTATCTCAATAAGATCTACAAAAAAGTCAGTGCGGGCGTATCTGTCAAATGTACGGTTAAAGGGTTATTTCGCATTTTTTGCCGATCCGCACACATTGGAATTTCGCTAACTCCTCCGAAGGCTTTCGTTCCACCGGCACCACATTTGCTCAGGCCAATCTACACCCCGTGGCCATTAAAAGTTATTCAAATCATGACGCTGCACCCCACAGTTTAGGTTCTAGGGGGCGCCAAAGATAACCCTAAAATCCACATATTTAAAAGTCTTATAACTTTTTATTTTTGTCCTCACTGGCCTCCAAGTTTTCTAGGATGATGCAATGTCCAGCCATCAACACATTTGTGAAGGAATTTTTACTCCCCAAAAGAGCGCCCCCCCATGGCAGGAGAAAAAAGTCAATTTTTTCTTGTCCCCTAAGGTGGAAATTCACACTATTGACTGTCACGCCTGTACGCTTTATCATATTGACACAAAAATTGACACACATATGTATCTCAATAAGATCTACAAAAAAGTCAATGCGCGCGTATCTGTCAAATGTACAGTTAAAGGGCTATTTTGCATTTTTTGCCGATTCGCACACATTGGAATGTGGCTAACTCCTCCTAAGGCTTTCGTCCCACTGACACCAAATTTGCTCAGGCCAATCTACACCCCATGGCCATTCAAAGTTGTAAAAATCATGACGCTGCACCCCACGGTTTACGTTCTAGGGGGCGCCAAAGATGACCCAAAAATCCACATTCTTAAAGGAATCACACACCCCCCCCCCCCCCCCCAAGGCAGGAGAAAAAGTCAAGTTAACCCTGCCCATCGCTCAATGGCTCAATCGCATCGCTCTCCAGGCAACACCGTAAGGAGGAGCAACCCGCCATTTCGATATATCATAGCTGTGTTTGTGCCCTCACTCATGGTCCAGACTTTTTTCAAATAGGACATGAAGTTTGTCTGCAGCGAGTGTTTTGGTAGAAACTGCGCCTCCCATTCATTATAATGGGAAATGACCACAGACAAGTGCGCACACCATCTTTGGACCTTGAGTGTGACGCGATCGGGAGGGGGAGGCGGTCACGTTGGGGGCGGCGCTACAGGGCTCGTGCCCGCCAGTGCCCCAACGGGGTCCTAGTGTTATTATTATTATTATTAGGGCCCGAGCGTAGCTGCTAAGCAGCTGCGAGAGCCCTATTATTCCCCAAGTGGTTTTTCTTTGTTTCTTTTTAGGGCCCGAGCGTAGCTGCTAAGCAGCTGCGAGAGCCCTCTTGTTCCTGATGGATTCTTCTTTTGTTATTATTATTATTTTTCCTCCGCTTTAAACTGGAAAATGGCCCACTTCCCACTGGCGAAAACTCATGAAATTTGGCAGGACGACCGGGCCTGGTGAAAAATTCGATATTCTGAAGTCGCCCAAACAAGAAAATGCAAAATGGCTCCATAGCGCCCCCTAAGGTGAAAATTCACACTATTGACTGTCACGCCTGTACGCTTTGTCATATTGACACAAAAATTGACACACACATGTATCTCAATAAGATCTACAAAAAAGTCAGTGCGGGCGTATCTGTCAAATGTACGGTTAAAGGGTTATTTTGCATTTTTTGCAGATCCGCACACATTGGAATTTCGCTAACTCCTCCGAAGGCTTTCGTTCCACCGGCACCACATTTGCTCAGGCCAATCTACACTCCATGGCCATTCAAAGTTGTACAAATCATAATGCTGCACCCCATGGTTTAGGTTCTAGGGGGCGCCAAAAATAACCCAAAAATCCACATTCTTAAAAGTTTTATAAATTTTTTTTTTTGTCCTCACTGGCCTCCAAGTTTTCTAGGATGATGCAATGTCCAGCCATCAACACATTTGTGAAGGAATTTTTACTCCCCAAAAGAGCGCCCCCCCATGGCAGGAATAAAAAGTCCATTTTTTCTTGTCCCCTAAGGTAAAAATACACATTGTTGAGTGTCACGCCTGTACGCTTTGTCGTATTGACAAAAAATTTGACACACACGTGTATCTCAATAAGATCTACGAAAAAGTCAATGGGCGCGTATCTGTAAAATGTACGGCTAAAGGGCTATTTTGCATTTTTTGCCGATTCGCACACATTGGAATGTGGCTAACTCCTCCTAAGGCTTTCGTCCCACTGACACCAAATTTGCTCAGGCCAATCTACACCCCATGGCCATTCAAAGTTGTAAAAATCATGCCGCTGCACCCCATGGTTTACGTTCTAGGGGGCGCCAAAGATGACCCAAATATCCACATTCTTAAAAGTCGTTTTGGCCACTGCAGGAGTACAGAGTACTGCAGGATACACACACACAGACACACACACACACAGACACACACACACACACACACACACACAGACACACACACACACACTCAGAGTCTGTTTTTTAGCACCTGCAAAAACATGCTATTTACATATTTGACAACAATGCAGAGGCTTCCTTTTGCCCCTGAAAAAAATCAAATTTCTAACACAACTTGACTGCTCATTTCTCCAAAAGACAACCATGAAGCTCCATCCAAACCTGAAGCAGGCAGTTGGTGCATGTGTACAGTAACCTGAGGGGAGTGAGGTGACTGCTTCTGAGGAGAACATGAGCAGTGAAGATTCACCTTGGAGCGAGAACAGGGACGTGCACATGATTATACGGGGGCAGGGGCTCAAGTTTTTTCCAGTCGTTTATACAATATGGAAATTAATGTGAAATTAAAAAACAAAGTATTAATAGAAAGGTAATGACTGTCCTGTGTAGGTGACAGTGATATCCAATAGGCTAGGCACTCACGAGGCTGGCTGTGGCAAGTGTAAGTGAAAGCAACACGCACTGGCAGGAAGAACAGCAAACGCCGATGAAGGAAAAGGGTCTTTGCAGTGATGGGTGTTACCAGAGAGGACGATGGCCAGAGGACGCGAATGGGACGGGGAGGCAGCGCGTTGGGGGGGGGGGGGGGGGGGCGACACAGCTCGGGCCCGCCAGTGCCCCAACGGGGCCCTAGTCTTCTTATTATTTTTCTGCCCCTTTGAACTGGAAAATGGCCCACTTCCCACTGGTGAAAAGTCATGAAATTTGGCAGGACGACCGGGCCTGGTGAAAAATTCGATATTCTGAAGTCGCCCAAAAAATCAAATGCAAAATGGCTCCATAGCGCCCCCTAAGGTGAAAAATTCACATGATTGAGTGTCACGCCTGTACGCTTTGTCAAAATGACACAAAATTTGACACACACGTGTATCTCAATAAGATCTACAAAAAAGTCAGTGCGGGCGTATCTGTCAAATGTACGGTTAAAGGGCTATTTCGCATTTTTTGCCGATCCGCACACATTGGAATTTCGCTAACTCCTCCGAAGGCTTTCGTTCCACCGGCACCAAATTTGCTCAGGCCAATCTACACCCCATGGCCATTAAAAGTTGTACAAATCATGACGCTGCATCCCACGGTTTACATTTTAGGGGGCGCCAAAGATAACCCAGAAATCCACATTCTTAAAAGTTGTATAACTTTTTATTTTTGTCCTCACTGGCCTCCAAGTTTTCTAGGATGATGCAATGTCTAGCCATCAACACATTTGTGAAGGAATTTTTACTCCCCAAAAGAGCGCCCCCCCATGGCAGGAGAAAAAACTCCAGTTTTTCTTCCCCCCTAAGGTGAAAATTCACATTATTGAGTGTCACGCCTGTACGCTTTGTCATATTGAAACAAACTTTAACAATCACGTGTTTCTCAATAAGATCTACGAAATAGTCCATGGGCGCGTATCTGTAAAATGTACGGTTAAAGGGCTATTTCGCATTTTTGGTCGATTCGCACACATTGGAATGTGGCTAACTCCTCCTAAAGCTTTCGTTCCACTGACACCAAATTTACTCAGGCCAATCTACACCCCATGGCCATTCAAAGTTGTAAAAATCATGACGCTGCACCCCACGGTTTATGTTCTAGGGGGCGCCAAAGATAACCCAAAAATCCACATTCTTAAATGTCTTATAACTTTTTATTTTTGTCCTCACTGGCCTCCAAGTTTTCTAGGATGATGCAATGTCCAGCCATCAACACATTTGTGAAGGAATTTTTACTCCCCAAAAGAGCGCCCCCCCATGGCAGGAGAAAAAAGTCCATTTTTTCTTGTCCCCTAAGGTGAAAATACACATTGTTGAGTGTCACGCCTGAACTCTTTGTCATATTGACACAAAAATTAACAATCATGTGTATCTCAATTAGATCTACGAAAAAGTCAAAGAGCGCGTATCTGTATAATGTACGGTAAAAGGGCTATTTTGCATTTTTTGCCGATTCGCACACATTGGAATTTCGCTAACTCCTCCGAAGGCTTTCGTCCCACTGACACCATAGTTGCTCAGGCCAATCTACAACCCATGGCCATTCAAAGTTGTACAAATCATGACGCTGCACCCCACGGTTTAGGTTCTAGGGGGCGCCAAAGATAACCCAAAAATCCACAGTCTTAAAAGTCTTATAACTTTTTATTTTTGTCCTCACTGGCCTCCAAGTTTTCTAGGATGATGCAATGTCCAGCCATCAACACATTTGTGAAGGAATTTTTACTCCCCAAAAGAGCGCCCCCCCATGGCAGGAGAAAAAGTCAAGTTTTTCCTGCCCATCGCTCAATGGCTCAAACGCATCGCTCTCTCGGCAAAACCGAAAGGAGGAGCAACTTGCCATTTGGATATATACTAGCTGTGTTTGTGCCCTCACTCATGGTCCAGACTTTTTTCAAAAAGGACATGGAGTTTGTCTGCAGCGAGCGTTTTGGTAGAAACTGCGCCTCCCATTCATTATAATGGTAAATGACCACAGACAAGTGCGCACACCATCTTTGGACCTTGAGTGTGACGCGATCGGGAGGGGTAGGCGGTCGCACTGGGGGCGGCGCGACACGGCTCGGGCCCGCCAGTGCCCCACCGGGGCCCTAGTTCTTTCTTTAGGGCCCGAGCGTAGCTGCTAAGCAGCTGCGAGAGCCCTCTTGTTCCTGTAGTTTCCTTCTTTTGTTATTATTATTATTAGGGCCCGAGCGTAGCTGCTAAGCAGCTGCGAGAGCCCTCTTGTTCCTGATGGATTCTTCTTTTGTTATTATTATTATTATTTTTCCTCCGCTTTAAACTGGAAAATGGCCCACTTCCCACTGGCGAAAACTCATGAAATTTGGCAGGACGACCGGGCCTGGTGAAAAATTCGATATTCTGAAGTCGCCCAAACAATAAAATGCAAAATGGCTCCATAGCGCCCCCTAAGGTGGAAATTCACACTATTGACTGTCACGTCTGTACGTTTTGTCATATTGACACAAAAATTGACACACATATGTATCTCAATAAGATCTACAAAAAAGTCAGTGCGGGCGTATCTGTCAAATGTACGGTTAAAGGGTTATTTCGCATTTTTTGCCGATCCGCACACATTGGAATTTCGCTAACTCCTCCGAAGGCTTTCGTTCCACCGGCACCACATTTGCTCAGGCCAGTCTACACCCCATGGCCATTAAAAGTTGTACAAATCATGACGCTGCACCCCACGGTTTAGGTTCTAGGGGGCGCCAAAGATAACCCAAAAATCCACATTCTTAAAAGTCTTATAACTTTTTATTTTTGTCCTCACTGCCCTCCAAGTTTTCTAGGATGATGCAATGTCCAGCCATCAACACATTTGTGAAGGAATTTTTACTCCCCAAAAGAGCGCCCCCCATGGCAGGAGAAAAAAGTCAATTTTTTCTTGTCCCCTTACATGAAAATACACATTGTTGAGTGTCACGCCTGAACGCTTTGTCATAATGACACAAAAATTGACAATCATGTGTATCTCAATTAGATCTACGAAAAAGTCAAAGGGCGCGTATCTGTATAATGTACGGTTAAAGGGCTATTTCGCATTTTTTGCCGATCCGCACACATTGGAATGTGGCTATCTCCTCCTAAGGCTTTCGTCCCACTGATACCAAATTTGCTCAGGGCAATCTACACCCCATGCCCATTCAAAGTTGTAAAAATCATGACGCTGCACCCCACGGTTTACGTTCTAGGGGGCGCCAAAGATGACCCAAAAATCCACATTCTTAAAAGTCATTTTGGCCACTGCAGGAGTACAGAGTACTGCAGTTCTAGGGGGCGCCAAAGATGACCCAAAAATCCACATTCTTAAAAGTCTTTTTGGCCACTGCAGGAGTACAGAGTACTGCAGGATACACACACATATACACACACGCCAACACACACACACACACACACACACACACACACACACACACACACACACACACACACACACACACACACACTCAGAGTCTGTTTTTTAGCACCTGCAAAAACATGCTGTTTACATATTTGACAAGAATGCAGAGGCTTCCTTTTGCCCCTGAAAAAAATCAAATTTCAAACACAACTTGACTGTTCATTTCTCCAAAAGACAACCATGAAGCTCCATCCAAACCTGAAGCAGATAGTTGGTGCATGTGTACAGTAACCTGAGGGGAGTGAGGTGACTATTTCTGAGGAGAACATGAGCAGTGAAGATTCACCTTGGAGCTAGAACAGGGACGTGCACATGATTATACAGGGGCAGGGGCTCAAGTTTTTTCCAGTCATTTATACAATATGGAAATTAATGTGAAATTAAAAAACAAAGTATTAATAGAAAGGTTATGACTGTCCTGTGTAGATGACAGTGATATCCAATAGGCTAGGCACTCACGAGGCTGGCTGTGGCAAGTGTAAGTGAAAGCAACACGCACTGGCAGGAAGAACAGCAAACGCCGATGAAGGAAAGGGTCTTTGCAGTGATGGGCGTTACCAGAGAGGACGATGGCCAGAGGACGCGAATGGGACGGGGAGGCAGCGCGTTGGGGGGGGCAGCGCGACACGGCTCGGGCCCGCCAGTGCCCCAACGGGGCCCTAGTTATTATTTTTCCTCCCCTTTGAACTGGAAAATGGCCCACTTCCCACTGGCGAAAACTCATGAAATTTGGCAGGACGACCGGGCCTGGTGAAAAATTTGATATTCCGAAGTCGCCCAAACAAGAAAATGCAAAATGGCTCCATAGCGCCCCCTAAGGTGAAAATTCACACTATTCACTGTCACGCCTGTACGCTTTGTCAAAATGACACAAAAATTGACACACACATGTATCTCAATAAGATCTACAAAAAAGTCAGTGCGGGCGTATCTGTCAAATGTACGTTTAAAGGGTTATTTCGCATTTTTTGCCGATCCGCACACATTGGAATTTCGCTAACTCCTCCGAAGGCTTTCGTTCCACCGGCACCACATTTGCTCAGGCCAATCTACACCCCATGGCCATTAAAAGTTATTCAAATCATGACGCTGCACCCCACGGTTTAGGTTCTAGGGGGCGCCAAAGATAACCCTAAGATCCACATATTTAAAAGTCTTATAACTTTTTATTTTTGCCCTCACTGGCCTCCAAGTTTTCTAGGATGATGCAATGTCCAGCCATCAACACATTTGTGAAGGAATTTTTACTCCCCAAAAGAGCGCCCCCCATGGCAGGAGAAAAAAGTCCATTTTTTCTTGTCCCCTAAGGTGAAAATACACATTGTTGAGTGTAACACCTGTACGCTTTGGCAAAATGACACCAAAATTGAGACACACATGTATCTCAATAAGATCTACAAAAAAGTCAATGCGCACGTATCTGTCAAATGTACGGTTAAAGGGTTATTCCGCATTTTTTGCCGATCCGCACACATTGGAATTTCGCTAACTCCTCCGAAGGCTTTCGTTCCACCGGCACCACATTTTCTCAGGCCAATCTACACCCCATGGCCATTAAAAGTTATTCAAATCATGACGCTGCACCCCACGGTTTAGGTTCTAGGGGGCGCCAAAGATAACCGTAAAATCCACATATTTAAAAGTCTTATAACTTTTTATTTTTGTCCCCACTGGCCTCCAAGTTTTCTAGGATGATGCAATGTCCAGCCATCAACACATTTGTGAAGGAATTTTTACTCGCCAAAAGAGCGCCCCCCCATGGCAGGAGAAAAAAGTCCATTTTTTCTTGTCCACTAAGGTGAAAATACACATTGTTGAGTGCTACGCCTGTATGTTTTGTCGTATTGACACAAAATTTTACATACACGTGTCTTTCAATAAGATCTTCGAAAAAGTCAATGGCCACGTATCTGTAAAATGTACGGTTAAAGGGTTATTTCGCATTTTTTGCAGATTCGCACACATTGGAATTTCGCTAACTCCTCCGAAGGCTTTCGTTCCACCGGCACCACATTTGCTCAGGCCAATCTACACCCCATGGCCATTAAAAGTTATTCAAATCATGACGCTGCACCCCACGGTTTAGGTTCTAGGGGGCGCCAAAGATAACCCTAAAATCCACATATTTAAAAGTCTTATAACTTTTTATTTTTGTCCTCACTGGCCTCCATGTTTTCTAGGATGATGCAATGTCCAGCCATCAACACATTTGTGAAGGAGTTTTTTCTCGTTAAAAGAGCGCCCCCCATGGCAGGAGAATAAAGTCAAGTTTTTCCTGTTCATCATTCAATGGCTCAAACGCACTGCTCTCTCGGCAAAAGCGAAAGGAGGAGCAACTTGCCATTTGGATATATCTTAGCTGTGTTTGTGCCCTCACTCATGGTCCAGACTTTTTTCAAATAGGACATGGACTTTTTCTGCAGCGAGCGTTTTGGTAGAAACTGCGCCTCCCGTTCATTTTAATGGTAAATGACCACAAACAAGTGCGCACACCATCTTTGGACCTTGAGTGTGACGCGATCGGGTGGGGGAGGCGGTCGTGCTGGGGGCGGCGTGACACGGCTCGGGCCCGCCAGTGCCCCAACGGGGCCCTAGTTCTTTCTTTCTTTCTTCTTTTTCCTCCCCTTTGAACTGGAAAATGGCCCACTTCCCACTGGCGAAAACTCATGAAATTTGGCAGGACGACCGGGCCTTGTGAAAAATTCGATATTCTGAAGTCGCCCAAACAAAAAAATGCAAAATGGCTCCATAGCGCCCCCTAAGGTGGAAATTCACACTATTGACTGTCACGCCTGTACGCTTTGTCATATTGACACAAAAATTGACACACATATGTATCTCAATAAGGTCTACAAAAAAGTCAGTGCGGCCGTATCTGTCAAATGTACGGTTAAAGGGTTATTTCGCATTTTTTTCCGATCCGCACACATTGGAATTTCGCTAACTCCTCCGAAGGCTTTCGTTCCACCGGCACCACATTTGCTCAGGCCAATCTACACCCCGTGGCCATTAAAAGTTATCAAAATCATGACGCTGCACCCCAAGGTTTAGGTTCTAGGGGGCGCCAAAGATAACACTAAAATCCACATATTTAAAAGTCTTATAACTTTTTATTTTTGTCCTCACTGGCCTCCAAGTTTTCTAGGATGATGCAATGTCCAGCCATCAACACATTTGTGAAGGAATTTTTACTCCCCAAAAGAGCGCCCCCCATGGCAGGAGAAAAAAGTCCATTTTTTCTTGTCCCCTAAGGTGAAAATACACATTGTTGAGTGTCACGCCTATACGCTTTGTCAAAATGACACAAAAATTGACACACACATGTAACTCAATAAGATCTACGAAAAAGTCAACGCACGCGTATCTGTCAAATGTACGGTTAAAGGGTTATTCCGCATTTTTTGCCGATCCGCACACATTGGAATGTGGCTAACTCCTCCTAAGGCTTTCGTTCCACCGGCACCACATTTGCTCAGGCCAATCTACACCCCATGGCCATTAAAAGTTATTCAAATCATGACGCTGCACCCCACGGTTTAGGTTCTAGGGGGCGCCAAAGATAACACTAAAATCCACATATTTAAAAGTCTTATAACTTTTTATTTTTGTCCTCACTGGCCTCCAAGTTTTCTAGGATGATGCAATGTCCAGCCATCAACACATTTGTGAAGGAATTTTTACTCCCCAAAAGAGCGCCCCCCCATGGCAGGAGAAAAAAGTCCATTTTTTCTTGTCCCCTAAGGTGAAAATACACATTGTTGAGTGTCACGCCTATTCGCTTTGTCAAAATGACACAAAAATTGACACACACATGTAACTCAATAAGCTCTACGAAAAAGTCAATGCGCGCGTATCTGTCAAATGTACGGTTAAAGGGTTATTCCGCATTTTTTTCCGATCCGCACACATTGGAATTTCGCTAACTCCTCCGAAGGCTTTCTGTCCACCGGCACCACATTTGCTCAGGCCAATCTACACCCCATGGCCATTCAAAGTTATTCAAATCGCAACTATTCAAATCATAACTCTGGTTTTATTTGGCCTATCAACACAATTTAAAAACTGGTATATAGGTTGAGGTCCTCACTTTTGAGATAAGTTGAAACGGAGAGTCAACGAGGCTCCGTCTTGCAGCTACATCCGGTTAAATATGTCATGTGACTTGAACGCACACACAGACACACACACACAGACACACACACACACGCACACACACACACACACACACACACACTCAGAGTCTGGTTTTTAGCACCTGCAAAAACATGCTATTTACATATTTGACAAAAATGCAGAGGCTCCTTTTGCCCCTGAAAAAAATCAAATTTCAAACACAACTTGACTGGTCATTTCTCCAAAAGACAACCATGAAGCTCCATCCAAACCTGAAGCAGGCAGTTGGTGCATGTGTACAGTAACCTGAGGGGAGTGAGGTGAGTGCTTCTGAGGAGAACATGAGCAGTGAAGATTCACCTTAGAGCTAGAACAGAGACCTGCACATGATTATACAGGGGCAGGGGCTCAAGTTTTTTCCAGTCGTTTATACAATATGGAAATTAATGTGAAATTAAAAAACAAAGTATTAATAGAAAGGTAATGACTGTCCTGTGTAGGTGACAGTGATATCCAATAGGCTAGGCACTCACGAGGCTGGCTGTGGCAAGTGTAAGTGAAAGCAACACGCACTGGCAGGAAGAACAGCAAACGCCGATGAAGGAAAAGGGTCTTTGCAGTGATGGGCGTTACCAGAGAGGGCGATGGCCAGAGGACACAAATGGGACGGGGAGGCAGCACGTTGGGGGGGGACGCGACACGGCTCGGGCCCGCCAGTGCCCCAACGGGGTCCTAGTCTTCTTCTTATTATTTTTCTGCCCCTTTGAACTGGAAAATGGCCCACTTCCCACTGGTGAAAACTCATGAAATTTGGCAGGACGACCGGGCCTGGTGAAAAATTCGATATTCTGAAGTCACCCAAACAATCAAATGCAAAATGGCTCCATAGCGCCCCCTAAGGTGAAAAATTCACATGATTGAGTGTCACGCCTGTACGCTTTGTCAAAATGACACAAAATTTTACACACACGTGTATCTCAATAAGATCTACAAAAAAGTCAGTGCGGGCGTATCTGTCAAATGTACGTTTAAAGGGCTATTTCGCATTTTTTGCCGATCCGCACACATTGGAATTTCGCTAACTCCTCCGAAGGCTTTCGTTCCACCGGCACCAAATTTGCTCAGGCCAATCTACACCCCATGGCCATTCAAAGTTGTACAAATCATGACGCTGCACCCCATGGTTTACGTTGTAGGGGGCGCCAAAGATAACCCAAAAATCCACATTCTTACAAGTCTTATAACTTTTTATTTCTGTCCTCACTGGCCTCCAGGTTTTCTAGGATGATGCAATGTCCAGCCATCAACACATGTGCGAAGGAATTTTTACTCCCTAAAAGAGTGCCCCCCCATGGCAGGAGAAAAAAGGCCATTTTTTCTTGTCCTATAAGGTGAAAATACACATTGTTGAGTGTCACGCCTGTACGCTTTGTCATATTGAAACAAAATTTGATAATCACGTGTATCTCAATAAGATCTACGAAAAAGTCAATGCGCACGTGTCTGCAAAATGTACGGTTAAAGGGCTATTTCGCATTTTTGGTTGATTCGCACACATTGGAATGTGGCTAACTCCTCCTAAAGCTTTCGTTCCACCGGCACCAAATTTGCTCAGGCCAATCTACACCCCATGGCCATTAAAAGTTGTACAAATCATGATGCTGCACGCCACGGTTTACGTTCTAGGGGTCGCCAAAGATAACCCAAAAATCCACATTCTTAAAAGTCTTATAACTTTTCATTTTTGTCCTCACTGGCTTCAAAGTTTTCTAGGATGATGCAATGTCCAGCCATCAACACATTTGTGAAGGAATTTTTTCTCCCTAAAAGAGTGCCCCCCCATGGCAGGAGAAAAAAGTCCATTTTTTCTTGTCCCCTAAGGTGAAAATACACATTGTTCAGTGTCACGCCTCTACGCTTTGGCAAAATGACACAAAAATTGACACACACATGTATCTCAATAAGATCTACGAAAAAGTCAATGTGCGCGTATCCGTCAAATGTACGGTTAAAGGGTTATTCCACATTTTTTGCCGATCCGCACACATTGGAATTTCGCTAACTCCTCCGAAGGCTTTCGTTCCACCGGCACCAAATTTGCTCAGGTCAATCTACACCCCATGGCCATTAAAAGTTGTACAAATCATGACGCTGCACCCCAGGGTTTAGGTTCTAGGGGGCGCCAAAGATAACCCAAATATCCACATTTTTAAAAGTCTTATAACTTTATTTTTGTCCTCACTGGCCTCCAAGTTTTCTAGGATGATGCAATGTCCAGCCATCAGCACATGTGCGAAGGAATTTTTACTCCCCAAAAGAGCGCCCCCCATGGCAGGAGAAAAAAGTCCATTTTTTCTTGTCCCCTAAGGTGAAAATTCACACTATTGAGTGTCACGCCTGTACGCTTCGTCATATTGACACATAATTTGACAATCACGTGTATCTCAATAAGATCTACGAAAAAGTCAGTGCGGGCATATCTGTCAAATGTACGGTTAAAGGGTTATTCCGCATTTTTTGCCGATCCGCACACATTGGAATTACGCTAACTCCTCCTAAAGCTTTCGTTCCACCGGCACCAAATTTGCTCAGGCCAATCTACACCCCATGGCCATTAAAAGTTGTACAAATCATGATGCTGCACCCCACGGTTTAGGTTCAAGGGGGCGCCAAAGATTACCCAAATATCCATATTCTTAAAAGTCTTATAACTTTTTATTTTTGTCCTCACTGGCCTCCAAGTTTTCTAGGATGATGCAATGTCCAGCCATCAACACATTTGTGAAGGAATTTTTCTCCCCAAAAGAGCGCCCCCCCATGGCAGGCGAAAAAGTCAAGTTTTTCCTGCCCATTGCTCAATGGCTCAAACATCGCTCTCTCGGCAAAACCGAAAGGAGGAGCAACTTGACATTTGGATATATACTAGCTGTGTTTCTGCCCTCACTCATGGTCCAGACTTTTTTCAAATAGGACATGGAGTTTTTCTGCAGCGAGCATTTTGGTAGAAACTGCGCCTCCCATTCATTATAACGGTAAATGACCACAGACAAGTGCACACACCATCTTTCGACCTTGAGTGTGACGCGATCAGGAGGGGGAGGCGGTCGCGCTGGGGGCGGTGCGACATGGCTCGGGCCCGCCAGTGCCCCAACGGGGCCCTAGTTATTATTATTTTTCCTCCCCTTTGAACTGGAAAATGGCCCACTTCCCACTGGCGAAAACTCATGAAATTTGGCAGGACGACCGGGCCTGGTGAAAAATTTGATATTCCGAAGTCGCCCAAACAAGAAAATGCAAAATGGCTCCATAGCGCCCCCTAAGGTGAAAATTCACACTATTGACTGTCACGCCTGTACGCTTTGTCAAAATGACACAAAAATTGACACACACATGTATCTCAATAAGATCTACAAAAAAGTCAGTGCGGGCGTATCTGTCAAATGTACGGTTAAAGGGTTATTTTGCATTTTTTGCCGATCCGCACACATTGGAATTTCGCTAACTCCTCCGAAGGCTTTCGTTCCACCGGCACCACATTTGCTCAGGCCAATCTACACCCCATGGCCATTAAAAGTTATTCAAATCATGACGCTGCACCCCACGGTTTAGGTTCTAGGGGGCGCCAAAGATAACCCTAAAATCCACATATTTAAAAGTCTTATAACTTTTTATTTTTGCCCTCACTGGCCTCCAAGTTTTCTAGGATGATGCAATGTCCAGCCATCAACACATTTGTGAAGGAATTTTTACTCCCCAAAAGAGCGCCCCCCCATGGCAGGAGAAAAAAGTCCATTTTTTCTTGTCCCCTAAGGTGAAAATTCACACTATTGACTGTCACGCCTGTACGCTTTGTCAAAATGACACAAAAATTGACACACACATGTATCTCAATAAGATCTACAAAAAAGTCCATGCGCGCGTATCTGTCTAATGTACGGTTAAAGGGTTATTTCGCATTTTTTGCCGATCCGCACACATTGGAATTTCGCTAACTCCTCCGAAGGCTTTCGTTCCACCGGCACCACATTTGCTCAGGCCAATCTACACCCCATGGCCATTAAAAGTTATTCAAATCATGACGCTGCACCCCACGGTTTACGTTCTAGGGGGCGCCAAAGATAACCCAAAAATCCACATTCTTAAAAGTCTTATAACTTTTTATTTTTGTCCTCACTGGCCTCCAAGTTTTCTAGGATGATGCAATGTCCAGCCATCAACACATTTGTGAAGGAATTTTTACTCCCCAAAAGAGCGCCCCCCCATGGCATGAGAAAAAAGTCCATTTTTTCTTGTCCCCTAAGGTGAAAATACACATTGTTGACTGTCACGCCTGTACCCTTTGGCAAAATGACACAAAAATTGACAATCATGTGTATCTCAATTAGATCTACGAAAAAGTCAAAGAGCGCGTATCTGTATAATGTACGGTAAAAGGGCTATTTTGCATTTTTTGCCGATTCGCACACATTGGAATTTCGCTAACTCCTCCTAAGGCTTTCGTCCCACTGACACCAAATTTGCTCAGGCCAATCTACACTCCATGGCCATTCAAAGTTGTAAAAATCATGACGCTGCACCCCACGGTTTACGTTTTAGGGGGCGCCAAAGATGACCCAAATATACATTACAGTAGACAAAGTAGTTTTGCCCACTGAGTGGCGCCAAAGGGACTTGTCTGTGGAGTCTGTGAGTCACTATTGGCCGTTTTTGACTACTTTAGATTTTACCTTTATATTTCCTCTTACAAAATTTTTACCTTGCCTTGCCTGGTATCATTTTTTTCAGCACAACCTCACCTGTGTCAATTTACAGTTATTTTATCATTTTGACATACTATATTTAAACATTGGACCCAAATTCACACACAAAACATAAAATCCGAGTGGAAAAAAGTAACGTTTTTACTGTGAAAACCACAAATATGTGTGATGAACTGTTTTTAAAACTTAAACTTCAAATAAAAATTGTAAACTTCAAAACATATGCAAATTTTTAACAAAGAACATAGTAATTTACCTCTATTGTCATCAAAATGCAGGCAATGGCCCAGGTGTTCTTTGTAAAATTATTTACAAAACACTGTATAGTCTCACAAATGTCACTTTTTATTTATGCCACTACAAAAAAACATGATGTAAATGATGCATGATGTAAAACATGATGTAAAAAACTTGTGTAGATCCTCCTCTATGTTAGTCCATGTGTAATTTTTCCATAATTCTTTGTTTTTTGCAGCATTTTTGTTAGTGTAACTGCAGATTGTGCTGACAGTGTCTATGGCAAAAAAAAAAAAAAAAAAACTGAAAATGCCTCAACATGAACCCCTGGTGGTCTCTGAGGGTGAAACCTGCTAACTGCTGCAGCTCTGTCAGCTTCAGTCTCCCATGCAGAGCTCGGAGCGCATGTGTGGCTCTGCACCCTTAGCAGCGTTGCTAACTCCTCAGTAAGGAAAGCCTGCTTCATGTCAGAGTCTCTAAACTCCAGAAGAAGTCGATAAAAGTCACTTTCTTTCTAAAAAAAAGTCGTTAGGGGGTCTGAAAAGTCATTGAATCTAACAACAAAGTCGCTAGGTTTGCAACTACGTGTCCCAGACTGCATCCCTGCTGAGAGTCCCTCCCTCCCTTCTCATATTGCAGGAAGAACGTAAGTTCCCGCCCCTTGTCAATCAGTCACCATATAATTTTGGATTGGTTGTTGTGGTGAAGTTTTCCACCAATAGGAGAGATGTTGTGGTGTGTATTTTTTTTCCTTTGGCAAGCCTTTTCCGCCTGTAAGACCTGTCGCTAATGTCTGCATGCTATGTTTTCCTGTCTCATACAGCGCGATCGAGCGCCGAACGTGATCAAAATAAGCAGAAAACAAGTATCGCGGACATAATTTATCATAACTCTGGTTTTATTTGGCCTATCAACACAATTTAAAAACTGGTATATAGGTTGAGGTCCTCACTTTTGAGATAAATTGAAACGGAGAGTCAACGAGGCTCCGTCTTGCAGCTACATCCGGTTAAATATGTCATGTGACTTGAACGCACACACACAGACACACACACACACAGACACACACACTCAGAGTCTGTTTTTTAGCACCTGCAAAAACATGCTATTTACATATTTGACAAGAATGCAGAGGCTTCCTTTTGCCCCTGAAAAAAATCAAATTTCTAACACAACTTGACTGGTCATTTCTCCAAAAGACAACCATGAAGCTCCATCCAAACCTGAAGCAGGCAGTTGGTGCATGTGTACAGTAACCTGAGGGGAGTGAGGTGACTGCGTCTGAGGAGAACATGAGCAGTGAAGATTTACCTTAGAGCTAGAACAGAGACGTGCACATGATTATACAGGGGCAGGGGCTCAAGTTTTTTCCAGTCGTTTATACAATTTGGAAATTAATGTGAAATTAAAAAACAAAGTATTAATAGAAAGGTAATGACTGTCCTGTGTAGGTGACAGTGATATCCAATAGGCTAGGCACTCACGAGGCTGGCTGTGGCAAGTGTAAGTGAAAGCAACACGCACTGGCAGGAAGAACAGCAAACGCCGATGAAGGAAAAGGGTCTTTGCAGTGATGGGCGTTACCAAAGAGGGCGATGGCCAGAGGACACAAATGGGACGGGGAGGCAGCGTGTTGGGGGGGGGACGCGACACAGCTCGGGCCCGCCAGTGCCCCAACGGGGTCCTAGTTAGGGCCCGAGCGTAGCTGCTAAGCAGCTGCGAGAGCCCTCTTGTTCCTGATGGATTCTTCTTTAGGGCCCGAGCGTAGCTGCTAAGCAGCTGCGAGAGCCCTCTTGTTCCTGTAGTTTCCTTCTTTTGTTATTAGGGCCCGAGCGTAGCTGCTAAGCAGCTGCGAGAGCACTGTTGTTCCTGATGGATTCTTCTTTCTTCTTCTTCTTCTTATTAGGGCCCGAGCGTAGCTGCTAAGCAGCTGCGAGAGCACTGTTGTTCCTGATGGATTCTTCTTTCTTCTTTAGGGCCCGAGCGTAGCTGCTAAGCAGCTGCGAGAGCCCTATTATTCCTGATGGATTCTTCTTTCTTCTTCTTCTTCTTATTAGGGCCCGAGCGTAGCTGCTAAGCAGCTGCGAGAGCCCTCTTGTTCCTGTAGTTTCCTTCTTTTGTTATTATTAGGGCCCGAGCGTAGCTGCTAAGCAGCTGCGAGAGCCCTCTTGTTCCTGTAGTTTCCTTCTTTTGTTATTAGGGCCCGAGCGTAGCTGCTAAGCAGCTGCGAGAGCCCTCTTGTTCCTGCATGTTTCCTTCTTTCGTTATTATTTTTCCTCCGCTTTAAACTGGAAAATGGCCCACTTCCCACTGGCGAAAACTCAGGAAATTTGGCAGGACGACCGGGCCTGGTGAAAAATTCGATATTCTGAAGTCGCCCAAACAATAAAATGCAAAATGGCTCCATAGCGCCCCCTAAGGTGAAAATTCACATGACGGCTGTACGCTTTGTCATATTGACACAAAAATTGACACACACATGTATGTCAATAAGATCTACAAAAAAGTCAGTGCGGGCGTATCTGTCAAATGTACGGTTAATGGGTTATTTTGCATTTTTTGCAGATCTGCACACATTGGAATTTCGCTAACTCCTCCGAAGGCTTTCGTTCGACCGGCACCACATTTGCGCAGGCCAATCTACCCCCCATGGCCATTAAAAGTTGTACAAATCATGACGCTGCACCCCACGGTTTACGTTCTAGGGGGCGCCAAAGATAACCCAAAATCCACATTCGTAAAAGTCTTATAACTTTTTATTTTTGTCCTCACTGCCCTCCAAGTTTTCTAGGATGATGCAATGTCCAGCCATCAACACATTTGTGAAGGAATTTTTACTCCCCAAAAGAGCGCCCCCCATGGCAGGAGAAAAAAGTCAATTTTTTCTTGTCCCCTAAGGTGAAAATACACATTGTTGAGTGTCACGCCTATACGCTTTGTCATATTGACCCAAAATTTGACAATCACGTGTATCTCAATAAGATCTACGAAAAAGTCAATGGGCACGTATCTGTAAAATGTACGGTTAAAGGGTTATGTCGCATTTTTTCCCGATCCGCACACATTGGAATTTCGCTAACTTCTCCGAAGGCTTTCGTTCCACCGCCACCAAATTTGCTCAGGCCAATCTACACCCCATGGCCATTCAAAGTTGTACAAATCATGATGCTGCACTCCACAGTTTAGGTTCTAGGGGGCGCCAAACATAACCCTAAAATCCACATTCTTAATAGTCTTATAACTTTTTATTTTTGTCCTCACTGGCCTCCAAGTTTTCTAGGATGATGCAATGTCCAGCCATCAACACATTTGTAAAGGAATTTTTACTCTCGAAAAGAGCGCCCCCCATGGCAGGAGAAAAAAGTCAATTTTTTCTTGTCCCCTAAGGTGAAAAAACACATTGTTGAGTGTCACTCCTATACGCTTTGTCAAAATGACACAAAATTTGACACACACGTGTATCTCAATAAGATCTACGAAAAAGTCAATGTGCACGCATCTGTAAAATGTACAGTCAAAGGGCTATTTCGCATTTTTTCCCGATCCGCACACATTGGAATTTCGCTAACTCCTCCTAAGGCTTTCGTCCCACCGACACCAAATTTGCTCAAGCAGATCTACATCCCATGGCCATTCAAAGTTGTAAAAATCATGACGCTGCACCCCACGGTTTACGTTCTAAGGGGCGCCAAAGATGACCCTAAAATCCACATTCTTAATAGTCTTATAACTTTTTATTTTTGTCCTCACTGGCCTCCAAGTTTTCTAGGATGATGCAATGTCCAGCCATCAACACATTTGTAAAGGAATTTTTACTCTCGAAAAGAGCGCCCCCCCATGGCAGGAGAAAAAAGTCAATTTTTTCTTGTCCCCTAAGGTGAAAAAACACATTGTTGAGTGTCACTCCTATACACTTTGTCAAAATGACACAAAATTTGACACACACGTGTATCTCAATAAGATCTACGAAAAAGTCAATGTGCACGCATCTGTAAAATGTACAGTCAAAGGGCTATTTCGCATTTTTTCCCGATCCGCACACATTGGAATTTCGCTAACTCCTCCTAAGGCTTTCGTCCCACCGAAACCAAATTTGCTCAAGCAGATCTACATCCCATGGCCATTCAAAGTTGTAAAAATCATGACTCCCCTTCGCTCTCTTCGGCAAAACCGAAAGGAGGAGCAACTTGCCATTTGGATATATACTAGCTGTGTTTCTGCCCTCACTCATGGTCCAGACGTTTTTCAAATAGGACATGGAGTTTTTCTGCAGCGAGCGTTTTGGTAGAAACTGCGCCTCCCATTCATTATAACGGTAAATGACCACAGACAAGTGCACACACCATCTTTCGACCTTGAGTGTGACGCGATCAGGAGGGGGAGGCGGTCGCGCTGGGGGCGGTGCGACATGGCTCGGGCCCGCCAGTGCCCCAACGGGGCCCTAGTTATTATTTTTCCTCCCCTTTGAACTGGAAAATGGCCCACTTCCCACTGGCGAAAACTCATGAAATTTGGCAGGACGACCGGGCCTGGTGAAAAATTTGATATTCCGAAGTCGCCCAAACAAGAAAATGCAAAATGGCTCCATAGCGCCCCCTAAGGTGAAAATTCACACTATTGACTGTCACGCCTGTACGCTTTGTCAAAATGACACAAAAATTGACACACACATGTATCTCAATAAGATCTACAAAAAAGTCAGTGCGGGCGTATCTGTCAAATGTACGGTTAAAGGGTTATTTCGCATTTTTTGCCGATCCGCACACATTGGAATTTCGCTAACTCCTCCGAAGGCTTTCGTTCCACCGGCACCACATTTGCTCAGGCCAATCTACACCCCATGGCCATTAAAAGTTATTCAAATCATGACGCTGCACCCCACGGTTTAGGTTCTAGGGGGCGCCAAAGATAACCCTAAGATCCACATATTTAAAAGTCTTATAACTTTTTATTTTTGCCCTCACTGGCCTCCAAGTTTTCTAGGATGATGCAATGTCCAGCCATCAACACATTTGTGAAGGAATTTTTACTCCCCAAAAGAGCGCCCCCCCATGGCAGGAGAAAAAAGTCCATTTTTTCTTGTCCCCTAAGGTGAAAATACACATTGTTGAGTGTAACACCTGTACGCTTTGGCAAAATGACACAAAAATTGACACACACATGTATCTCAATAAGATCTACGAAAAAGTCAATGCGCGCGTATCTGTCAAATGTACGGTTAAAGGGTTATTCCGCATTTTTTGCCGATCCGCACACATTGGAATTTCGCTAACTCCTCCGAAGGCTTTCATTCCACCGGTACCACATTTGCTCAGGCCAATCTACACCCCATGGCCATTAAAAGTTATTCAAATCATGACGCTGCATCCCACGGTTTAGGTTCTAGGGGGCGCCAAAGATAACCCTAAAATCCACATATTTAAAAGTCTTATAACTTTTTATTTTTGTCCTCACTGGCCTCCAAGTTTTCTAGGATGATGCAATGTCCAGCCATCAACACATTTGTGAAGGAATTTTTACTCCCCAAAAGAGCGCCCCCCCATGGCAGGAAAAAAAAGCCAATTTTTTCTTGTCCCCTAGGTGGAAATTCACACTATTGACTGTCACGCCTGTACGCTTTATCATATTGACACAAAAATTGACACACATATGTATCTCAATAAGATCTACAAAAGAATCGATTCGCGCGTATCTGTCAAATGTACGGTTAAAGGGCTATTTTGCATTTTTTGCCGATTCGCACACATTGGAATGTGGCTAACTCCTCCTAAGGCTTTCGTCCCACTGACACCAAATTTGCTCAGGCCAATCTACACCCCATGGCCATTCAAAGTTGTAAAAATCATGACGCTGCACCCCACGGTTTACGTTCTAGGGGGCGCCAAAGATGACCCAAAAATCCACATTCTTCAAAGAATCCACATCCCCCCCCCCCCCATATGGCAGGAGAAAAAGTTAAGTTTTTCCTGCCCATCGCTCAATGGCTCAATCGCATCGCTCTCCAGGCAACACCGTAAGGAGGAGCAACCTGCCATTTCGATATATCATAGCTGTGTTTGTGCCCTCACTCATGGTCCAGACTTTTTTCAAATAGGACATGAAGTTTGTCTGCAGCGAGTGTTTTGGTAGAAACTGCGCCTCCCATTCATTATAATAGGAAATGACCACAGACAAGTGCGCACACCATCTTTGGATCTTGAGTGTGACGCGATCGGGAGGGGGAGGCGGTCGCACTGGGGGCGGCGCGACACGGCTCGGGCCCGACAGTGCCCCAACGGGGTCCTAGTTCTTTGTTTCTTTCTTTCTTCTTTTTCCTCCCCTTTGAACTGGAAAATGGCCCACTTCCCACTGGCGAAAACTCATGAAATTTGGCAGGATGACCGGGCCTGGTGAAAAATTCGATATTCTGAAGTAGCCCAAACAATAAAATGCAAAATGGCTCCATAGCGCCCCCTAAGGTGAAAATTCACACTATTGACTGTCACGCCTTTACGCTTTGTCATATTGACACAAAAATTGACACACACATGTATCTCAATAAGATCTACAAAAAAGTCAGTGCGGGCGTATCTGTCAAATGTACGGTTAAAGGGTTATTCCGCATTTTTTGCCGATCCGCACACATTGGAATTTCGCTAACTCCTCCGAAGGCTTTCGTTCCACCGGCACCACATTTGCTCAGGCCAATCTACACCCCATGGCCATTAAAAGTTATTCAAATCATGACGCTGCACCCCACGGTTTAGGTTCTAGGGGGCGCCAAAGATAACCCTAAAATCCACATATTTAAAAGTCTTATAACTTTTTATTTTTGACCTCACTGGCCTCCAAGTTTTCTAGGATGATGCAATGTCCAGCCATCAACACATTTGTGAAGGAATTTTTAATCCCCAAAAGAGCGCCCCCCATGGCAGGAGAAAAAAGTCAATTTTTTCTTGTCCCCTAAGGTGAAAATACACATTGTTGAGTGTCACGCCTGTACGCTTTGTCATATTGACACAAAATTTGACACACACATGTATCTCAATAAGATCTACGAAAAAGTCAATGCGCGCGTATCTGTCAAATGTACGGTTAAAGGGTTATTCCGCATTTTTTGCTGATCCGCACACATTGGAATTTCGCTAACTCCTCCTAAGGCTGGCGTTCCACCGGCACCAAATTTGCTCAGGCCAATCTACACCCCATGGCCATTAAAAGTTATTCAAATCATGACGCTGCACCCCACGGTTTAGGTTCTAGGGGGCGCCAAAGATAACCCTAAAATCCACATATTTCAAAGTCTTATTAGGGCCCGAGCCAGCTGCAGAGCAGCCGGGCGTAGGCCCTATTATTCCCCAAGTGGTTTTTCTTTGTTTCTTTCTTTAGGGCCCGAGCGTAGCTGCTAAGCAGCTGCGAGAGCCCTCTTGTTCCTGTAGTTTCCTTCTTTTGTTATTATTATTATTTTTCCTCCCCTTTGAACTGGAAAATGGCCCACTTCCCACTGGCGAAAACTCATGAAATCTGGCAGGACGACCGGGCCTGGTGAAAAATTTGATATTCCGAAGTCGCCCAAACAAGAAAATGCAAAATGGCTCCATAGCGCCCCCTAAGGTGAAAATTCACACTATTCACTGTCACGCCTGTACGCTTTGTCAAAATGACACAAAAATTGACACACACATGTATCTCAATAAGATCTACAAAAAAGTCAGTGCGGGCGTATCTGTCAAATGTACGGTTAAAGGGTTATTTCGCATTTTTTGCCGATCCGCACACATTGGAATTTCGCTAACTCCTCCGAAGGCTTTCGTTCCACCGGCACCACATTTGCTCAGGCCAATCTACACCCCATGGCCATTAAAAGTTATTCAAATCATGACGCTGCACCCCACGGTTTAGGTTCTAGGGGGCGCCAAAGATAACCGTAAAATCCACATATTTAAAAGTCTTATAACTTTTTATTTTTGTCCCCACTGGCCTCCAAGTTTTCTAGGATGATGCAATGTCCAGCCATCAACACATTTGTGAAGGAATTTTTACTCGCCAAAAGAGCGCCCCCCCATGGCAGGAGAAAAAAGTCCATTTTTTCTTGTCCACTAAGGTGAAAATACACATTGTTGAGTGCTACGCCTGTATGTTTTGTCGTATTGACACAAAATTTTACATACACGTGTATTTCAATAAGATCTTCAAAAAATTCAATGGCCACGTATCTGTAAAATGTACGGTTAAAGGGTTATTTCGCATTTTTTGCAGATTCGCACACATTGGAATTTCGCTAACTCCTCCGAAGGCTTTTGTTCCACCGGCACCACATTTGCTCAGGCCAATCTACACCCCATGGCCATTAAAAGTTATTCAAATCATGACGCTGCACCCCACGGTTTAGGTTCTAGGGGGCGCCAAAGATAACCCTAAAATCCACATATTTAAAAGTCTTATAACTTTTTATTTTTGTCCTCACTGGCCTCCATGTTTTCTAGGATGATGCAATGTCCAGCCATCAACACATTTGTGAAGGAGTTTTTTCTCGTTAAAAGAGCGCCCCCCCATGGCAGGAGAATAAAGTCAAGTTTTTCCTGTTCATCATTCAATGGCTCAAACGCACTGCTCTCTCGGCAAAAGCGAAAGGAGGAGCAACTTGCCATTTGGATATATCTTAGCTGTGTTTGTGCCCTCACTCATGGTCCAGACTTTTTTCAAATAGGACATGGAGTTTTTCTGCAGCGAGCGTTTTGGTAGAAACTGCGCCTCCCGTTCATTATAATGGTAAATGACCACAAACAAGTGCGCACACCATCTTTGGACCTTGAGTGTGACGCGATCGGGTGGGGGAGGCGGTTGCGCTGGGGGCAGCGTGACACGGCTCGGGCCCGCCAGTGCCCCAACGGGGCCCTAGTTATTTTTCCTCCCCTTTGAACTGGAAAATGGCCCACTTCCCACTGGCGAAAACTCATGAAATTTGGCAGGACGACCGGGCCTGGTGAAAAATTTGATATTCCGAAGTCGCCCAAACAAGAAAATGCAAAATGGCTCCATAGCGCCCCCTAAGGTGAAAATTCACACTATTCACTGTCACGCCTGTACGCTTTGTCAAAATGACACAAAAATTGACACACACATGTATCTCAATAAGATCTACAAAAAAGTCAGTGCGGGCGTATCTGTCAAATGTACGGTTAAAGGGTTATTTCGCATTTTTTGCCGATCCGCACACATTGGAATTTCGCTAACTCCTCCGAAGGCTTTCGTTCCACCGGCACCACATTTGCTCAGGCCAATCTACACCCCATGGCCATTAAAAGTTATTCAAATCATGACGCTGCACCCCACGGTTTAGGTTCTAGGGGGCGCCAAAGATAACCCTAAAATCCACATATTTAAAAGTCTTATAACTTTTTATTTTTGCCCTCACTGGCCTCCAAGTTTTCTAGGATGATGCAATGTCCAGCCATCAACACATTTGTGAAGGAATTTTTACTCCCCAAAAGAGCGCCCCCCCATGGCAGGAGAAAAAAGTCCATTTTTTCTTGTCCCCTAAGGTGAAAATTCACACTATTGACTGTCACGCCTGTACGCTTTGTCAAAATGACACAAAAATTGACACACACATGTATCTCAATAAGATCTACAAAAAAGTCCATGCGCGCGTATCTGTCTAATGTACGGTTAAAGGGTTATTTCGCATTTTTTGCCGATCCGCACACATTGGAATTTCGCTAACTCCTCCGAAGGCTTTCGTACCACCGGCACCACATTTGCTCAGGCCAATCTACACCCCATGGCCATTAAAAGTTATTCAAATCATGACGCTGCACCCCACGGTTTAGGTTCTAGGGGGCGCCAAAGATAACCCAAAAATCCACATTTTTAAAAGTCTTATAACTTTTTATTTTTGTCCTCACTGGCCTCCAAGTTTTCTAGGATGATGCAATGTCCAGCCATCAACACATTTGTGAAGGAATTTTTACTCCCTAAAAGAGCGCCCCCCATGGCAGGAGAAAAAAGTCCATTTTTTCTTGTCCCCTAAGGTGAAAATACACATTGTTGACTGTCACGCCTGTACGCTTTGGCAAAATGACACAAAAATTGACAATCATGTGTATCTCAATTAGATCTACGAAAAAGTCAATGCGCGCGTATCTGTATAATGTACGGTAAAAGGGCTATTTTGCATTTTTTGCCGATTCGCACACATTGGAATTTCGCTAACTCCTCCTAAGGCTTTCGTCCCACTGACACCAAATTTGCTCAGGCCAATCTACACTCCATGGCCATTCAAAGTTGTAAAAATCATGACGCTGCACCCCACGGTTTACGTTTTAGGGGGCGCCAAAGATGACCCAAATATACATTACAGTAGACAAAGTAGTTTTGCCCACTGAGTGGCGCCAAAGGGACTTGTCAGTGGAGTCTGTGAGTCACTATTGGCCGTTTTTGACTACTTTAGATTTTACCTTTATATTTCCTCTTACAAAATTTTTACCTTGCCTTGCCTGGTATCATTTTTTTCAGCACAACCTCACCTGTGTCAATTTACAGTTATTTTATCATTTTGACATACTATATTTACACATTGGACCCAAATTCACACACAAAACATAAAATCCGAGTGGAAAAAAGTAACGTTTTTACTGTGAAAACCACAAATATGTGTGATGAACTGTTTTTAAAACTTAAACTTCAAATAAAAATTGTAAACTTCAAAACATATGCAAATTTTTAACAAAGAACATAGTAATTTACCTCTATTGACATCAAAATGCAGGCAATGGCCCAGGTGTTCTTTGTAAAATTATTTACAAAACACTGTATAGTCTCACAAATGTCACTTTTTATTTATGCCACTACAAAAAAACATGATGTAAATGATGCATGATGTAAAACATGATGTAAAAAACTTGTGTAGATCCTCCTCTATGTTAGTCCATGTGTAATTTTTCCATAATTCTTTGTTTTTTGCAGCATTTTTGTTAGTGTAACTGCAGATTGTGCTGACAGTGTCTATGGCAAAAAAAAAAAAAAAAAACTGAAAATGCCTCAACATGAACCCCTGGTGGTCTCTGAGGGTGAAACCTGCTAACTGCTGCAGCTCTGTCAGCTTCAGTCTCCCATGCAGAGCTCGGAGCGCATGTGTGGCTCTGCACCCTTAGCAGCGTTGCTAACTCCTCAGTAAGGAAAGCCTGCTTCATGTCAGAGTCTCTAAACTCCAGAAGAAGTCGATAAAAGTCACTTTCTTTCTAAAAAAAAGTCGTTAGGGGGTCTGAAAAGTCATTGAATCTAACAACAAAGTCGCTAGGTTTGCAACTACGTGTCCCAGACTGCATCCCTGCTGAGAGTCCCTCCCTCCCTTCTCATATTGCAGGAAGAACGTAAGTTCCCGCCCCTTGTCAATCAGTCACCATATAATTTTGGATTGGTTGTTGTGGTGAAGTTTTCCACCAATAGGAGAGATGTTGTGGTGTGTATTTTTTTTCCTTTGGCAAGCCTTTTCCGCCTGTAAGACCTGTCGCTAATGTCTGCATGCTATGTTTTCCTGTCTCATACAGCGCGATCGAGCGCCGAACGTGATCAAAATAAGCAGAAAACAAGTATCGCGGACATAATTTATCATAACTCTGGTTTTATTTGGCCTATCAACACAATTTAAAAACTGGTATATAGGTTGAGGTCCTCACTTTTGAGATAAATTGAAACGGAGAGTCAACGAGGCTCCGTCTTGCAGCTACATCCGGTTAAATATGTCATGTGACTTGAACGCACACACACACACACACGCACACACACACACTCAGAGTCTGGTTTGTAGCACCTGCAAAAACATGCTATTTACATATTTGACAAAAATGCAGAGGCTCCTTTTGCCCCTGAAAAAAATCAAATTTCAAACACAACTTGACTGGTCATTTCTCCAAAAGACAACCATGAAGCTCCATCCAAACCTGAAGCAGGCAGTTGGTGCATGTGTACAGTAACCTGAGGGGAGTGAGGTGACTGCTTCTGAGGAGAACATGAGCAGTGAAGATTTACCTTAGAGCTAGAACAGAGACGTGCACATGATTATACAGGGGCAGGGGCTCAAGTTTTTTCCAGTCGTTTATACAATTTGGAAATTAATGTGAAATTAAAAAACAAAGTATTAATAGAAAGGTAATGACTGTCCTGTGTAGGTGACAGTGATATCCAATAGGCTAGGCACTCACGAGGCTGGCTGTGGCAAGTGTAAGTGAAAGCAACACGCACTGGCAGGAAAAACAGCAAACGCCGATGAAGGAAAAGGGTCTTTGCAGTGATGGGCGTTACCAAAGAGGGCGATGGCCAGAGGACACAAATGGGACGGGGAGGCAGCGCGTTGGGGGGGGGACGCGACACAGCTCGGGCCCGCCAGTGCCCCAACGGGGTCCTAGTTATTTTTCTGCCCCTTTGAACTGGAAAATGGCCCACTTCCCACTGGTGAAAACTCATGAAATTTGGCAGGACGACCGGGCCTGGTGAAAAATTCGATATTCTGAAGTCACCCAAACAATCAAATGCAAAATGGCTCCATAGCGCCCCCTAAGGTGAAAAATTCACATGATTGAGTGTCACGCCTGTACGCTTTGTCAAAATGACACAAAATTTGACACACACGTGTATCTCAATAAGATCTACAAAAAAGTCAGTGCGGGCGTATCTGTCAAATGTACGTTTAAAGGGCTATTTCGCATTTTTTGCCGATCCGCACACATTGGAATTTCGCTAACTCCTCCGAAGGCTTTCGTTCCACCGGCACCAAATTTGCTCAGGCCAATCTACACCCCATGGCCATTCAAAGTTGTACAAATCATGACGCTGCACCCCACGGTTTACGTTGTAGGGGGCGCCAAAGATAACCCAAAAATCCACATTCTTACAAGTCTTATAACTTTTTATTTCTGTCCTCACTGGCCTCCAAGTTTTCTAGGATGATGCAATGTCCAGCCATCAACACATTTGTGAAGGAATTTTTACTCCCCAAAAGAGCGCCCCCCCATGGCAGGAGAAAAAAGGCCATTTTTTCTTGTCCTATAAGGTGAAAATACACATTGTTGAGTGTCACGCCTGTACGCTTTGTCATATTGAAACAAAATTTGATAATCACGTGTATCTCAATAAGATCTACGAAAAAAACAATGCGCACGTGTCTGCAAAATGTACGGTTAAAGGGCTGTTTCGCATTTTTGGTTGATTCGCACACATTGGAATGTGGCTAACTCCTCCTAAAGCTTTCGTTCCACCGGCACCAAATTTGCTCAGGCCAATCTACACCCCATGGCCATTAAAAGTTGTACAAATCATGATGCTGCACCCCACGGTTTACGTTCTAGGGGTCGCCAAAGATAACCCAAAAATCCACATTCTTAAAAGTCTTATAACTTTTCATTTTTGTCCTCATTGGCTTCAAAGTTTTCTAGGATGATGCAATGTCTAGCCATCAACACATTTGTGAAGGAATTTTTTCTCCCCAAAAGAGCGCCCCCCCATGGCAGGAGAAAAAGTCAAGTTTTTCCTGCCCATCGCTCAATGGCTCAAACACATCGCTCTCTCGGAAAAAAACGAAAGGAGGAGGAACTTGCCATTTGGATATATCCTAGCTGTGTTTGTGCCCTCACTCATGGTCCAGACTTTTTTCAAATAGGACATGTAGTTTGTCTGCAGCAAGCGTTTTGGTAGAAACTGCGCCTCCCATTCATTATAATGGTAAATGACCACAGACAAGTGCGCACACCATCGTTGAACCTTGAGTGTGACGCGATCGGGAGGGAGAGGCGGTCGTGTTGGGGGCGGCGTGACACAGCTCGGGCCCGCCAGTGCCCCAACGGGGCCCTAGTTATTATTATTATTATTTTTCCTCCGCTTTAAACTGGAAAATGGCCCACTTCCCACTGGCGAAAACTCATGAAATTTGGCAGGACGACCGGGCCTGGTGAAAAATTCGATATTCTGAAGTCGCCCAAACAATAAAATGCAAAATGGCTCCATAGCGCCCCCTAAGGTGGAAATTCACACTATTGACTGTCACGTCTGTACGTTTTGTCATATTGACACAAAAATTGACACACATATGTATCTCAATAAGATCTACAAAAAAGTCAGTGCGGGCGTATCTGTCAAATGTACGGTTAAAGGGTTATTTCGCATTTTTTGCCGATCCGCACACATTGGAATTTCGCTAACTCCTCCGAAGGCTTTCGTTCCACCGGCACCACATTTGCTCAGGCCAGTCTACACCCCATGGCCATTAAAAGTTGTACAAATCATGACGCTGCACCCCACGGTTTAGGTTCTAGGGGGCGCCAAAGATAACCCAAAAATCCACATTCTTAAAAGTCTTATAACTTTTTATTTTTGTCCTCACTGCCCTCCAAGTTTTCTAGGATGATGCAATGTCCAGCCATCAACACATTTGTGAAGGAATTTTTACTCCCCAAAAGAGCGCCCCCCCATGGCAGGAGAAAAAAGTCAATTTTTTCTTGTCCCCTTACATGAAAATACACATTGTTGAGTGTCACGCCTGAACGCTTTGTCATATTGACACAAAAATTGACAATCATGTGTATCTCAATTAGATCTACGAAAAAGTCAAAGAGCGCGTATCTGTATAATGTACGGTTAAAGGGCTATTTCGCATTTTTTGCCGATTCGCACACATTGGAATGTGGCTATCTCCTCCTAAGGCTTTCGTCCCACTGATACCAAATTTGCTCAGGGCAATCTACACCCCATGCCCATTCAAAGTTGTAAAAATCATGACGCTGCACCCCACGGTTTACGTTCTAGGGGGTGCCAAAGATGACCCAAAAATCCACATTCTTAAAAGTCATTTTGGCCACTGCAGGAGTACAGAGTACTGCAGTTCTAGGGGGCGCCAAAGATGACCCAAAAATCCACATTCTTAAAAGTCTTTTTGGCCACTGCAGGAGTACAGAGTACTGCAGGATACACACACATATACACACACGCCACACACACACACACACACACACACACACACACACACACACACACACACACTCAGAGTCTGTTTTTTAGCACCTGCAAAAACATGCTGTTTACATATTTGACAAGAATGCAGAGGCTTCCTTTTGCCCCTGAAAAAAATCAGATTTCAAACACAACTTGACTGTTCATTTCTCCAAAAGACAACCATGAAGCTCCATCCAAACCTGAAGCAGATAGTTGGTGCATGTGTACAGTAACCTGAGGGGAGTGAGGTGACTATTTCTGAGGAGAACATGAGCAGTGAAGATTCACCTTGGAGCTAGAACAGGGACGTGCACATGATTATACAGGGGCAGGGGCTCAAGTTTTTTCCAGTCATTTATACAATATGGAAATTAATGTGAAATTAAAAAACAAAGTATTAATAGAAAGGTAATGACTGTCCTGTGTAGGTGACAGTGATATCCAATAGGCTAGGCACTCACGAGGCTGGCTGTGGCAAGTGTAAGTGAAAGCAACACGCACTGGCAGGAAGAACAGCAAACGCCGATGAAGGAAAGGGTCTTTGCAGTGATGGGCGTTACCAGAGAGGACGATGGCCAGAGGACGCGAATGGGACGGGGAGGCAGCGCGTTGGGGGGGGCAGCGCGACACGGCTCGGGCCCGCCAGTGCCCCAACGGGGCCCTAGTTATTATTTTTCCTCCGCTTTAAACTGGAAAATGGCCCACTTCCCACTGGCGAAAACTCAGGAAATTTGGCAGGACGACCGGGCCTGGTGAAAAATTCGATGTTCTGAAGTCGCCCAAACAATAAAATGCAAAATGGCTCCATAGCGCCCCCTAAGGTGAAAATTCACATGACGGCTGTACGCTTTGTCATATTGACACAAAAATTGACACACACATGTATCTCAATAAGTTCTACAAAAAAGTCAGTGCGGGCTTATCTGTCAAATGTACGGTTAATGGGTTATTTTGCATTTTTTGCAGATCTGCACACATTGGAATTTCGCTAACTCCTCCGAAGGCTTTCGTTCGACCGGCACCACATTTGCGCAGGCCAATCAACCCCCCATGGCCATTAAAAGTTGTACAAATCATGACGCTGCACCCCACGGTTTACGTTCTAGGGGGCGCCAAAGATAACCCAAAATCCACATTCTTAAAAGTCTTATAACTTTTTATTTTTGTCCTCACTGCCCTCCAAGTTTTCTAGGATGATGCAATGTCCAGCCATCAACACATTTGTGAAGGAATTTTTACTCCCCAAAAGAGCGCCCCCCCATGGCAGGAGAAAAAAGTCAATTTTTTCTTGTCCCCTTACATGAAAATACACATTGTTGAGTGTCACGCCTGAACGCTTTGTCATATTGACACAAAAATTGACAATCATGTGTATCTCAATTAGATCTACGAAAAAGTCAAAAAGCGCATATCTGTATAATGTACGGTTAAAGGGCTATTTCGCATTTTTTGCCGATTCGCACACATTGGAATGTGGCTATCTCCTCCTAAGGCTTTCGTCCCACCGATACCAAATTTGCTCAGGGCAATCTACACCCCATGCCCATTCAAAGTTGTAAAAATCATGACGCTGCACCCCACGGTTTACGTTCTAGGGGGCGCCAAAGATGACCCAAAAATCCACATTCTTAAAAGTCATTTTGGCCACTGCAGGAGTACAGAGTACTGCAGGATACACACACATATACACACACACACACACACACACACACACTCAGAGTCTGTTTTTTAGCACCTGCAAAAACATGCTGTTTACATATTTGACAAGAATGCAGAGGCTTCCTTTTGCCCCTGAAAAAAATCAGATTTCAAACACAACTTGACTGTTCATTTCTCCAAAAGACAACCATGAAGCTCCATCCAAACCTGAAGCAGATAGTTGGTGCATGTGTACAGTAACCTGAGGGGAGTGAGGTGACTATTTCTGAGGAGAACATGAGCAGTGAAGATTCACCTTGGAGCTAGAACAGGGACGTGCACATGATTATACAGGGGTAGGGGCTCAAGTTTTTTCCAGTCATTTATACAATATGGAAATTAATGTGAAATTAAACCACAAATATGTGTGATGAACTGTTTTTAAAACTTAAACTTCAAATAAAAATTGTAAACTTCAAAACATATGCAAATTTTTAACAAAGAACATAGTAATTTACCTCTATTTACATCAAAATGCAGGCAATGGCCCAGGCGTTCTTTGTAAAATTATTTACAAAACACTGTATAGTCTCACAAATGTCACTTTTTATTTATGCCACTACAAAAAAACATGATGTAAATGATGCATGATGTAAAACATGATGTAAAAAACTTGTGTAGATCCTCCTCTATGTCAGTCCATGTGTAATTTTTCCATAATTCTTTGTTTTTTGCAGCATTTTTGTTAGTGTAACTGCAGATTGTGCTGACAGTCTATGGCAAAAAAAACAAAAACTGAAAATGCCTCAACATGAACCCCTGGTGGTCTCTGAGGGTGAAACCTGCTAACTGCTGCAGCTCTGTCAGCTTCAGTCTCCCATGCAGAGCTCGGAGCGCATGTGTGGCTCTGCACCCTTAGCAGCGTTGCTAACTCCTCAGTAAGGAAAGCCTGCTTCATGTCAGAGTCTCTAAACTCCAGAAGAAGTCGATAAAAGTCCCTTTCTTTCTAAAAAAAAGTCGTTAGGGGGTCTGAAAAGTAATTGAATCTAACAACAAAGTCGCTAGGTTTGCAACTACGTGTCCCAGACTGCATCCCTGCTGAGAGTCCCTCCCTCCCTTCTCATGTTGCAGGAAGAACGTAAGCGCCCGCCCCTTGTCATTCAGTCACCATATAATTTTGGATTGGTTGTTGTGGTGAAGTTTTCCACCAATAGGAGAGATGTTGTGGTGTGTTTTTTTTTTCTTTTGGCAAGCCTTTTCCGCCTGTAAGACCTGTCGCTAATGTGTGCATGCTATGTTTTCCTGTCTCATACAGCGCGATCGAGCGCCGAACGTGATCAAAATAAGCAGAAAAAAAGTATCGCGGACATAATTTATCATAACTCTGGTTTTATTTGGCCTATCAACACAATTTAAAAACTGGTATATAGGTTGAGGTCCTCACTTTTGAGATAAGTTGAAACGGAGAGTTAACGAGGCTCCGTCTTGCAGCTACATCCGGTTAAATATGTCATGTGACTTGAACGCTGGGGAGCGTCAATCGAATCGAATCAAACCTAACTCTCAGATGAATCTTCAAAATTCACCTCAGAAATATGCTTATTATTCTTCTCAGAGTACTGCAGGATACACACACAGACACACACACACACACGCACACACACACACACACACACACACACACACACACACACACACTCGGAGTCTGTTTTTTAGCACCTGCAAAAACATGCTATTTACATATTTGACAAGAATGCAGAGGCTTCCTTTTGCCCCTGAAAAAAATCAAATTTCAAACACAACTTGACTGGTCATTTCTCCAAAAGACAACCATGAAGCTCCATCCAAACCTGAAGCAGGCAGTTGGTGCATGTGTACAGTAACCTGAGGGGAGTGAGGTGACTGCTTCTGAGGAGAACATGAGCAGTGAAGATTCACCTTGGAGCTAGAACAGGGACGTGCACATGATAATACAGGGGCAGGGGCTCAAGTTTTTTCCAGTCGTTTATACAATATGGAAATTAATGTGAAATTAAAAAACAAAGTATGACTGTCCTGTGTAGGTGACAGTGATATCCAATAGGCTAGGCACTCACGAGGCTGGCTGTGGCAAGTGTAAGTGAAAGCAACACGCACTGGCAGGAAGAACAGCAAACGCAGATGAAGGAAAAGGGTCTTTGCTGTGATGGGCGTTACCAGAGAGGGCGATGGCCAGAGGACACGAATGGGACGGGGAGGCAGCGCGTTGGGGGGGGGGGGGGTGCGACACGGCTCGGGCCCGCCAGTGCCCCAACGGGGCCCTAGTTAGGGCCCGAGCGTAGCTGCTAAGCAGCTGCGAGAGCCCTCTTGTTCCTGCATGTTTCCTTCTTTCGTTATTATTTTTCCTCCGCTTTAAACTGGAAAATGGCCCACTTCCCACTGGCGAAAACTCAGGAAATTTGGCAGGACGACCGGGCCTGGTGAAAAATTCGATATTCTGAAGTCGCCCAAACAATAAAATGCAAAATGGCTCCATAGCGCCCCCTAAGGTGAAAATTCACATGACGGCTGTACGCTTTGTCATATTGACACAAAAATTGACACACACATGTATGTCAATAAGATCTACAAAAAAGTCAGTGCGGGCGTATCTGTCAAATGTACGGTTAATGGGTTATTTTGCATTTTTTGCAGATCTGCACACATTGGAATTTCGCTAACTCCTCCGAAGGCTTTCGTTCGACCGGCACCACATTTGCGCAGGCCAATCTACCCCCCATGGCCATTAAAAGTTGTACAAATCATGACGCTGCACCCCACGGTTTACGTTCTAGGGGGCGCCAAAGATAACCCAAAATCCACATTCGTAAAAGTCTTATAACTTTTTATTTTTGTCCTCACTGCCCTCCAAGTTTTCTAGGATGATGCAATGTCCAGCCATCAACACATTTGTGAAGGAATTTTTACTCCCCAAAAGAGCGCCCCCCCATGGCAGGAGAAAAAAGTCAATTTTTTCTTGTCCCCTAAGGTGAAAATACACATTGTTGAGTGTCACGCCTATACGCTTTGTCATATTGACCCAAAATTTGACAATCACGTGTATCTCAATAAGATCTACGAAAAAGTCAATGGGCACGTATCTGTAAAATGTACGGTTAAAGGGTTATGTCGCATTTTTTCCCGATCCGCACACATTGGAATTTCGCTAACTTCTCCGAAGGCTTTCGTTCCACCGCCACCAAATTTGCTCAGGCCAATCTACACCCCATGGCCATTCAAAGTTGTACAAATCATGATGCTGCACTCCACAGTTTAGGTTCTAGGGGGCGCCAAACATAACCCTAAAATCCACATTCTTAATAGTCTTATAACTTTTTATTTTTGTCCTCACTGGCCTCCAAGTTTTCTAGGATGATGCAATGTCCAGCCATCAACACATTTGTAAAGGAATTTTTACTCTCGAAAAGAGCGCCCCCCCCATGGCAGGAGAAAAAAGTCAATTTTTTCTTGTCCCCTAAGGTGAAAAAACACATTGTTGAGTGTCACTCCTATACGCTTTGTCAAAATGACACAAAATTTGACACACACGTGTATCTCAATAAGATCTACGAAAAAGTCAATGTGCACGCATCTGTAAAATGTACAGTCAAAGGGCTATTTCGCATTTTTTCCCGATCCGCACACATTGGAATTTCGCTAACTCCTCCTAAGGCTTTCGTCCCACCGACACCAAATTTGCTCAAGCAGATCTACATCCCATGGCCATTCAAAGTTGTAAAAATCATGACGCTGCACCCCACGGTTTACGTTCTAAGGGGCGCCAAAGATGACCCTAAAATCCACATTCTTAATAGTCTTATAACTTTTTATTTTTGTCCTCACTGGCCTCCAAGTTTTCTAGGATGATGCAATGTCCAGCCATCAACACATTTGTAAAGGAATTTTTACTCTCGAAAAGAGCGCCCCCCCATGGCAGGAGAAAAAAGTCAATTTTTTCTTGTCCCCTAAGGTGAAAAAACACATTGTTGAGTGTCACTCCTATACACTTTGTCAAAATGACACAAAATTTGACACACACGTGTATCTCAATAAGATCTACGAAAAAGTCAATGTGCACGCATCTGTAAAATGTACAGTCAAAGGGCTATTTCGCATTTTTTCCCGATCCGCACACATTGGAATTTCGCTAACTCCTCCTAAGGCTTTCGTCCCACCGAAACCAAATTTGCTCAAGCAGATCTACATCCCATGGCCATTCAAAGTTGTAAAAATCATGACTCCCCTTCGCTCTCTTCGGCAAAACCGAAAGGAGGAGCAACTTGCCATTTGGATATATACTAGCTGTGTTTCTGCCCTCACTCATGGTCCAGACGTTTTTCAAATAGGACATGGAGTTTTTCTGCAGCGAGCGTTTTGGTAGAAACTGCGCCTCCCATTCATTATAACGGTAAATGACCACAGACAAGTGCACACACCATCTTTCGACCTTGAGTGTGACGCGATCAGGAAGGGGAGGCGGTCGCGCTGGGGGCGGTGCGACATGGCTCGGGCCCGCCAGTGCCCCAACGGGGCCCTAGTTCTTCTTTAGGGCCCGAGCGTAGCTGCTAAGCAGCTGCGAGAGCCCTCTTGTTCCTGATGGATTCTTCTTTTGTTATTATTTAGGGCCCGAGCGTAGCTGCTAAGCAGCTGCGAGAGCCCTCTTGTTCCTGATGGATTCTTCTTTCGTTATTTTTCCTCCGCTTTAAACTGGAAAATGGCCCACTTCCCACTGGCGAAAACTCAGGAAATTTGGCAGGACGACCGGGCCTGGTGAAAAATTCGATATTCTGAAGTCGCCCAAACAAAAAAATGAAAAATGGCTCCATAGCGCCCCCTATGGTGAAAACTCACCTGACGCCTGTACGCTTTGTCAAAATGACACAAAAATTGACACACATGTGTATCTCAATAAGATCTACAAAAAAGTCAGTGCGGGCGTATCTGTCAAATGTACCGTTAAAGGGCTATTTCGCATTTTTTGCCGATCCGCACACATTGGAATTTCGCTAACTCCTCCGAAGGCTTTCCTTCCACCGGTACCAAATTTGCTCAGGCCAATCTACACCCCATGGCCATTAAAAGTTGTACAAATCATGACGCTGCACCCCACGGTTTAGGTTCTAGGGGGCGCCAAAGATAACCCAAAAAGCCACATTCTTAAAAGTCTTATAACTTTTTATTTTTGTCCTCACTGGCCTCCAAGTTTTCTAGGATGATGCAATGTCCAGCCATCAACACATTTGTGAAGGAATTTTTACTCCCCAAAAGAGCGCCCCCCCATGGCAGTAGAAAAAAGTCCATTTTTTCTTGTCCCCTAAGGTGAAAATACACATTGTTGAGTGTCACGCCTAAACGCTTTGTCATATTGACACAAAATTTGACAATCACGTGTATCTCAATAAGATCTACGAAAAAGTCAAAGAGCGCGTATCTGTATAATGTACGGTAAAAGGGCTATTTTGCATTTTTTGCCGATCCGCACACATTGGAATTTCACTAACTCCTCCGAAGGCTTTCATTCCACCGACACCAAATTTGCTCAGGCCAATCTACACCCCATGGCCATTAAAAGTTGTACAAATCATGATGCTGCACCCCACGGTTTACGTTCTAGGGGGCGCCAAAGATGACCCAAATATCCACATTCTTAAAAGTCTTATAACTTTTTATTTTTGTCCTCACTGGCCTCCAAGTTTTCTTGGACGATGCAATGTCCAGCCATCAACACATTTGTGAAGGAATTTTTACTCCCCAAAAGAGCGCCCCCCATGGCAGGAGAAAAAAGTCCATTTTTTCTTGTCCCCTAAGGTGAAAATACGCACTGTTGAGTGTCACGCCTGTACGCTTTGTCAAAATGACACAAAAATTGACACACACATGTATCTCAATAAGATCTACGAAAAAGTCAATGCACGCGTATCTGTCAAATGTACGGTTAAAGGGTTATTCCGCATTTTTTGCTGATCCGCACACATTGGAATGTGGCTAACTCCTCTGAAGGCTTTCGTTCCATCGGCACCAAATTTGCTGAGGCCAATCTACACCCCATGGCCATTAAAAGTTATTCAAATCATGACGCTGCACCCCACGGTTTACGTTCTAGGGGGCGCCAAAGATGACACAAATATCCACATATTTAAAAGTCTTATAACTTTTTATTTTCGTCCTCACTGGCCTCCAAGTTTTCTAGGATGATGCAATGTCCAAATATCCACATTCTTAAAAGAATCTACATCCCCCCCCCCATCCCCCAAGTTTTTCCTGCCCATCACTCAATGGCTCAATCGCATCGCTCTCCCGGCAACACCGTAATGAGGAGCAACTTGCCGTTTGGATATATCCTAGCTGTGTTTGTGCCCTCACTCATGGTCCAGACTTTTTTCAAATAGGACATGTAGTTTGTCTGCAGCGAGTGTTTTGGTAGAAACTGCGCCTCCCATTCATTATAATGGGAAATGACCACAGACAAGTGCGCACACCATCTTTGGACCTTGAGTGTGACGCGATCGGGAGGGGGAGGCGGTCGCGCTGGGGGCGGCTCGACGCGGCTCGGGCCCGACAGTGCCCCACCGGGGCCCTAGTATTATTATTTTTCCTCCGCTTTAAACTGGAAAATGGCCCACTTCCCACTGGCGAAAACTCATGAAATTTGGCAGGACGACCGGGCCTGGTGAAAAATTCGATATTCTGAAGTCGCCCAAACAATAAAATGCAAAATGGCTCCATAGCGCCCCCTAAGGTGGAAATTCACACTATTGACTGTCACGTCTGTACGTTTTGTCATATTGACACAAAAATTGACACACATATGTATCTCAATAAGATCTACAAAAAAGTCAGTGCGGGCGTATCTGTCAAATGTACGGTTAAAGGGTTATTTCGCATTTTTTGCCGATCCGCACACATTGGAATTTCGCTAACTCCTCCGAAGGCTTTCGTTCCACCGGCACCACATTTGCTCAGGCCAGTCTACACCCCATGGCCATTAAAAGTTGTACAAATCATGACGCTGCACCCCACGGTTTAGGTTCTAGGGGGCGCCAAAGATAACCCAAAAATCCACATTCTTAAAAGTCTTATAACTTTTTATTTTTGTCCTCACTGCCCTCCAAGTTTTCTAGGATGATGCAATGTCCAGCCATCAACACATTTTTGAAGGAATTTTTACTCCCCAAAAGAGCGCCCCCCCATGGCAGGAGAAAAAAGTCAATTTTTTCTTGTCCCCTTACATGAAAATACACATTGTTGAGTGTCACGCCTGAACGCTTTGTCATATTGACACAAAAATTGACAATCATGTGTATCTCAATTAGATCTACGAAAAAGTCAAAGAGCGCGTATCTGTATAATGTACGGTTAAAGGGCTATTTCGCATTTTTTGCCGATTCGCACACATTGGAATGTGGCTATCTCCTCCTAAGGCTTTCGTCCCACTGATACCAAATTTGCTCAGGGCAATCTACACCCCATGCCCATTCAAAGTTGTAAAAATCATGACGCTGCACCCCACGGTTTACGTTCTAGGGGGCGCCAAAGATGACCCAAAAATCCACATTCTTAAAAGTCATTTTGGCCACTGCAGGAGTACAGAGTACTGCAGTTCTAGGGGGCGCCAAAGATGACCCAAAAATCCACATTCTTAAAAGTCTTTATGGCCACTGCAGGAGTACAGAGTACTGCAGGATACACACACATATACACACACGCCAACACACACACACACACACACACACACACACACACACACACACACACACACACACACACTCAGAGTCTGTTTTTTAGCACCTGCAAAAACATGCTGTTTACATATTTGACAAGAATGCAGAGGCTTCCTTTTGCCCCTGAAAAAAATCAAATTTCAAACACAACTTGACTGGTCATTTCTCCAAAAGACAACCATGAAGTTCCATCCAAACCTGAAGCAGATAGTTGGTGCATGTGTACAGTAACCTGAGGGGAGTGAGGTGACTATTTCTGAGGAGAACATGAGCAGTGAAGATTCACCTTGGAGCGAGAACAGGGACGTGCACATGATTATACAGGGGCAGGGGCTCAAGTTTTTTCCAGTCATTTATACAATATGGAAATTAATGTGAAATTAAAAAACAAAGTATTAATAGAAAGGTTATGACTGTCCTGTGTAGATGACAGTGATATCCAATAGGCTAGGCACTCACGAGGCTGGCTGTGGCAAGTGTAAGTGAAAGCAACACGCACTGGCAGGAAGAACAGCAAACGCCGATGAAGGAAAAGGGTCTTTGCAGTGATGGGCGTTACCAGAGAGGGCGATGGCCAGAGGAAACAAATGGGACGGGGAGGCAGCGCGTTGGGGGGGGGGACGCGACACAGCTCGGGCCCGCCAGTGCCCCAACGGGGTCCTAGTTAGGGCCCGAGCGTAGCTGCTAAGCAGCTGCGAGAGCCCTATTGTTCCTGTATCGGTTTTTCTTTCTTCTTTCTTTCTTTCTTTCTTTCTTCTTATTTTTCCTCCCCTTTGAACTGGAAAAAAACTCACTTCCCACTGGCGAAAACTCATGAAATTTGGCAGGACGACCGGGCCTGGTGAAAAATTCGATATTCTGAAGTCGCCTAAACAATAAAATGCAAAATGGCTCCATAGCGCCCCCAAAGGTGAAAATTCACACCATTGACTGTCACGCCTGTACGCTTTGTCAAAATGACACAAAATTTGACACACATATGTATCTCAATAAGATCTACGAAAAAATCAGCGCGGGCGTATCTGTCAAATGTACGGTTAAAGGTTTATTTCGCATTTTTTGCCGATCCGCACACATTGGAATTTCGCTAACTCCTCCGAAGGCTTTTGTTCCACTGGCACCACATTTGCTCAGGTCAATCTACACCCCATGGCCATTAAAAGTTGTACAAATCATGACGCTGCACCCCGCGGTTTAGGTTCTAGGGGGCGCCAAAGATGACCCAAAAATCCACATTCTTAAAAGTCTTATAACTTTTTATTTTTGTCCCCACTGGCCTTGAAGTTCTCTAGGATGATGCAATGTCCAGCCATCAACACATTTGTGGAGGAATTTTTACTCCCCAAAAGAGCGCCCCCCCATGGCAGGAGAAAAAAGGCCATTTTTTCTTGTCCCCTAAGGTGAAAATACACATTGTTGAGTGTCACACCTGTACGCTTTGTCATATTGACACAAAATTTGACAATCACGTGTATCTCAATAAGATCTACGAAAAAGTCAATGCGGGCGTATCTGTCAAATGTACGGTTAAAGGGCTATTTCGCATTTTTTGCCAATTCGCACACATTGGAATGTGGCTAACTCCTCCTAAAGCTTTCGTCCCATCAACACCAAATGTGCTCAGGCCAATCTACACCCCATGGCCATTCAAAGTTGTAAAAATCATGATGCTGCACCCAACGGTTTACGTTCTAGGGGGCGCCAAAGATAACCCAAAAATCCACATTTTCAAAAGTCTTATAACTTTTTATTTTTGTCCTCACTGGCCTCCAAGTTTTCTAGGATAATGCAATGTTCAGCCATTAACACAATTGTGAAGGAATTTTTACTCCCCAAAAGAGCGCCCCCCATGGCAGGAGAAAAAGTCAAGGTTTTCCTGCCCATCGCTCAATGGCTCAAACGCATCGCTCTCTCGGCAAAACCGAAAGGAGGAGCAACTTGCCATTTGGATATATCCTAGCTGTGTTTGTGCCCTCACTCATGGTCCAGACTTTTTTCAAAAAGGACATGGAGTTTTTCTGCAGCGAGCATTTTGGTAGAAACTGCGCCTCCCATTCATTATAATGGTAAATGACCACAGACAAGTGCGCACACCATCTTTGGACCTTGAGTGTGAGGCGATCGGAAGGGGGGCGGTCGCGATGGGGGCGGCACAACACGGCTCGGGCCCGCCAGTGCCCCAACGGGGCCCTAGTCTTCTTATTAGGGCCCGAGCGTAGCTGCTAAGCAGCTGCGAGAGCCCTCTTGTTCCTGATGGATTCTTCTTTCGTTATTTTTCCTCCGCTTTAAACTGGAAAATGGCCCACTTCCCACTGGCGAAAACTCATGAAATTTGGCAGGACGACCGGGCCTGGTGAAAAATTCGATATTCTGAAGTCGCCCAAACAATAAAATGCAAAATGGCTCCATAGCGCCCCCTAAGGTGAAAATTCACATGCGGGCTGTACGCTTTGTCAAAATGACACAAAAATTGACACACACATGTATCTCAATAAGATCTACAAAAAAGTCAGTGCGGGCGTATCTGTCAAATGTACGGTTAAAGGGTTATTTCGCATTTTTTGCAGATCTGCACACATTGGAATTTCGCTAACTCCTCCGAAGGCTTTCGTTCCACCGGCACCACATTTGCGCAGGCCAATCTACCCCCCATGGCCATTAAAAGTTGTACAAATCATCTTGCTGCACCCCACGGTTTAGGTTCTAGGGGGCGCCAAAGATAACCCAAAAATCCAAAGTGTTAAAAGTCTTATAACTTTTTATTTTTCTCCAAACTGGCCTCCAAGTTTTCTAGGATGATGCAATGTCCAGCCATCAACACATCTGTGAACAAATTTTTACTCCCCAAAAGAGCGCCCCCCATGGCAGGAGAAAAAAGTCCATTTTTTCTTGTCCCGTAAGGTGAAAATACACATTTTTGAGTGTCACCCCTGTACCCTTTGTCATATTGACACAAAATTTGACAATAACGTGTATCTCAATAAGATCTACGAAAAAGTCAAAGGGCACATATCTGTCAAATGTACGGTTAAAGGGCTATTTTGCATTTTTTGCCGATTCGCACACATTGGAATTTCGCTAACTCCTCCGAAGGCTATCTTTCTACCGGCACCAAATTTGCTCAGGCTAATCTACACCCCATGGCCATTAAAAGTTGTACAAATCATGATGCTGCCCTCCACGGTTTAGGTTCTAGGGGGCGCCAAAGATAACCCAAAAATCCACATTCTTAATAGTCTTATAACTTTTTAGTTTTGTCCTCACTGGCCTCTAAGTTTTCTAGGATGATGCAATGTCCAGCCATCAACACATTTGTAAAGGAATTTTTACTCCCGAAAAGAGCGCCCCCCCATGGCAGGAGAAAAAAGTCAATTTTTTCTTGTCCCCTAAGGTGAAAAAACACATTGTTGACTGTCACGCCTATACGCTTTGTCAAAATGACACAAAATTTGACACACACGTGTATCTCAATAAGATCTACGAAAAAGTCAAAGAGCGCGTATCTGTATAATGTACGGTTAAAGGGCTATTTTGCATTTTTTGCCGATTCGCACACATTGGAATGTGGCTATCTCCTCCTAAGGCTTTCGTCCCACCGATACCAAATTTGCTCAGGGCAATCTACACCCCATGCCCATTCAAAATTGTAAAAATCATGACGCTGCACCCCACGGTTTACGTTCTAGGGGGCGCCAAAGATGACCCAAAAATCCACATTCTTAAAAGTCTTTTTGGCCACTGCAGGAGTACAGAGTACTGCAGTTCTAGGGGGCGCCAAAGATGACCCAAAAATCCACATTCTTAAAAGTCTTTTTGGCCACTGCAGGAGTACAGAGTACTGCAGGATACACACACATATACACACACGCCAACATACACACACACACACACAGACACACACACACACACTCAGAGTCTGTTTTTTATCACCTTCAAAAACATGCTGTTTACATATTTGACAAGAATGCAGAGGCTTCCTTTTGCCCCTGAAAAAAATCAAATTTCAAACACAACTTGACTGTTCATTTCTCCAAAAGACAACCATGAAGCTCCATTTCAAACCTGAAGCAAATAGTTGGTGCATGTGTACAGTAACCTGAGGGGAGTGAGGTGACTATTTCTGAGGAGAACATGAGCAGTGAAGATTCACCTTGGAGCTAGAACAGGGACGTGCACATGATTATACAGGGGCAGGGGCTCAAGTTTTTTCCAGTCATTTATACAATATGGAAATTAATGTGAAATTAAAAAACAAAGTATTAATAGAAAGGTTATGACTGTCCTGTGTAGATGACAGTGATATCCAATAGGCTAGGCACTCACGAGGCTGGCTGTGGCAAGTGTAAGTGAAAGCAACACGCACTGGCAGGAAGAACAGCAAACGCCGATGAAGGAAAAGGGTCTTTGCAGTGATGGGCGTTACCAGAGAGGGCGATGGCCAGAGGAAACAAATGGGACGGGGAGGCAGCGCGTTGGGGGGGGGGACGCGACACAGCTCGGGCCCGCCAGTGCCCCAACGGGGTCCTAGTTAGGGCCCGAGCGTAGCTGCTAAGCAGCTGCGAGAGCCCTATTGTTCCTGTATCGGTTTTTCTTTCTTCTTTCTTTCTTTCTTTCTTTCTTCTTATTTTTCCTCCCCTTTGAACTGGAAAAAACTCACTTCCCACTGGCGAAAACTCATGAAATTTGGCAGGACGACCGGGCCTGGTGAAAAATTCGATATTCTGAAGTCGCCTAAACAATAAAATGCAAAATGGCTCCATAGCGCCCCCAAAGGTGAAAATTCACACCATTGACTGTCACGCCTGTACGCTTTGTCAAAATGACACAAAATTTGACACACATATGTATCTCAATAAGATCTACGAAAAAATCAGCGCGGGCGTATCTGTCAAATGTACGGTTAAAGGTTTATTTCGCATTTTTTGCCGATCCGCACACATTGGAATTTCGCTAACTCCTCCGAAGGCTTTTGTTCCACTGGCACCACATTTGCTCAGGTCAATCTACACCCCATGGCCATTAAAAGTTGTACAAATCATGACGCTGCACCCCGCGGTTTAGGTTCTAGGGGGCGCCAAAGATGACCCAAAAATCCACATTCTTAAAAGTCTTATAACTTTTTATTTTTGTCCCCACTGGCCTTGAAGTTCTCTAGGATGATGCAATGTCCAGCCATCAACACATTTGTGGAGGAATTTTTACTCCCCAAAAGAGCGCCCCCCCATGGCAGGAGAAAAAAGGCCATTTTTTCTTGTCCCCTAAGGTGAAAATACACATTGTTGAGTGTCACACCTGTACGCTTTGTCATATTGACACAAAATTTGACAATCACGTGTATCTCAATAAGATCTACGAAAAAGTCAATGCGGGCGTATCTGTCAAATGTACGGTTAAAGGGCTATTTCGCATTTTTTGCCAATTCGCACACATTGGAATGTGGCTAACTCCTCCTAAAGCTTTCGTCCCATCAACACCAAATGTGCTCAGGCCAATCTACACCCCATGGCCATTCAAAGTTGTAAAAATCATGATGCTGCACCCAACGGTTTACGTTCTAGGGGGCGCCAAAGATAACCCAAAAATCCACATTTTCAAAAGTCTTATAACTTTTTATTTTTGTCCTCACTGGCCTCCAAGTTTTCTAGGATAATGCAATGTTCAGCCATTAACACAATTGTGAAGGAATTTTTACTCCCCAAAAGAGCGCCCCCCCATGGCAGGAGAAAAAGTCAAGGTTTTCCTGCCCATCGCTCAATGGCTCAAACGCATCGCTCTCTCGGCAAAACCGAAAGGAGGAGCAACTTGCCATTTGGATATATCCTAGCTGTGTTTGTGCCCTCACTCATGGTCCAGACTTTTTTCAAAAAGGACATGGAGTTTTTCTGCAGCGAGCATTTTGGTAGAAACTGCGCCTCCCATTCATTATAATGGTAAATGACCACAGACAAGTGCGCACACCATCTTTGGACCTTGAGTGTGAGGCGATCGGAAGGGGGGGCGGTCGCGATGGGGGCGGCACAACACGGCTCGGGCCCGCCAGTGCCCCAACGGGGCCCTAGTCTTCTTATTAGGGCCCGAGCGTAGCTGCTAAGCAGCTGCGAGAGCCCTCTTGTTCCTGATGGATTCTTCTTTCGTTATTTTTCCTCCGCTTTAAACTGGAAAATGGCCCACTTCCCACTGGCGAAAACTCATGAAATTTGGCAGGACGACCGGGCCTGGTGAAAAATTCGATATTCTGAAGTCGCCCAAACAATAAAATGCAAAATGGCTCCATAGCGCCCCCTAAGGTGAAAATTCACATGCGGGCTGTACGCTTTGTCAAAATGACACAAAAATTGACACACACATGTATCTCAATAAGATCTACAAAAAAGTCAGTGCGGGCGTATCTGTCAAATGTACGGTTAAAGGGTTATTTCGCATTTTTTGCAGATCTGCACACATTGGAATTTCGCTAACTCCTCCGAAGGCTTTCGTTCCACCGGCACCACATTTGCGCAGGCCAATCTACCCCCCATGGCCATTAAAAGTTGTACAAATCATCTTGCTGCACCCCACGGTTTAGGTTCTAGGGGGCGCCAAAGATAACCCAAAAATCCAAAGTGTTAAAAGTCTTATAACTTTTTATTTTTCTCCAAACTGGCCTCCAAGTTTTCTAGGATGATGCAATGTCCAGCCATCAACACATCTGTGAACAAATTTTTACTCCCCAAAAGAGCGCCCCCCCATGGCAGGAGAAAAAAGTCCATTTTTTCTTGTCCCGTAAGGTGAAAATACACATTTTTGAGTGTCACCCCTGTACCCTTTGTCATATTGACACAAAATTTGACAATAACGTGTATCTCAATAAGATCTACGAAAAAGTCAAAGGGCACATATCTGTCAAATGTACGGTTAAAGGGCTATTTTGCATTTTTTGCCGATTCGCACACATTGGAATTTCGCTAACTCCTCCGAAGGCTATCTTTCTACCGGCACCAAATTTGCTCAGGCTAATCTACACCCCATGGCCATTAAAAGTTGTACAAATCATGATGCTGCCCTCCACGGTTTAGGTTCTAGGGGGCGCCAAAGATAACCCAAAAATCCACATTCTTAATAGTCTTATAACTTTTTAGTTTTGTCCTCACTGGCCTCTAAGTTTTCTAGGATGATGCAATGTCCAGCCATCAACACATTTGTAAAGGAATTTTTACTCCCGAAAAGAGCGCCCCCCATGGCAGGAGAAAAAAGTCAATTTTTTCTTGTCCCCTAAGGTGAAAAAACACATTGTTGACTGTCACGCCTATACGCTTTGTCAAAATGACACAAAATTTGACACACACGTGTATCTCAATAAGATCTACGAAAAAGTCAAAGAGCGCGTATCTGTATAATGTACGGTTAAAGGGCTATTTTGCATTTTTTGCCGATTCGCACACATTGGAATGTGGCTATCTCCTCCTAAGGCTTTCGTCCCACCGATACCAAATTTGCTCAGGGCAATCTACACCCCATGCCCATTCAAAATTGTAAAAATCATGACGCTGCACCCCACGGTTTACGTTCTAGGGGGCGCCAAAGATGACCCAAAAATCCACATTCTTAAAAGTCTTTTTGGCCACTGCAGGAGTACAGAGTACTGCAGTTCTAGGGGGCGCCAAAGATGACCCAAAAATCCACATTCTTAAAAGTCTTTTTGGCCACTGCAGGAGTACAGAGTACTGCAGGATACACACACATATACACACACGCCAACATACACACACACACACACAGACACACACACACACACTCAGAGTCTGTTTTTTATCACCTTCAAAAACATGCTGTTTACATATTTGACAAGAATGCAGAGGCTTCCTTTTGCCCCTGAAAAAAATCAAATTTCAAACACAACTTGACTGTTCATTTCTCCAAAAGACAACCATGAAGCTCCATTTCAAACCTGAAGCAAATAGTTGGTGCATGTGTACAGTAACCTGAGGGGAGTGAGGTGACTATTTCTGAGGAGAACATGAGCAGTGAAGATTCACCTTGGAGCTAGAACAGGGACGTGCACATGATTATACAGGGGCAGGGGCTCAAGTTTTTTCCAGTCATTTATACAATATGGAAATTAATGTGAAATTAAACCACAAATATGTGTGATGAACTGTTTTTAAAACTTAAACTTCAAATAAAAATTGTAAACTTCAAAACATATGCAAATTTTTAACAAAGAACATAGTAATTTACCTCTATTTACATCAAAATGCAGGCAATGGCCCAGGCGTTCTTTGTAAAATTATTTACAAAACACTGTATAGTCTCACAAATGTCACTTTTTATTTATGCCACTACAAAAAAACATGATGTAAATGATGCATGATGTAAAACATGATGTAAAAAACTTGTGTAGATCCTCCTCTATGTCAGTCCATGTGTAATTTTTCCATAATTCTTTGTTTTTTGCAGCATTTTTGTTAGTGTAACTGCAGATTGTGCTGACAGTGTCTATGGCACAAAAAAAAAAAATTTTAAAATGCCTCAACATGAACCCCTGGTGGTCTCTGAGGGTGAAACCTGCTAACTGCTGCAGCTCTGTCAGCTTCAGTCTCCCATGCAGAGCTCTGAGTGCATGTGTGGCTCTGCACCCTTAGCAGCGTTGCTAACTCCTCAGTAAGGAAAGCCTGCTTCATGTCAGAGTCTCTAAACTCCAGAAGTCGATAAAAGTCCCTTTCTTTCTAAAAAAAAGTCGTTAGGGGGTCTGAAAAGTCATTGAATCTAACAACAAAGTCGCTAGGTTTGCAACTACGTGTCCCAGACTGCATCCCTGCTGAGAGTCCCTCCCTCCCTTCTCATGTTGCAGGAAGAACGTAAGCGCCCGCCCCTTGTCAATCAGTCACCATATAATTTTGGATTGGTTGTTGTGGTGAAGTTTTCCACCAATAGGAGAGATGTTGTGGTGTGTTTTTTTTTTTCTTTTGGCAAGCCTTTTCCGCCTGTAAGACCTGTCACTAATGTCTGCATGCTATGTTTTCCTGTCTCATACAGCGCGATCGAGCGCCGAACGTGATCAAAATAAGCAGAAAAAAAGTATCGCGGACATAATTTATCATAACTCTGGTTTTATTTGGCCTATCAACACAATTTAAAAACTGGCTCGGGCCCGCCAGTGCCCCAACGGGGTCCTAGTTAGGGCCCGAGCGTAGCTGCTAAGCAGCTGCGAGAGCCCTCTTGTTCCTGATGGATTCTTCTTTAGGGCCCGAGCGTAGCTGCTAAGCAGCTGCGAGAGCCCTATTATTCCCCAAGTGGTTTTTCTTTGTTTCTTTCTTTCTTCTTTTTCCTCCCCTTTGAACTGGAAAATGGCCCACTTCCCACTGGCGAAAACTCATGAAATTTGGCAGGATGACCGGGCCTGGTGAAAAATTTGATATTCCGAAGTCGCCCAAACAAGAAAATGCAAAATGGCTCCATAGCGCCCCCTAAGGTGAAAATTCACACTATTGACTGTCACGCCTTTACGCTTTGTCATATTGACACAAAAATTGACACACACATGTATCTCAATAAGATCTACAAAAAAGTCAGTGCGGGCGTATCTGTCAAATGTACGGTTAAAGGGTTATTCCGCATTTTTTGCCGATCCGCACACATTGGAATTTCGCTAACTCCTCCGAAGGCTTTCGTTCCACCGGCACCACATTTGCTCAGGCCAATCTACACCCCATGGCCATTAAAAGTTATTCAAATCATGACGCTGCACCCCACGGTTTAGGTTCTAGGGGGCGCCAAAGACAACCCTAAAATCCACATATTTAAAAGTCTTATAACTTTTTATTTTTGTCCTCACTGGCCTCCAAGTTTTCTAGGATGATGCAATGTCCAGCCATCAACACATTTGTGAAGGAATTTTTACTCCCCAAAAGAGCGCCCCCCCATGGCAGGAGAAAAAAGTCCATTTTTTCTTGTCCCATAAGGTGAAAAAACACATTGTTGACTGTCATACCTGTACGCTTTGTCATATTGACACAAAATTTGACAATCACATGTATCTCAATAAGATCTACGAAAAAGTCAATGCGCGCGTATCTGTAAAATGTACGGTTAAAGGGCTATTTTGCATTTTTTGCCGATTTGCACACATTGGAATTTCGCTAACTCCTCCGAAGGCTTTCGTTCCACCGGCACCACATTTGCTCAGGCCAATCTACACCCCGTGGCCATTCAAAGTTATCAAAATCATGACGCTGCACCCCACGGTTTACGTTCTAGGGGGCGCCAAAGATGACCCAAATATCCACATTCTTAAAAGAATCCACATTCCCCCCCCCCCCCCCCATCCCCCAACCCCCATGGCATGGTTGTGCCCTCACTCATGGTCCAGTCCTTTTCAAATAGGACATGTAGTTTGTCTGCGGCGAGCGTTTTGGTAGAAACTGCGCCTCCCATTCATTATAATTGTAAATGACCACAGACAAGTGCGCACACCATCTTTGGACCTTGAGTGTGACGCGATCGGTAGGGAGAGGCGGTCGTGTTGGGGGCGGCGCGACACTGCTCGGGCCCGCCAGTGCCCCAACGGGGCCCTAGTCTTCTTCTTATTATTTTTCTGCCCCTTTGAACTGGAAAATGGCCCACTTCCCACTGGTGAAAAGTCATGAAATTTGGCAGGACGACCGGGCCTGGTGAAAAATTCGATATTCTGAAGTCGCCCAAAAAATCAAATGCAAAATGGCTCCATAGCGCCCCCTAAGGTGAAAAATTCACATGATTGAGTGTCACGCCTGTACGCTTTGTCAAAATGACACAAAATTTGACACACAGGTGTATCTCAATAAGATCTACAAAAAAGTCAGTGTGGGCGTATCTGTCAAATGTACGGTTAAAGGGCTATTTCGCATTTTTTGCCGATCCGCACACATTGGAATTTCGCTAACTCCTCCGAAGGCTTTCGTTCCACCGGCACCAAATTTGCTCAGGCCAATCTACACCCCATGGCCATTAAAAGTTGTAAAAATCATGACGCTGCACCCCACGGTTTACGTTTTAGGGGGCGCCAAAGATAACCCAAAAATCCACATTCTTAAAAGTCGTATAACTTTTTATTTTTGTCCTCACTGGCCTCCAAGTTTTCTAGGATGATGCAATGTCTAGCCATCAACACATTTGTGAAGGAATTTTTACTCCCCAAAAGAGCGCCCCCCCATGGCAGGAGAAAAAAGTCCAGTTTTTCTTCCCCCCTAAGGTGAAAATTCACATTATTGAGTGTCACGCCTGTATGCTTTGTCATATTGAAACAAACTTTAACAATCACGTGTTTCTCAATAAGATCTACGAAATAGTCAATGGGCGCGTATCTGTAAAATGTACGGTTAAAGGGCTATTTCGCATTTTTGGTCGATTCGCACACATTGGAATGTGGCTAACTCCTCCTAAAGCTTTCGTTCCACTGACACCAAATTTACTCAGGCCAATCTACACCCCATGGCCATTCAAAGTTGTAAAAATCATGACGCTGCACCCCACGGTTTATGTTCTAGGGGGCGCCAAAGATAACCCAAAAATCCACATTCTTAAATGTCTTATAACTTTTTATTTTTGTCCTCACTGGCCTCCAAGTTTTCTAGGATGATGCAATGTCTAGCCATCAACACATTTGTGAAGGAATTTTTACTCCCTAAAAGAGCGCCCCCCATGGCAGGAGAAAAAGTCAAGTTTTTCCTGCCCATCGCTCAATGACTCAAACACATCACTCTCTCGGCAAAACCGAAAGGAGGAGCAACTTGCCATTTGGATATATCCCAGCTGTGTTTGTGCCCTCACTCATGGTCCAGTCCTTTTCAAATAGGACATGTAGTTTGTCTGCGGCGAGCGTTTTGGTAGAAACTGCGCCTCCCATTCATTATAATTGTAAATGACCACAGACAAGTGGGCACACCATCTTTGGACCTTGAGTGTGACGCGATCGGTAGGGAGAGGCGGTCGTGTTGGGGGTGGCGCGACACGGCTCGGGCCCGCCAGTGCCCCAACGGGGCCCTAGTTTGTTATTATTATTATTTTTCCTCCGCTTTAAACTGGAAAATGGCCCACTTCCCACTGGCGAAAACTCATGAAATTTGGCAGGACGACCGGGCCTGGTGAAAAATTCGATATTCTGAAGTCGCCCAAACAAGAAAATGCAAAATGGCTCCATAGCGCCCCCTAAGGTGAAAATTCACACTATTGACTGTCACGCCTGTACGCTTTGTCATATTGACACAAAAATTGACACACACATGTATCTCAATAAGATCTACAAAAAAGTCAGTGCGGGCGTATCTGTCAAATGTACGGTTAAAGGGTTATTTTGCATTTTTTGCAGATCCGCACACATTGGAATTTCGCTAACTCCTCCGAAGGCTTTCGTTCCACCGGCACCACATTTGCTCAGGCCAATCTACACTCCATGGCCATTCAAAGTTGTACAAATCATAATGCTGCACCCCATGGTTTAGGTTCTAGGGGGCGCCAAAAATAACCCAAAAATCCACATTCTTAAAAGTTTTATAAATTTTTTTTTTTGTCCTCACTGGCCTCCAAGTTTTCTAGGATGATGCAATGTCCAGCCATCAACACATTTGTGAAGGAATTTTTACTCCCCAAAAGAGCGCCCCCCCATGGCAGGAATAAAAAGTCCATTTTTTCTTGTCCCCTAAGGTAAAAATACACATTGTTGAGTGTCACGCCTGTACGCTTTGTCGTATTGACAAAAAATTTGACACACACGTGTATCTCAATAAGATCTACGAAAAAGTCAATGGGCGCGTATCTGTAAAATGTACGGCTAAAGGGCTATTTTGCATTTTTTGCCGATTCGCACACATTGGAATGTGGCTAACTCCTCCTAAGGCTTTCGTCCCACTGACACCAAATTTGCTCAGGCCAATCTACACCCCATGGCCATTCAAAGTTGTAAAAATCATGCCGCTGCACCCCATGGTTTACGTTCTAGGGGGCGCCAAAGATGACCCAAATATCCACATTCTTAAAAGTCGTTTTGGCCACTGCAGGAGTACAGAGTACTGCAGGATACACACACACAGACACACACACACACAGACACACACACACACACACACACACACAGACACACACACACACACTCAGAGTCTGTTTTTTAGCACCTGCAAAAACATGCTATTTACATATTTGACAACAATGCAGAGGCTTCCTTTTGCCCCTGAAAAAAATCAAATTTCTAACACAACTTGACTGCTCATTTCTCCAAAAGACAACCATGAAGCTCCATCCAAACCTGAAGCAGGCAGTTGGTGCATGTGTACAGTAACCTGAGGGGAGTGAGGTGACTGCTTCTGAGGAGAACATGAGCAGTGAAGATTCACCTTGGAGCGAGAACAGGGACGTGCACATGATTATACGGGGGCAGGGGCTCAAGTTTTTTCCAGTCGTTTATACAATATGGAAATTAATGTGAAATTAAAAAACAAAGTATTAATAGAAAGGTAATGACTGTCCTGTGTAGGTGACAGTGATATCCAATAGGCTAGGCACTCACGAGGCTGGCTGTGGCAAGTGTAAGTGAAAGCAACACGCACTGGCAGGAAGAACAGCAAACGCCGATGAAGGAAAAGGGTCTTTGCAGTGATGGGTGTTACCAGAGAGGACGATGGCCAGAGGACGCGAATGGGACGGGGAGGCAGCGCGGGGGGGGGGGGGGGGGGGCGACACAGCTCGGGCCCGCCAGTGCCCCAACGGGGCCCTAGTTATTATTATTATTTTTCCTCCGCTTTAAACTGGAAAATGGCCCACTTCCCACTGGCGAAAACTCATGAAATTTGGCAGGACGACCGGGCCTGGTGAAAAATTCGATATTCTGAAGTCGCCCAAACAATAAAATGCAAAATGGCTCCATAGCGCCCCCTAAGGTGGAAATTCACACTATTGACTGTCACGTCTGTACGTTTTGTCATATTGACACAAAAATTGACACACATATGTATCTCAATAAGATCTACAAAAAAGTCAGTGCGGGCGTATCTGTCAAATGTACGGTTAAAGGGTTATTTCGCATTTTTTGCCGATCCGCACACATTGGAATTTCGCTAACTCCTCCGAAGGCTTTCGTTCCACTGGCACCACATTTGCTCAGGCCAGTCTACACCCCATGGCCATTAAAAGTTGTACAAATCATGACGCTGCACCCCACGGTTTAGGTTCTAGGGGGCGCCAAAGATAACCCAAAAATCCACATTCTTAAAAGTCTTATAACTTTTTATTTTTGTCCTCACTGGCCTCCAAGTTTTCTAGGATGATGCAATGTCCAGCCATCAACACATTTGTGAAGGAATTTTTACTCCCCAAAAGAGCGCCCCCCCATGGCAGGAGAAAAAAGTCAATTTTTTCTTGTCCCCTTACATGAAAATACACATTGTTGAGTGTCACGCCTGAACGCTTTGTCATATTGACACAAAAATTGACAATCATGTGTATCTCAATTAGATCTACGAAAAAGTCAAAGAGCGCGTATCTGTATAATGTACGGTTAAAGGGCTATTTCGCATTTTTTGCCGATTCGCACATATTGGAATGTGGCTATCTCCTCCTAAGGCTTTCGTCCCACTGATACCAAATTTGCTCAGGGCAATCTACACCCCATGGCCATTCAAAGTTGTAAAAATCATGACGCTGCACCCCACGGTTTACGTTCTAGGGGGCGCCAAATATGACCCAAAAATCCACATTCTTAAAAGTCATTTTGGCCACTGCAGGAGTACAGAGTACTGCAGTTCTAGGGGGCGCCAAAGATGACCCAAAAATCCACATTCTTAAAAGTCTTTTTGGCCACTGCAGGAGTACAGAGTACTGCAGGATACACACACATATACACACACGCCAACACACACACACACACACACACACACACACACACACACACACACACACACACACACACACACACACACACACACACACTCAGAGTCTGTTTTTTAGCACCTGCAAAAACATGCTGTTTACATATTTGACAAGAATGCAGAGGCTTCCTTTTGCCCCTGAAAAAAATCAAATTTCAAACACAACTTGACTGGTCATTTCTCCAAAAGACAACCATGAAGCTCCATCCAAACCTGAAGCAGATAGTTGGTGCATGTGTACAGTAACCTGAGGGGAGTGAGGTGACTATTTCTGAGGAGAACATGAGCAGTGAAGATTCACCTTGGAGCTAGAACAGGGACGTGCACATGATTATACAGGGGCAGGGGCTCAAGTTTTTTCCAGTCATTTATACAATATGGAAATTAATGTGAAATTAAAAAACAAAGTATTAATAGAAAGGTTATGACTGTCCTGTGTAGATGACAGTGATATCCAATAGGCTAGGCACTCACGAGGCTGGCTGTGGCAAGTGTAAGTGAAAGCAACACGCACTGGCAGGAACAACAGCAAACGCCGATGAAGGAAAGGGTCTTTGCAGTGATGGGCGTTACCAGAGAGGACGCGAATGGGACGGGGAGGCAGCGCATTGGGGGGGGCAGCGCGACACGGCTCGGGCCCGCCAGTGCCCCAACGGGGCCCTAGTTATTATTTTTCTGCCCCTTTGAACTGGAAAATGGCCCACTTCCCACTGGTGAAAAGTCATGAAATTTGGCAGGACGACCGGGCCTGGTGAAAAATTCGATATTCTGAAGTCGCCCAAAAAATCAAATGCAAAATGGCTCCATAGCGCCCCCTAAGGTGAAAAATTCACATGATTGAGTGTCACGCCTGTACGCTTTGTCAAAATGACACAAAATTTTACACACACGTGTATCTCAATAAGATCTACAAAAAAGTCAGTGCGGGCGTATCTGTCAAATGTACGGTTAAAGGGCTATTTCGCATTTTTTGCCGATCCGCACACATTGGAATTTCGCTAACTCCTCCGAAGGCTTTCGTTCCACCGGCACCAAATTTGCTCAGGCCAATCTACACCCCATGGCCATTAAAAGTTGTACAAATCATGACGCTGCATCCCACGGTTTACGTTCTAGGGGGCGCCAAAGATAACCCAGAAATCCACATTCTTAAAAGTCTTATAACTTTTTATTTTTGTCCTCACTGGCCTCCAAGTTTTCTAGGATGATGCAATGTCCAGCCATCAACACATTTGTGAAGGAATTTTTACTCCCCAAAAGAGCGCCCCCCCATGGCAGGAGAAAAAAGTCCATTTTTTCTTGTCTCCTAAGGCGAAAATTCACACTATTGACTGTCACGCCTTTACGCTTTGTCATATTGACACAAAAATTGACACACACATGTATCTCAATAAGATCTACAAAAAAGTCAGTGCGGGCGTATCTGTCAAATGTACGGTGAAAGGGCTATTTCGCATTTTTTGCCGATCCGCACACATTGGAATTTCGCTAACTCCTCCGAAGGCTTTCGTTCCAAAGGCACCACATTTGCTGAGGCCAATCTACACCCCATGGCCATTAAAAGTTGTACAAATCATGACGCTGCACCCCACGGTTTACGTTCTAGGGGGCGCCAAAGATAACCCAAAAATCCACAGTCTTAAAAGTCTTATAACTTTTTATTTTTGTCCTCACTGGCCTCCAAGTTCTCTAGGATGATGCAATGTCCAGCCATCAACACATTTGTGAAGGAATTTTTACTCGCCAAAAGAGCGCCAACCCCATGGCAGGAGAAAAAAGTCCATTTTTTCTTGTCTCCTAAGGCGAAAATACACATTGTTGACTGTCACGCCTTTACGCTTTGTCAAAATGACACAAAATTTGACACACACATGTATCTCAATAAGATCTACAAAAAAGTCAGTGCGGGCGTATCTGTCAAATGTACGGTTAAAGGGTTATTTTGCATTTTTTGCCGATCCGCACACATTGGAATTTCGCTAACTCCTCCTAAATCTTTTGTCCCATCGGCTTCAAATTTGCTCAGGTCAATCTACACCCCATGGCCATTCAAAGTTGTACAAATCATGACGCTGCACCCCACAGTTTATGTTCTAGGGGGCGCCAAAGAGGACCCAAATATCCACATTTTTAAAAGTCTTATAACTTTTTATTTTTGTCCTCACTGGCCTCCAAGTTTTCTAGGATGATGCAATGTCCAGCCATCAACACATTTGTGAAGGAATTTTTTCTCCCCAAAAGAGCGCCCCCCCATGGCAGGAGAAACAGTCAAGTTTTTCCTGCCCATCGCTCAATGGCTCAAACGCATCGCTCTCTCTGCAAAACCGAAAGGAGGAGCAACTTGCCATTTGGATATATACTAGCTGTGTTTGTGCCCTCACTCATGGTCCAGACTTTTTTCAAATAGGACATGTAGTTTGTCTGCAGCGAGCGTTTTGGTAGAAACTGCGCCTCCCATTCATTATAATGGGAAATGACCACAGACAAGTGCGCACACCATCTTTGGACCTTGAGTGTGACGCGATCGGGAGGGGGAGGCGGTCGCGCTGGGGGCGGCGCGACGCGGCTCGGGCCCGACAGTGCCCCACCGGGGCCCTAGTATATTTTTTGAAACTTGTGACTTTTACTTCACTCCATTTGAACAACAAATATTGTACTTTCACCTACACTACATTTCTATGAAGAGTCTGATTTGTCCAAGAGGGGATGCCGTACCTCTACCTCACACATGTGCTACTCAGATTGGGCATGTAACCTTTGAGCTAACATTGCTCAGATAACGATTACAGTTGGTTTTTGCAGTCCTAATAATGGCTACGGCAGATACAGACGACAATTCCACACCAGAGCACCAACAGTCATATCTGAAGTCCACGTTTGAGATTGTTCAAATGGAGAATGATTCATATCCATGTAAATGTTTTCTTTGTTTGCCACGCACAAAATTCATCATCACCAACAAAAACTCACTGTCATACCTGAGGAAGCATGTCGGGTGTTGAATAAAAACATGAAAATGGTATGGTTGTCTTTTTGTCGAGTCAATCGTGTTTCAGAAGGCATTTCAGTAGGCATCGTAGCATATTTTTCAAGCTTCCCTCTGATCATTCTTTGGTCTAAAAGAGGTCTAAATGACGTATAAATGTAGCCTAGACGACTGGTCTAAAATCAGGCTACCACAGGTCTAAAAATTAAAGGTTTTTTAGACTTCTAAATTTAGACCAAGTTTGGACCAAGTCTAAATCTGGGCTATATCTTTACCATACTGTATTTTGCTCAGGGACTATCATCATTGTTACCTCCGCCAAGGAGGTTATGTTTTCAGTAGCGTTGGTTTGTTTGTCTGTTAGCAACTTTACGGAGAAAGCAACTGACAGAGTGACTTGAAATTTTCACCAGAGGTGCACCTCAGCCCCAGGAGGATCTCATTAAATTTTAGTGGTGATCAGGATCGCCTTCTGGATCCAGGAGTTTTTTGAAGGATTCTTCATCATTGTGAGATAGGGCAAATTTTGGAATTTTTGCATTTAACTCTATAAAAATGGCCAGAGTCTTTAGTAAAAAATGACACAATAGGATCTCAATGAGTTTTATGAGGTGTCAAAGGTTGATCCTTATCCAGACAAAATTCCGGATACTGTGATCCAGAACACACAAAAATAAGGGTGTCATTGGAATTTTCAATGCTGAAAGATAACCAATGGGCGGCACAGTGGTGTAGTGGTTAGCACTGTCACCTCACAACCAGAAGGTCCTGGGTTCGTATACGGGTCAGGGCTTTTCTTGTTTTATGAACAGTGAACATACCAGTTTAAACACAAATAAACGTTAATAAAAGACACGTAACACTAAAAGTTTTGCTGTGAATCACAATATAAGGGGGGACATGAGCTGCTTGGCGGAGGTCTGCACTCTCCGAGTGCTTTTCTAGTGTTCTGTAAATTCATTGTGGCAACAACACAACAACACGCTGACATAACAATGAAAATGTACTTTAAATATTTGTGTATTTTCAAAAGCACATACTCAAGCACTTTAACTTAAGCAAGAATTGGACTGAATAACTTTGACTTGTAATTAAGTAAAATTTGACCAGGAGTATATATACTTTACTAAAGTAATGGAGTATAGTACCTTGTCCATCACTGCTGATTTGTGACACAAACAACATTTCATAGACGGTCAAAATTCGACTAATTTTAACAGTCATTTTTTTGTATCCAGGTGACAGACACGCAAACTTTACTGATTGGTCCATCTGAATTCCCTCCTTTAGTTGATGTAATCTGAGAATACATTTATAAATGTGAGAAGAGATAGCTGGGACTATTTGGGGCTGAGTTATCCCCTCCTTTAACAGGGGGGGAGAGAAATTAGCCCAATGGATAACACTTCAGTGTTTTTTCTCTCAGGTCTTAATGAGACAAAGAAATATCGCCTCGTCATTTTCATCCTCACTTTACTTTGTTACTGTTCAATTTTGTTTGTTAATCTAGTTCTCATTGTGACGATTATCATTGATAAAAACCTGCATGAACCCATGTATATTCTACTGTGTGCATTTTGCTTTAATGGGCTGTACGGATCAACTGGTTTCTTCCCAAAGCTTCTCTGGGATCTGCTGTCTCCAGTTCATGTTATCTCTTATTTTGGATGTTTAATTCAATCTCTGGTGGTGATCTCATTTGCCTGTGCTGATCTATCAATTCTTGCAGTAATGGCCTATGACAGGTATGTGGCAATATGTCGACCACTGAAGTACCACTCCCTCATGTCAAAGCAGAGACTGGTGAAGTTGGTGTGTTTCTCTGTGATCACTCCTTTTGCTGTAATATCAACTAACATTTACTTGGTATCAAGGTTAAAGCTCTGCAGTAACCGTGTTTCCAGATTATTCTGTATAAACTGGGTTTTTGTTACACTTGCTTGTTTTCCAGCTGAAACTGTTCTTAATAACATAGTTGCCTATATCTCAATTGTAATTTATGTTCTTCATGGTGTTTTTATATTTTGGTCCTACATCTATCTTATCAAAACTTGTGTGAATTCTATAGAAAACAGAGCAAAATTCATGCAGACATGTGTGCCTCATTTAACATCTCTGCTGACTTTTCTCCTGACTTTACTTTTTGATATCATGTATCTCCGATTTGGTTCTAAAAATATATCACAAACCATCCAAAACTTTTTTGCAATAGAGTTTCTTGTCATTCCCCCTTTAATGAACCCACTTATCTATGGTTTTAAACTGAAGAAGATCAGAAACAGAATTGTGGGTTTTGTAAGAACCAAATAATTTCACTAGTGCTTGATTGAGTACAGTCAGGAGGCTGATAAAAGTTTTTGCGAGAGAGAGAAATGCTTGTAAGTGTAATATTCAACCTCCAAGGACAAGCACTGCTGTGACAATAATAACAGTACAAAGTGTCTACATGACTGTGTTTTCTAATTATGTATAAGGAGCTATTAAATAAATAAATAAATCTGATCAGTGATGTTTATGGTAACTATCTTCTAAATCATGCTATTGTCCTTTTTCTCATCCTATTTCAAATGAAAAAATATGTGGTGTGTTTTACCGTGAGGCACAGCGTTTGTTGTTAAATTATGGTTGTGTAAACTCCTGTAGGTTTATTTAAAATATGTATCAAAATGTTAGACAGTTTTAAGAAAATGCTTTAATTTTATTGAATTAAATATGAACTCAACTATCTCTACATCATTTGGATCAGGTAAATGGTATGTCGATACTTTACAGCTTCTATTATGGTGAAATATCTGAATAAGGGGGAATACTGGAAAAAGTCACAAACAAGCCGCTTTTTTGTGGGGGAACCCTGACGAGTCCATCACTGACTGCAGTGGAGTTTCGCAGCTCAAGGAAGAACATTTATGATTATTACTTCGTGGAAATGCAATCAGAGTTCTTGTGTATCTTGTCGGTGCACTGCAGACGCAGTAGTTCCTCTGCCTAAGTGTCTTGGTCTGATTGCATTTCTATAAAGTAATAATCATAAAGTTTCTGCTGCACTCGGCGATAGACTCGTCAGGGCTCCCCCTTACAAACAAGCGGCTGCTAGAGGAGAGTGGATGAGTTGTGTTTAGTCTCTTTGCTAAAGAAATTATGCAAAGCTAAAAAGATGTTTGAAGGCTGGGACCCTTTATGAACTGTTGATGAAGTTAGGTGCTGTTCCGAGCATTATTTGTGGTTATAGAGTGGCGTTTGGTTGACATTTGCGCGTGGAGACGTAGACCGTTGTGTATTTCTATCGTGCGGTCGTTGCTGAAATTGGCATAACTAGAGAGGCAAGCAGTCGGCAACATTCATCTCTTGAGGGGGTGTCTAACTCGTTGTTATGGTGTGTTTGACCCTAACTTAAACATACACCGGAATATCCCTTTAAACAGACAAACACAGGTCACATAGTTGTATGACTTACATAAATTTTCATGCAAGCTGCTTTGTTGTTTGGAATATGAACCTGGGTGGTGTAAATGTGGTTTTAATGAGTAGCCATGTCTGCTTCAGGTTTGCCTACTGATAGTGTGACACTTTGTATAAGGGCAGTAGCATCATACTTTCACCTGGTATGTCTGTAACCTCAGATCTGCTACTCTATCTTCACATAAACTCAACTTTAATTTTTTTTATTATACTTATGCACCTGCAAAATTTGCACCAATCACCCTGAATTATTTTGTGCTTTGCAATAAACACACTTTAAATGGTCCATCTGCTTCATACATTCAAGAAAAAAATTGATGTTAATTCATGGACTCAGACTGAAAACATCCTCATCACATTTCCTCTTCTATCACTGTGCTGAGAGGGAAAAGAAACCGAAATGAAAAGTAGACAAGAATATTTGATTGTGGACACTGAGAGTAACAATGTTTTGTTTCCTTCTGAAACATCTATTTAAAAAAGTTCCCGATTGAAGTCCATAATGAAATTTGAGAGGATATTTTTTCACAGACAAAATGCCCCTAATTCGTCTGCTAGCAAGTTTTCGGAGCTTTTTATCTCTGCATCTTTAACTGCCCTCAACCCAGATTTTAATCCAGTTTTTAACACTGAAGAGCTTGTCTCTCTTTTTAACAGTATGTGTGGAACCATCCTGGACTCTGTAGCTCCTCTGAAAAAGAAAAGATCTAACAGAGAACCCCAACCCTGGCTCACAGAGTCCACCCATGAACTAAAGAGAATTTGTAGACGAAACGAACGCAAATGGAAGAAAACTGGGTTGGTGGTTTTCCTCGAAATTTGGAGAGACTCCTTGAAAAACTACCAGAAGGCAGTTAAGGATGCAAGGGCAGCATTTTACTCAAATTTGATTTTAGCTAATTATTCAAACCCCAGAATTTTATTCAAGGTTTTAGAGTCTCTTTCAAACCCTTCCCCCTCTTATTTTACTGATGATTCTCAAGAAACCTGTGAGAAGTTTTTAATTCATTTTATTAACAAGGTTATGGACATCAGGCATCAAATCACCCCTCCCAGTCTCCCTGTGCTCTTAAGCCGGGAAGTTAAGCACTTTTTTAGTAGTTTTGAGCCGGTGTCCTTAAAATTTTTATCTGATATTTTAGCCAAAATGAAACCAGCTACGTGCAGTCTTGATTCTATCCCCACCAGATTTCTCAAAGAGGTTTTTAACGTGGTTGGGCCTTGCATTTTATCCATCATTAATAGCTCTCTAGTGGAGGGAGTATTTCCCTCTGCTTTTAAACACGCTGTGGTCCAACCCCTTTTAAAGAAGCCAAACCTTGACCCCTCTGATTTTAACAATTTTAGACCAATTTCAAAACTTCCATTTTTATCCAAACTTTTAGAGAAGGTGGTTTCTAAACAGCTTTTAGGTTTTATGTCCGAAAACAACCTCTTTGAGAAATTTCAGTCTGGTTTTAGAGCAGGTCACAGCACTGAGACTGCCCTCCTCCGTGTGACCAATGACCTTCTTTTAGCAGCAGATAGAGGGGAGGGCTCAATTTTAATTCTTTTAGATCTCAGTGCAGCTTTTGATACAGTTGATCATACCATTTTAATTGAACGTCTTAAAAACTGGGTGGGTGTCAGGGGCACTGCACTTGGCTGGTTTCAGTCGTATCTTTTAGAACGAACCTTTGCGGTCACCATAGGCAATCACACCTCCTCTACTTCTGCTATCGCCTGTGGTGTTCCGCAAGGTTCAGTTTTAGGTCCAATTTTATTTTCTATATACATGCTGCCCCTCGGCCAATTAATTCAGCGCCACAAAGTCTCCTTTCACTGCTATGCAGACGACACACAGATATACCTTCCTTTGAGACCTGAGGACCCAAGAGGCCTAGCTGCTGTCATGGACTGTCTAAGTGACATTAACTGTTGGATGGCACAAAATTTCCTTCAGCTAAATTATTCAAAATCTGAAATAATTCTCTGTAACATACAAAACTCCCCCCTCATTCAGTCTTGTCTCGGTCCACACTCAGTAATCATCAAACCAACAGCCAGAAATCTGGGAGTAACCTTTGATTCAGACCTCACCTTCTCCACCCATATCAACAAGATTGTCCAGTCCTGTTTCCTTCACCTGCGCTCCATTTCAAAGATTAAACAAATACTCACCCCACCAGATCTCGAAAAGATAATCCACGCCTTCATTTTCTCAAGACTGGACTATTGTAACTCTCTCCTCCCTGGTCTAAACAAGAAATCACTCTCTCGCCTCCAACTAGTTCAGAATGCAGCAGCTAGACTTTTAACTGGTTTTAGTCGACGGCATCACATCACCCCAATTTTAGCCTCCCTTCACTGGCTTCCTGTCAGCTTTAGAATTGATTTTAAGATTTTATTGATTACTTTTAAAGCGCTCAAAGGACTTGCTCCAAGCTACATTTCAGAGCTTTTAATATCTTATGAGCCAACTCGCAGCCTCAGATCCTCTAGCGAAGGCCTCCTGGTCGTTCCAAAGTCGAGGCTCAAGACTAAAGGTGATAGAGCTTTCTCCATCAGAGCTCCTCGACTTTGGAACGACCTGCCAGAGGAGATAAGGCGTGCAGAGACAGTCGCTTCTTTTAAGTCAATTTTAAAAACTCACTTTTACAGACTTGCCTTTATGTGATGCCATCTTTCATCTTTTATTGCCTTTTACCGTTTTTATTTTTCTCCTTTTTCTTTTACCTCTTTCACCTCTTTCTTATTTAGACTTACTGCCTTTTTAGCCTTTGTTTTACTTATAATCTTTTTATTGATTTTAATGTTTTCATTTTACTTTATTTTATATATATATATTTAATTCCACTTTATCATTTATATTACCATCATTTTATTTTATTATGATTTTATTATTATTATTAATATCCTCTTTTATACTTACTAGCCTGTTTTCTTCCCTCCTTTTCTATTTCTTTTTTTTTTGTTTTTTTTTGCTTTTATTTTGGTCCTCATGGTCCCATTTATTTTGTAGGGTTCTTGTATTGCCTGGGTTTCTTACGAAAAGTGAAACAGGCCTACAATTCAGATGCCTGTTTTTTAACTGAGCTTTTGTTTTTATGTGTTTTTATTTTCAATGTGCTGATGCTCTGTGCTTACAACTGTTGTCTAAGCACTTTGTAAACTTCTGTTTTTAAAGGTGCTATATAAATAAAATTATTATTATTATTATTATTATTAATTCTTATTCTCATTTTGTGTTGTGTTTATAGTTTGTATCCAGGTGACGATCATGCAAGCTGCAGTGATTGGTTCATTTGAATTCCCATCTTGTGTTCATGTAATCTTAAAGTACATTAATACGAGTAAAAACAGAGAGCTCAGACTGTGAGGGACTGGGTTGTACCAATTATGCCTCCTCCTTAAAAAAACTTGTCTCAATGGATAACTCTTCAATGTTTTTTCTCTCAGGTCTCAATGAGACAAAGAAATATCGCTTTGTCATTTTCTCTCTCACTTTACTTTGTTACTGTTCGATTCTGTTTGTTAATCTAGTTCTGATTGTGACGATAATCATAGATAAAAACCTGCATGAACCCATGTATATTCTACTGTGTGCATTCTGCTTTAATGGGCTGTACGGATCAACTGGATTCTACCCAAAGCTTCTCTGGGATCTTCTGTCTCCAGTCCATGTTATCTCTTATTATGGATGTCTAATTCAGGCTCTGATAATGCAAACCTTTGCCTGTGGTGATCTATCATTTCTTGCAGTAATGGCCTATGACAGGTATGTGGCAATATGTCGACCGCTGAAGTACCACTCCCTCATGTCAAAGCAGAGACTGGTGAAGTTGGTGTGTTTCTCTGTGATCACTCCTTTTGCTGTAATATCAACTAACATTTACTTGGCATCAAGGTTAAAGCTCTGCAGTAATCATATTGCCAGATTATTCTGTATAAACTGGGTTTTTGTTACCCTTGCTTGTTTTCAATCTGAAACTGTTCTTAATAACATAGTTGCCTATATCTCCATTGTAATTTATTTTCTTCATGGTGTTTTTATAGTTTGGTCCTACGCCTATCTCATCAAAACTTGTGTGAATTCTATAGAAAACAGAGCAAAGTTCATGCAGACATGTGTGCCTCATGTTATCTCGCTGTTGACTTTTCTTGTGACAATTCTTTTTGATCTTATGTATCTCAGATATGGTTCTAAAAGTGTATCTCAAACCATCAAAAACTTTATTTCAATAGAGTTTCTTATCATACCCCCTCTAATGAACCCACTTATCTATGGTTTTAAACTGAAGAAGATTAGAAACAGAATTCTGGGTTTTGTTCACGCCAAATAATTTGATTACAGTCAGGAGGCTGACAAAACTATATTAATACTAACTTTGTTTTAACCTGTAAAGATGCAACACGAAGTATTTACCATCTAATCAGTTATGTTTATGATAACAATATTCTAAATTATGCAATTGAAATATTTGAATAAGGAGGAAGTATGGGGGAAAAGTCTGCATTAGATGAATTGGTTTTTTTTTGCCATTACTTTCCCTCCTAGTTTTAATATTTTGTAAGTTCTTTTAAAATGTGGAGCCCTGACCACCAGTAACAGACTTACAAGCCAACAAAAGTGACAGCTGTAAGACATGCTGTGTTTAGTCAGCTTAGTTAGATTTTAATAATTTACATTTGTGCTTGAGTGCGTCTGCACTGACAACAGGAGCGATAGTGGGTAAATGGCCTGAATAATGTCAGGAGTATTCAATGACTTGTCCAAAATAAATTAATACACCTATTTTCAAGTATATCAATTCATCCATGTTTATGTAATAAACCTAAACAACTTAAGTAGAGTTGAATTGGTCATCAATTAACACACTTTGAATGGTCCATCTGCTTCATACACTCAAAAAGATGTTTTAATTTTAATTCATGGACTCAGACTCAAAACATCCTCTTCATGTTTCTTCTTCTATCACTGTGTTTGAATAGAAAAGAAACCAACATGAAAAGGAGACAAGAACATTTAATTGTGGACACTGAGAGTTAAAATATTTTTTCACAATCCACATGCCTCTGATTCTAATTTTCATTTTGTGTTGTGTTTAGAGTTTGTATCCAGGTGATGATCAGGCAAGCTACACCGATTGGTTCATTTGAATTCCCATCTTGTGTTTATATAATCTTAAAATACATTAATACCAGTAAAACAGAGAGCTCAGACTGTTAGGGACTGGGTTATACCAATTATGCCCCCTACATAAAACAGCTTGTCTCGATGGACAACTCTTCAGTGTTTTTTCTCTCAGGTCTCAATGAGACAAAGAAATACCGCTCTGTCATTTTCTCTCTCACTTTACTTTGTTACTGTTCGATTTTGTTTGTTAATTTAGTTCTCATTGTGACGATCATCATAGATAAAAACCTGCATGAACCCATGTATATTCTACTGTGTGCATTCTGCATTAATGGGCTGTTTGGATCAACTGGTTTCTACCCAAAGCTTCTCTGGGATCTGCTGTCTCCAGTCCATGTTATCTCTTATTCTGGATGTCTAATTCAGGCAATGGTAATGCACAATTTCGCCTGTGGTGATTTATCAATCCTTGCAGTAATGGCCTATGACAGGTATGTGGCAATATGTCGACCATTGGAGTACCACTCCCTCATGTCAAAGCAGAGACTGGTGAAGTTGGTGTGTTTCTCTGTGATCACTCCTTTTTTGTTCGTGTCAGCTAATCTTTTACTTACATCAATGTTAAAGCTGTGCAGTAATCATATTGCCAGATTATTCTGTATAAACTGGGTTATTGTTACACTTGCTTGTTTTCCAGCTGAAACTGTTCTTAACAACATTGCATCCTATACTACAATAGTTAGGGCCCGAGCGTAGCTGCTAAGCAGCTGCGAGAGCCCTATTATTCCTGATGGATTCTTCTTTCTTCTTCTTTAGGGCCCGAGCGTAGCTGCTAAGCAGCTGCGAGAGCCCTCTTGTTCCTGATGGATTCTTCTTTTGTTATTATTAGGGCCCGAGCGTAGCTGCTAAGCAGCTGCGAGAGCCCTCTTGTTCCTGATGGATTCTTCTTTCGTTATTTTTCCTCCGCTTTAAACTGGAAAATGGCCCACTTCCCACTGGTGAAAACTCAGGAAATTTGGCAGGACGACCGGGCCTGGTGAAAAATTCGATATTCTGAAGTCGCCCAAACAAAAAAATGAAAAATGGCTCCATAGCGCCCCCTATGGTGAAAACTCACCTGACGCCTGTACGCTTTGTCAAAATGACACAAAATTTGACACACATGTGTATCTCAATAACATCTACAAAAAAGTCAGTGTGGGCGTATCTGTCAAATGTACCGTTAAAGGGCTATTTCGCATTTTTTGCCGATCCGCACACATTGGAATTTCGCTAACTCCTCCGAAGGCTTTCGTTCCACCGGCAACAAATTTGCTCAGGACAATCTACACCCCATGGCCATTAAAAGTTGTACAAATCATGACGCTGCACCCCACGGTTTACATTCTAGGGGGCGCCAAAGATAACCCAAAAATCCACAGTCTTAAAAGTCTTATAACTTTTTATTTTTGTCCTCACTGGCCTCCAAGTTTTCTAGGATGATGCAATGTCCAGCCATCAACACATTTATGAAGAAATTTTTACTCCCCAAAAGAGCGCCCCCCCATGGCAGGAGAAAAAAGTCCATTTTTTCTTGTCCCGTAAGGTGAAAATACACATTGTTGAGTGTCACGCCTGAACGCTTTGTCATATTGACACAAAATTTGACACACACGTGTATCTCAATAAGATCTACGAAAAAGTCAAAGAGCACGTATCTGTATAATGTACAGTTAAAGGGCTATTTCGCATTTTTTGCCGATCCGCACACATTGGAATTTCGCTAACTCCTCCGAAGGCTTTCGTTCCACCGGCACCAAATTTGCTCAGGCCAATCTACACCCCATGGCCATTAAAAGTTGTACAAATCATGACGCTGCACCCCACGGTTTAGGTTCTAGGGGGCGCCAAAGATAACCCAAAAATCCACATTCTTAAAAGTCTTATAACTTTTTCTTTTTGTCCTCACTGGCCTCCAAGTTTTCTAGGATGATGCAATGTCCAGCCATCAACACATTTGTGAAGGAATTTTTACTCCCCAAAAGAGCGCCCCCCCATGGCAGGAGAAAAAAGTCCATTTTTTCTTGTCCCCTAAGGTGAAAATACACATTGTTGAGTGTCACGCCTATACGCTTTGTCAAAATGACACAAAAATTGACACACACATGTATCTCAATAAGATCTACGAAAAAGTCAATGCGCGCGTATCTGTCAAATGTACGGTAAAAAGGGTTATTCCGCATTTTTTGCCGATCCGCACACATTGGAATGTGGCTAACTCCTCCTAAGGCTTTCGTTCCACCGGCACCACATTTGCTCAGGCCAATCTACACCCCATGGCCATTAAAAGTTATTCAAATCATGACGCTGCACCCCACGGTTTAGGTTCTAGGGGGCGCCAAAGATAACCCTAAAATCCACATATTTAAAAGTCTTATAACTTTTTCTTTTTGGCCTCACTGGCCTCCAAGTTTTCTAGGATGATGCAATGTCCAGCCATCAACACATTTGTGAAGGAATTTTTACTCCCCAAAAGAGCGCCCCCCCATGGCAGGAGAAAAAAGTCCATTTTTTCTTGTCCCATAAGGTGAAAATACACATTGTTGAGTGTCACGCCTGTACGCTTTGTCATATTGACACAAAATTTGACAATCACGTGTATCTCAATAAGATCTATGAAAAAGTCAATGCGCAAATATCTGTAAAATGTACGGCTAAAGGGCTATTTTGCATTTTTTGCCGATTTGCACACATTGGAATGTGGCTAACTCCTCCTAAGGCTTTCGTCCCACTGACACCAAATTTGCTCAGGCCAATCTACACCCCATGGCAATTCAAAGTTGTAAAAATCATGACGCTGCACCCCACGGTTTAGGTTCTAGGGGGCGCCAAAGATGACCCAAATATCCACATTCTTAAAAGAATCCACATCCCCCCCCCTCCCCCCATGGCAGGAGAAAAAGTCCTGCCCATCGCTCAATGGCTCAATCGCATCGCTCTCTCGGCAAAAGCGAAAGGAGGAGCAACTTGCCATTTGGATATATCCTAGCTGTGTTTGTGCCCCACTCATGGTCCAGACTTTTTTCAAATAGGACATGTAGTTTGTCTGCAGCGAGTGTTTTGGTAGAAACTGCGCCTCCCATTCATTATAATGGGAAATGACCACAGACAAGTGCGCACTCCATCTTTGGACCTTGAGTGTGACGCGATCGGGAGGTGGAGGCGGTCGCGCTGGGGGCGGCGCGACGCGGCTCGGGCCCGACAGTGCCCCACCGGGGCCCTAGTTATTATTTTTCCTCCGCTTTAAACTGGAAAATGGCCCACTTCCCACTGGCGAAAACTCATGAAATTTGGCAGGACGACCGGGCCTGGTGAAAAATTCGATATTCTGAAGTCGCCCAAACAAGAAAATGCAAAATGGCTCCATAGCGCCCCCTAAGGTGAAAATTCACACTATTGACTGTCACGCCTGTACGCTTTGTCATATTGACACAAAAATTGACACACACATGTATCTCAATAAGATCTACAAAAAAGTCAGTGCGGGCGTATCTGTCAAATGTACGGTTAAAGGGTTATTTTGCATTTTTTGCCAGATCCGCACACATTGGAATTTCGCTAACTCCTCCGAAGGCTTTCGTTCCACCGGCACCACATTTGCTCAGGCCAATCTACACTCCATGGCCATTCAAAGTTGTACAAATCATAACGCTGCACCCCATGGTTTAGGTTCTAGGGGGCGCCAAAATAACCCAAAAATCCACATTTTAAAAGTCTTATAACTTTTTTTTTTGTCCTCACTGGCCTCCAAGTTTTCTAGGATGATGCAATGTCCAGCCATCAACACATTTGTGAAGGAATTTTTACTCCCCAAAAGAGCGCCCCCCCATGGCAGGAAAAAAAGTCCATTTTTTCTTGTCCCCTAAGGTGAAAATACACATTGTTGAGTGTCACGCCTGTACGCTTTGTCGTATTGACAAAAAATTTGACACACACGTGTATCTCAATAAGATCTACGAAAAAGTCAATGGGCGCGTATCTGTAAAATGTACGGCTAAAGGGCTATTTTGCATTTTTTGCCGATTCGCACACATTGGAATGTGGCTAACTCCTCCTAAGGCTTTCGTCCCACTGACACCAAATTTGCTCAGGCCAATCTACACCCCATGGCCATTCAAAGTTGTAAAAATCATGCCGCTGCACCCCATGGTTTACGTTCTAGGGGGCGCCAAAGATGACCCAAATATCCACATTCTTAAAAGTCGTTTTGGCCACTGCAGGAGTACAGAGTACTGCAGGATACACACACACAGACACACACACACACAGACACACACACACACACACACACACACAGACACACACACACACACTCAGAGTCTGTTTTTTAGCACCTGCAAAAACATGCTATTTACATATTTGACAACAATGCAGAGGCTTCCTTTTGCCCCTGAAAAAAATCAAATTTCTAACACAACTTGACTGCTCATTTCTCCAAAAGACAACCATGAAGCTCCATCCAAACCTGAAGCAGGCAGTTGGTGCATGTGTACAGTAACCTGAGGGGAGTGAGGTGACTGCTTCTGAGGAGAACATGAGCAGTGAAGATTCACCTTGGAGCGAGAACAGGGACGTGCACATGATTATACGGGGGCAGGGGCTCAAGTTTTTTCCAGTCGTTTATACAATATGGAAATTAATGTGAAATTAAAAAACAAAGTATTAATAGAAAGGTAATGACTGTCCTGTGTAGGTGACAGTGATATCCAATAGGCTAGGCACTCACGAGGCTGGCTGTGGCAAGTGTAAGTGAAAGCAACACGCACTGGCAGGAAGAACAGCAAACGCCGATGAAGGAAAAGGGTCTTTGCAGTGATGGGTGTTACCAGAGAGGACGATGGCCAGAGGACGCGAATGGGACGGGGAGGCAGCGCGTTGGGGGGGGGGGGGGGGGGGGGGCGACACAGCTCGGGCCCGCCAGTGCCCCAACGGGGCCCTAGTCTTCTTATTATTTTTCTGCCCCTTTGAACTGGAAAATGGCCCACTTCCCACTGGTGAAAAGTCATGAAATTTGGCAGGACGACCGGGCCTGGTGAAAAATTCGATATTCTGAAGTCGCCCAAAAAATCAAATGCAAAATGGCTCCATAGCGCCCCCTAAGGTGAAAAATTCACATGATTGAGTGTCACGCCTGTACGCTTTGTCAAAATGACACAAAATTTGACACACACGTGTATCTCAATAAGATCTACAAAAAAGTCAGTGCGGGCGTATCTGTCAAATGTACGGTTAAAGGGCTATTTCGCATTTTTTGCCGATCCGCACACATTGGAATTTCGCTAACTCCTCCGAAGGCTTTCGTTCCACCGGCACCAAATTTGCTCAGGCCAATCTACACCCCATGGCCATTAAAAGTTGTACAAATCATGACGCTGCATCCCACGGTTTACATTTTAGGGGGCGCCAAAGATAACCCAGAAATCCACATTCTTAAAAGTTGTATAACTTTTTATTTTTGTCCTCACTGGCCTCCAAGTTTTCTAGGATGATGCAATGTCTAGCCATCAACACATTTGTGAAGGAATTTTTACTCCCCAAAAGAGCGCCCCCCATGGCAGGAGAAAAAACTCCAGTTTTTCTTCCCCCCTAAGGTGAAAATTCACATTATTGAGTGTCACGCCTGTACGCTTTGTCATATTGAAACAAACTTTAACAATCACGTGTTTCTCAATAAGATCTACGAAATAGTCGATGGGCGCGTATCTGTAAAATGTACGGTTAAAGGGCTATTTCGCATTTTTGGTCGATTCGCACACATTGGAATGTGGCTAACTCCTCCTAAAGCTTTCGTTCCACTGACACCAAATTTACTCAGGCCAATCTACACCCCATGGCCATTCAAAGTTGTAAAAATCATGACGCTGCACCCCACGGTTTATGTTCTAGGGGGCGCCAAA